ATCTAAGCATATGCGACAGAAGATGAAGTGGAGTCTCGCCCCGAAAGCATTGATTGTCTGCTGTGCTCCGCGCGCTTGGCAGACACCAAGACGTTAGGCCCGGTTAGAAACGGTGGCGTTAAAAAACACGTGAGAGAGCTCGGGAACAAAACAGAAAGATCCGTGGGTGTTTTATAAAAAGGGCCGCCGGCAGTATTGGACAAATTCAAGGACCTATCAAGTTTTTCAAGGACCTAAGACGTTTTTCAAGCACTTTCAAGGACCTAAATTTAGCAAAAAAAAATTCAAGGACTTTCAAGGACTCTCAAGGACCGTGGGAACCCTGTTCTTAGAAATAGCTTCCGTTACAGATTAAAGTTCAAAATTCTTTTTGGTTACTTCTTCTATTAGGGCTTAACTTCATTATTATATGCATGAGCGCCAGTAGCTGAACTAAACTACCTTAGAACTATCCCCTCCCAAAAAGAACATGATCTCTTCCATGCGCAGTATCCTTTTTGTCCATGCCCTATTCTTTTCTTTTAGAATGACTCCCTTTCTACATGGAGTACCATTCTAAGCAAAAGAAAGAATTTATAATAAAAGAACCAATATATCAATGAAAGATGAACTTGTCTTGTACACATCCTCTTTTGTCTTTCTAAAATGCTTCACCCTTCATGTATTGTCTCATTATAGGCAATAAAAAAACGACTTTTTATTTTTAATATTTTTGTCAGACTGAAAAATTGTTCCTAGTAATTATAGGGATACTGAAAATGAAGAACTTTTAAAAACCTTGTACCAAAATTAAGTATTTTCAAGGGCACTCATTTTTCAAAATAAAAATTAAGCAGTTTTTAAGGACTTTTAAGTACAGGGGAACCCTGCTCTCTGTGTGGGCTAGTTCCATCAAAAAGTGGTCCACCAAGGCAAATTTCACCAAATTCTGAGCCAGGAGCTTTTTTGTCTTCAGGACTGAGTCCTTTGTCCTGAGTACAAAGCTACGGAAGTGAACATAGGTAGCCAGTCGTTGACTCAAAATTGGGTTGGCTGTTCAACGACGGCTATATATAAAATCAGGATTTGAGACTCACCAGCATCAAGTTTCCTTATAATTAACCATATATTATGAGGAATATACTTACATATTAATATACTGCATGCTACCATATGAATATACTTACATGCTCAACAACTCTATTTTTCAAATCTTGCCAGCATTTTTTACCAATTTCATCATGCCCAAACACTTCAGCAGCAGTGACGTCAGAAGTTGCTTCACGCAAATCAGATTCATACTTGGCATGCAATGATCGCCAATTTATCAGTTCTAGTGTTGTGAATAGCTGTAGCAATTCTCTATAATAAGAATATCAAACAAAATATTATGATTGCAACTTTACTTACTCAGCATGCTATTAGAGATAAATAAGTATAACAATTATAAAATGGTCTTAGCTTTAATAACTGAAATGAGTAAAAATAGAATTTTATAACAAGAAACAAGCAGAGTCTGTTCTAAATTTCTTCAACTTTAAAATTGTAAACATTCTCTACACAGTAGACTTTTTAAATAATCCAGTAGATAGTTTCCACAGGATGGCCCATTTCTTTATGTAGTATAAGTTTTGATTTTTCATATTAAAAAAAAAATACTAAATTAAAAATATAAACTCTAACAGTATCTATTAAAAAGTTTGAACAAATTATAATATTACATTTATAACTTTTGATAAATGGGAGCCTTTGCCACAGCACTGGTTGAACCAGTTTATATAAATTGCATTAATTACATTTCCAATTTCCTAGAGCATATTTCAGATGATAAAGTTACAATATAAAAAATACAGTTTGTACATTGCCACTATAATATTACAGTGAAAACTTTTGATAAATGGGAGCCTTTACCACAGCACTGGTTGATCCAGTTTATATAAATTGCATTAATTACATTTCCAATTTCCTAGAGCATATTTCAGATGATAAAGTTACAATATAAAAAATACAGTTTGTACATTGCCACTATAATATTACAGTGAAAACTTTTGATAAATGGGAGCCTTTACCACAGCACTGGTTGATCCAGTTTATATAAATTGCATTAATTACATTTCCAATTTCCTAGAGCATATTTCAGATGATAAAGTTACAATATAAAAAATACAGTTTGTACATTGCCACTATAATATTACAGTGAAAACTTTTGATAAATGGGAGCCTTTACCACAGCACTGGTTGATCCAGTTTATATAAATTGCATTAATTACATTTCCAATTTCCTAGAGCATATTTCAGATGATAAAGTTACAATATAAAAAATACAGTTTGTACATTGCCACGTAATATTTCCATCACAAATAAATGTTTTTGCATAACCAGCTAGAATATTTAAACTCTTTACGTATCTAAAAAGTATTAGCAATTGGGAGAGCATATTACTGGCTCCAAGTCACAGAACTTGCTCAGTAATACCAAAACAANTAATTAACCCTTTAATGGGCCCTTTATTTCTAGTAAAGGTAAATTAAAGTATTTTTGGAATTGAAATTGTTTTAAGAACAGTAACTGATATAAAAAAAAAAAAAAAAAAACTAAATGAAAAATATAAACTCTAACAGTATCTACAAAAAAGCTTGAACAAATAATAATATTACATTTATAACTTTTGATAAATGGGAGCCTTTGCTACAGCACCGGTTGAACCAGTTTATATAAATTGCATTAATTACATATTGCCAATTTCCTAGAGCATATTTCAGATGATAAAGTTATAATATAAAAAATACAGTTTGTACATTGCCACGTAATATTTCCATCGCAAATAAATGTCTTTGCATAATCAGTTAGAATATTTAAACTCTTTACGTATCTAAAAAGTATTAGCAATTGGGAGAGCATATTACTGGCTCCAAGTCACAAAACATGCTCAGTAATACCAAAACAAAAAGTTTTATTTTTAAATATAATAATTGCTACTTCTCGAAAAAAAAAAAACTTTGGTTTATAAAGTTACTTAATACCAAAAATAAAATTGCAAATCATAACATCTATTTCTTCATTTTAAATTAAGATCCTAAGATTAGATCTCTCCAAAAACTGGACAATAGGCATTCGACATTCAAATTATTCATTACAACACATTTAAATTTGCATTATAGAACCTATTCTACTAAATTTCAAAGTAATAATAATAAAAAAAAAAAACATTGCATTGGCCAAGCAATAAAAAAACTTTAATGAAAAAGTTAAAAACCAATTTTATTGTAAACAAAACAAATGTGAAAAGAGGGGGGAAAAAAAGAGCAAAAGGCTAAACTAGATTAAGTTGTCAAGAAAATATTACTTGTATTTTGGAATTTCTTCCAATGTTTTATCTTCCTTAACTCTGTGTATAAGATCTGATTGCTCATTATCATAAGGGGAAAGCACAAGATACATGACAACTTTTTTCAAGGCCACTAGCTTTTTCTCAGGATCTTCTTGTATTTGAGGAGTGCCATAAACTGCTCTAAAATGTTTACAAATAGCCAGATAGGATCCTTCATGTTGATCTAAGATGATCATCAAATGATAAAATTTCAACTTCAAATCCTGAAACAAAAGTAATACTTAAATACAAGAACACTAAAAAATATTTGCAGCCTGTTTTAATTGGATCCGGAGCAAGCAGTTTGTAATCAATGTAAACCTTCTTCATATGTTTTTAAGTTAGATCTTAATAAAATAATGATTATGGTGAGTAATAAAGTTTCTATTAGAAATTTGTATGCTGGAGTATTTATTTAATAATAAATTGTTTTCTTACCTGCACAGAAGCATCCTCAAAAAATTTTGTGCTTATTTTCTTGCTTATAATTTGAGTTCTAACATAATCTTTTATTTCTAAACAAAGTCTCATCTGTTCAAGTATAAGTTCAACTTTTTCTCTACGGTCCATTGAACCAAAAGTTTCCACCTGTAAAGAAATGGTTTAAAATTACATAAATAGGACAATTAATTAAAAAATAACAAAAATCAATGATATTTTAATTTAATTTTTTTCTGCACCATTACAGAAAATGTTTGCTTATTACTATTTAATTAGACAAAATACAAAAAATTTGTATGTACGGAGGATCAAACTCTACTTATTGCAGGCATTGATTTGACAAGATCTCTGGCCTGTTGAGAATATTTTTAAAAAAGTGTTAGTTTAACATTATAGTTTGTATAAAATTTTGCTGTCAAGAACATAACTTGCATTTAATGATGAATCTTTTCTATACTTCTCAAAAATTATTTTATGAAAATTGTCAAAGAAAAGCAGAACTGTTCAAGGAACAAGAGCACTTTAAGTTGTTGAAAAATTTTATACAAAAATAAACAATGAAGTATAATTATGAAAAGTTATTCAATTAACTGACAAATTTAATTACAAGGCTATAGCTTAGCACAGTAACATATGATTAAGATTTGTGGGTGGTCACTGCAATACGGGCTTTGAAGTAGTTAGGGGAAATGACTGAGCCCATCTGGAACGTTAAACTTAAAAATTATGACTACCTCATACATATACACATGTGTTACAGCTTATTTATTTTTTTAAACATAAAAATAATATAGAAAAGGGAAAAAATATGGCATAGATTTTTTAAAATATTAATTAGTATTTGTTATACAACGGAAGAACTGATAGTAATTTTTACGAAACAGTATAGCGTTGGCAAGATCTTCTTTGACAGAGGACCATAGATCCAATTTCATAAATTTCAGAGCTAGGAATAGTTTTTCAACACCAACTTGAGTAGGTGTTACAGTACTTTTTTAAAAACTTTTCAGGATAGATTTGTTCCTCAAGGGCTGCGTAGAAATCATGCTAGCATTTTCCCCATTTTATATAAAAAAGCTTTTGGTTCTTTATTTTCCTTCACTGTGCATTAGTATCTTCAAAATTATTAAAATATTTTTCAAAATCTAGTTTATCATTGGAAAAGGATGACAGACTTAGTAGAAATGTCGGCAGTATCCTGATTTGAATGCTGTTCTGAGAATAATTTCATTCTGAGTGAAGCTTAAAAGTTTGCTTTCTTTGCCTCTTTAATTAGCTAGTTATCCAAAGTCAGTCAGTCTGGAGTCAAACTTTGTGTTTTTAGAGACAGCATGATTTCCTATTTACCAAAAAACCGCCACCTTTGATTCAAACTACACGAATCCAGGTTGCAATGACTGAAAGAAAATGTTAACTATGTTCACCATTAAAAAATGTGATGAGCCGTGAGTCGATATGTAAGCTCTAGACCAAACTTTTGTATATCACAAGTCAGATTTGGCACATTCTTTTCTGGTTATATTCATGCAACGAGTTTTTGAAATGTAACACTAAAATTTGGTGTTCTGTTTCAGAATTTTCAACGATTAAAAACCTAAGTAAAAACACTCGAAAAATTTAAGCAATTTTCATGTCATTTGAAAATAAATGAACTCACAGTAAAACTATCAGCATATACTTTAAATATTGTAAATGAAGAGTAAATTAGGGTCAACAGCCAAAATTTTCAGAAATTAAATAAGAAAATAGTGTTGGAAAAGAAATAAAAAATTTAAAGAATATAATTCTGAGGAGAAAAAAAAATATTAAAAAATTGCGCAGAAAAAGAAATTAAAATACAGTAGGAAACCGATTATCCGGAACGATCGGGACCGTCGCTATNTCATTTCTCTTAACTCTAGGGCTAATACAATAGATCGAAGAAAGAAGTCTCCTTTTCTCCCACCGAAACCAGTCTTAAAGAGGGACCCCGCAACCCTACTTAAAATAATCATACCTCGTTACCATAGTCCCCGCCACCCCTCCAGACGAATGGCGGACAGAGTACCTATCGTAGACAAACAGTAGATCCAATTTCAGAGCTAGGAATAGTTTTTCAACACCAACTTGAGTAGGTGTTACAGTACTTTTTTTAAAACTTTTCAGGATAGATTCAAGGGCTGCTTAGAAATCATGCTAGCATTTTTCCTATTTTATATAAAAAGCTTTTGGTTCTTTATTTTCTTTCACTATGTTTAGTATCTTCAATATTAAAATATTTTTCAAAATCTAGTTTATCATTGGAAAAGGATGACAGACTTAGTTGCATCCAGATTTGAATGCTGTTCTGAGAATAATTTCATTCTGAGTGAAACTTAAAAGTTTACTTTCTTTGCCTCTTTAATTAGCTAGCTTTGATTCAAACTACATGACTCCAGGTTGCAATGACCGAAAGAAAATGTTAATCATGTTCACCATTAAAAATGTGATGAGCCGTGAGTTGATATGTAAGCTCTAGATCAAACTTTTGTATATCACAAGTCAGATTTGGCACATTTTTTTCTGGTTATATTCATGCAACAAGTTTTTGAAATGTAACACTAAAAGTTGGTGTTCTGCTTCAGAATTTTCAACGATAAAAACACTCAAAAAATTTAAGCAATTTTCATGTCATTTGAAAATAAATGAACTCATAGTAAAACTATCAGCACATACTTTAAATATTGTAAATGAAGAGTTAATTAGGGACAGCAGTCAAAATTTTCAGAAATTAAATTAGAAAACGGCGTTGGAAAACAAATAAAAAATGTAACGAATATAATTCTGAGGAGAAAAAAAAATTATTAAAAAATTGCGTAGAAAAAGAAATTAAAATACTTTACATTCCAAAGGAAAAATCATTCGGCAAACACTCTAAAAGTTCTATGACAATGTCGATATGATTTAGCCATTGAATTATTAATACCAATTAGAATATAACTTTGGTTTCAAGATTTTGCTAAACTTAAATCGAAATAAGACGAGGGGAAAAAAACTCGCACCATAATCTTATTTCTCTTCAAGCTGTGCGTCTTTATTTTTCCTTCACTCCAATTGAACATGAATTGACAAGCAGACAGGTACAGAAAAAGAATTCATGTTTTATAATGCTATGTACCCACACCCCTTTAAAGAGGAATAAATTGAAAAACAGTTGCAATGTTACAGTGTGCAACAGTAAGCGTTGAGTCATTATTCCGTTTCTTGGCTATCACTATGTTCAAATAGGAAATGGCAGAAATGACAATTAAAAAAAAATATTACAGGAAATAACAGCAGAAAAGGAGGGGCATGGTTCCTGAATAAATGAGAATTTAGCAATCTAATCTTATACAAAAGAACATCCTGTATTAAATAGCTTTCTTGTGTTCCATATGCATACTACAGCAAGTTTTTTCCTATGAGAAAAACTAAAACTGCACAGAAAAAACACCTGAATTCAAGCAAAACACAAATAGTAGCTGGATCAAAAAGATATGCGAAATACAACATACAAATAAACACAAAACATTACACATATAAAATTTTCAATAGATTGATGATGGATATGCTTTAGCAATATAATCCCCCCTGTTAAATTAAAAGCACAGCTTCGCTTTTTTTCTGTGCTTAGTTTATAAACTAAAAACATAAGATTTTTTATTTATATCTTCACTCAGACCAATTAACTTGTTACACATCTTTTTTTAAAAAGAACTTTTTTACTGAACTCCTGTATCATCAGTCCTTTTTGAGAATTTCAGAAATTTGAAATATGATCTTAAATCTGTATTACACAACAATAAAATGTTTTTTCTTCTATTTTTTAAAAATTCTATTTACAAAGAAAGGTTTTAATATAAAATCTAGAGACGAATTAACACTTAACAATCAAATTATCTTTTAAAAACCATCATGAGGAAATCTTTACAGTATATTTAATCCCATCATCGAAAAATTTAATTTTACCTGTAATTCTTGCAGAATTTTTGCAGCTTCATCAACTTTGTTTTCATCTTCTCTTATTTTGCACAGTTTATAAGTTAGTCGAGCTCTCTCTACTTCCACATAAATCTAAAAAATGAAAATCTTACATGCTTAACAAAATCTGCCCAGCTATCATTAAACATTATTAATTAATACTAAGCTAATAAATTATCAATTAAATATAAGTTTTTAAAAGAAAAAATATTGTAAATATTATTTAAAAGAAATAGATTAAAGATTTCGTGCACATCAAATATACACAAAAATAATACAGTAGTTAAACAAAATTAAAAACCTCGGAAAATAAAAAAAATTGGTGCAATATCAAATTTATATAGACAAAATTAAACAAAACATATTACTTTCCTCGAAAAGAAAAAAATGAAATAAATTCTGAGTATCAAACTTTCATAATTAGAAATTCTGTGATCTGCCTATTAATATGTAGCATCTTAATAATGGATTTATTGAAAGATGAGATAAAGACATCACTAGATGAGATAAAGACATTAACACTTGATATCATAGACCATCTTTTATCTTTATTTTTACGTTGGAGAAACTCCCCCTTTCTTTTCACTAGATTTTGTTTAATAATGCACACTAATAGTCAGACACTAAACATTAAACTGTCAAAATAATTTCAAGATTGTTAAAGTCAAGAAAATAACCTTAAAACCTGTGACTGAATTTTTTTAAGCTGCGACAAACTTCTCTAGCACGAATATCTATCTGCAAGATACTTTTAATAATAACAAGTATACATGTTACTAATCTATAAAAAAAAATTCCATTAAAATTTTTTTTAAACGAATGTAATTTCTTAAAACTTCTAATATCATGGTGATACTCTCACATTTTGTTAAAGGAGAACACTAATTATTTTCTTTTTTGTATTTTGTAAATCATCATAATATAAAAAAATAAAATAAAAATCAGCACTGAAATCGCACCAACCTGACTCTTAAAAAAAGGGGGTACAAAATGTGTGTCTCGTTTCGAGATTCGGTTGTTGTAATAAAGGTATTTCCTGCAACAACAACAAAAAAAAGCTATAGAACCACTGCTTTAAGACTTAAATATTCATATGCACAATTCGAATTTTCCATATTGTCAAAAATATATAGGGATATTTCAAAATCAATAACTGCCGAAAATGCAATCGAAGACTACACAGATTTTTGACAGTACCAGCATAAAGTTAGTGTGTCAAAGTGATTAATTAAATGGGCAGTTTAAATTTTCTATGTAGAAATAATATTAATTGTGAAATAACTGGAATTTAAAAAACCCTATGGGATTTGGTAGCATTAGCAATAAAAAGTGAAATTAATTATAAAAAGTATTTCGTATATAATTAAATTGTATAAAAAACATGATTTGTTTCTTAAAGAATGTAAAAACTCGCAGCAATAACTGTCAAAAGAACAATTGAAGTACAGTAAACGAGAATATTATGTAATGAGGCTATCGGTGCTAAACGAGTTTGTCAAAGAGTGATTTCTTGAATTCGAGTTTTGCGTGTCATAATAATATGGGTAGGTATATTTCAAAAATTAACGAGAATACAAATAATAACTGAGCATAAATGATAACTGACATCGGAATTTGGAAGAAAAAAAAAAGCAAACATTTTAGTAATAATTGCCAGAAAAAGGAGAAGATTAAAACACTACATACTTAAAATTGGAATCGACAAAAGTTGCGATACAAAAGATGAAATTTGAATTTATAACAATATTCTCCCCTCCCAGTCAAATTTTATTAAAGTGTGTAAAATTAAAGGGTGAAATATGGTGGTAAGAAAAAAATATGAATGAAAGAACATGACTTCTAGAATGGAACTACCTTTTCAGCTTTAGCGATTTCTGTTTTTTTTTTTTTTTCCGCTTTAATATTTTCTAATAGAAATTCTAGCTGAAAATAGGGTTGCCACTCATATATGGGAAAAAAAAAATTCCTTGTACATATTATACACAATATATTAAGAGGAAACAATGATTATTGTGCTCTTGCGTGAGCTCAGGGGTCTGTCTAGATTTTTCTGAGAGGCACCTATTTTGTGAAAATTTAGATATAATTTGTGAAAATTAAAAATTATATTAAAAAATCAACACATAGATATGGAGTTATCGCTTTTTACGGGATGCAAAAATAAAATTTTAAGAAAAAGTATTTTGGATTTTCCTAAAGTTGAATTTGTGAAGGTACCGCTGAAAACGGTAGTAAATTTGGTTTGGACTGACCCCTGGAGCTATATTGGGCAGACTTTATTTATTAGTTTTAATTACTGGAAAAATAGCTGAACATACTTAAATAATGCTATAGTTTAGTATAGCTGAAATATCATGGTTAAATATCCCATAGATTAAGCTTTGAGAGGTCACTATTTTTTAAAAGACGAAAATAAGAAACTAAAATCCTTGTATCTTGTATTAAATTCCCAGTATTCTCCTGTTTTTCCTGAATTCATTATTGAATTTTTAATTTCTGAAATAAGAACCGAAAAATCACAAATTCCCCCCCCCTCGATGCGCGTGAAAAGAATCCTTTGAAAAATGAAGTAGAAGTTTTGTTATTTAATATACATTATTATACAAAAATCCTAGAGGAAAAAAAATATGTTGACAATCTCTGTAGAAAAGTAAACCAAGATTTTTTTTTTCTTCACTAATTCTTATTTTTCACTATTTTAAAATAAGAGTAGAAAAGTCACAAGCATTTCTCTTCCCTCTAATGCGCAAAAAAGACATCTTTTGGCAATAATTATGAAGGAAAAAATGTTTCGAACATATCTCGAAAATCATTAGAAATCATTAACATCAAGAAAAATCATTAACATTTCTTTCCCCTACGATGCGTGAAAAAGGCATCTTTTAACCCCCTAACGCAGATTTTTGAAAAAAAAAAAAAAATCTCTCTCTCTCTATATATATATATATAAAAAAACCATTTTAGAACACAGATAAAGCATTTTCAATTCTCGATTATATTCGAGTTTGAAAAATTATAGCAGCATAAAATATAACGCCGCTCGAATTATTTCGAGTGTGCACAGTCTGTTTAGCATACTCGAATTAACTCGAGCACACAAGTTAAGAGGTTAAATATAATTTTAGAGATGTAACTATTATTATTAATTATATTAATAACCCTAAAGGAAAATTCTTTCTGCAAGAACTCTGTCTCAATGGGGACTTTAAAGAACAATGAAGTCATGGTATTAATCATTCCTTAAAAAAATTTGAAAGAGATTTACTTTTCCAGCTGTAACTTGGCGAAGTGTATCTATTAACTCCAATTGAGTTTTCTTATCTGGCATTTGATCTACATAAGTGCAACACTCTTGAATCATCTTCGTAACAGCTTGTTTGATTTGACTCCGTCTTTTAGTCAGCAAAACAATGTGTTCATTCAAAGCAGTATAATTCTTTGTTTCAAAACATAGTCGAACAATTGCAACTAACACTCGTCCACATGAATGAGTATCTGCTCCCTACAAGGATAAACATTATAAAAGTATTTTAAATGAAATTACCTTTATAACCTGAATTGTATGTATGGGTCATGTACCTAAAAATCACCATGCTTGAATTTAAACTTTCATTTAGCTCTGACATTATTAAACAGCTCAGATTAATATTAGAAAGTGTAGTAATGTTCAAATAATCAAATCAATAGTAAATAAATTGTAGCTCAAGGTCATTGCATACAATTTTTTTTTGAAGTAATTAATAATTAGCTTTTGGAAAAAAGCATCAAACTCTTTTAAAACTTCACTTTAGACTTAATCTTATATTTTGGCACTTTTTTACAGAATTATTCACATCATTTAATTCAACAATTTATCATGCTTTACTTAAAAGTTTTAAATAACTATCATATTGCCTTGGTTTTATATTAATAGCTTTATTTACACTTGTTTGGTCCAATGGACAAAAACTCGTGATTCCAGAAGTGAAATTATGTGTTTGGAACAAGCCTCCTTCCAGATGCTTAATTTTGACGAACACAATTATATGTATTTTAAATTGTATATTAAACAAAATAATGTAAATTTTTTTAAAAAATAAAAACGCAAATAAACACAAATTTTTCATTGGGCAATTTATTTTCACCCAATTAAAATAATGCTTGATATTATAATTTAGTATTAATTCATCATTCCTAATACTATAATTTATATCAGTAGATAACAAAACTATGCTTCAAAAACTACATTTTTATTAACATGCAACAAACTATACTTACAGTTCTTGTTTGCTTTTCCAATGACAGAAGAATATCTAGAGCTTCCGTCAATTTTCCTTCCTAAAACATAATTTATGTTATAGTTTAAAAGAAACATTTAAGAAACTCAAAAACTTATTCCTCACTATGCAAACATTTAAACTTCAATCTTTTAAAATATTATTTCGGATCATCTATTACAGATTAGTTAGAAAAGAATGTTATCTTATAAATTATTTATTGTATACTATAGTTATTTTGAGAGTATAAGTAAAAAAAAAAAACTTATTCGGGAACTTGAATCATTACCTTCGATCTTATTGCCATGAAAGTAGCACAAATACAGTTAAATATAAAAAGGCATACCTGCTAACTTTTACGCATTTGGTGTAAAATTTTACTTCCATATTTAAAGTGGTAGTAAAATGTATGCTTTCTATATGTTCCTTGCATTCATAAACTTAATTAATAATATTTTTGATCCACCACTATTTTTAAAAAAATTAAGCATATCTATTAATATGTAATACTGTTGTATTAATCCACATAAGCTTGTTCAAAATACAGCGAATGTTTCTGCTTAAAATTGTAATTTAAATTTCATTTTACTACCACTGGGGAATATCATCCTTGAAAGGATAAAAAGTTGGCAGGTATGTAAAAAGATTAGTAGGTTCAAAATAAAAATATTACTTTAGGAAGATAATTAAAATAAGAAATTTCTATCCAAAAAATTTAAATATATAAAAAAAGCTTCAATCTTCATAACAAAAGTATTCTTCAAAGAAAAGCTATTAATAAATTTTTTTCCCTAAAAATCAAATTTAAATAAATTTTTTATAATTAAAAACTTTCATTTATAAAACGTTAAATTATTAAAAAAGACAATGGTTAAACATAATAAAATATTTATCAATAAACAAATTTGTTTATTAAACCTTAAAATATTATCAATGGTCAAACAGATTAATAACTAATGAAAAGGTATGATTTTTGGATTTTCTATTGTTTTGGTATTAGTATTTGGTATACAGGATACTACAGGGTTCATACAGAGATCAGAAGAAGAAATCCAAGGAGTTCAAAATTTTAAGGACTAATCAAAAATTAAAAAACTTTGTAAAAGATAACTAGACAGTTTTATTTTTTTTAAAATATAAAAAGCAGTTATTATAAGGAACTCACAAAAATGTATAGTTTGCATATTTCCTTCTAGCCCTTTTGAAATAAATTTTGACTTTGTCAAACTTCACCAAGAAAAATAAATTAAGTTCACTTTTACACATAAATAAATTTTCCAGTTTCAAATATTTTAATAGATCTTGTTGAAGTACAGATGTTAAAGATTAACATAAAATCCTACGAATCTTATGTTTTTAAATTTGAATACATAAGAAAATTTAAGGCATTNAAAAAAAAAAAAAAAAAAAAAAAAAAAAAAAAAAAAAAAAAAAAAAAAAAAAAAAAACAGTAAATTAATAAAGTTTGCTTGTAACATGTAAAATTATTTGCTGTTAATTTTCTCTACTAACTCTTGCAATTCAATTTTTTTTCTTTTAAAGTTTTTCTTAAACTATTAGATTTTGACAGCTAAGTCATATAATTTAGTTTCCCTGTTTGGACAGCAAATTCATCAGCGTACTTAGTAAGTTCATCTATGCAACACAATAATCTAAGGAGTTTCTAAAGACTAATTTAGAAATCTAAGTAGATCCAAGTACTCCTTGGAGACTTTTTTATTTCCAAGGAGTATAAGGAGTCTATACGCACTCTGGATACATGATTAATTTATCCTTCCTGTATACGAAGAGGGTGAAAAAAACTGACTTTCTGAAATTATAATTTTTGTGCCTTTACTTTTTCAGTCTTAGATAAAGAAGTCGCATAAGTCATACCTACAACTCAAGCCCACAAATGTTTCTGAGTATAAGAATTAGTAGGCATTTTGCTTTGATACATTAATTCTGATGAGTCATCAGATAAGATTTAAGTTCTTGGCGTGTGACAGTTACTTTTCTGAAACAAGATTAATGTTATTTCTTTTGTTTTAATAGTTTGCATAAACTAGTAGCAAGATAGAGAAAAAGAGTTAAGATTTGAAAAGTTATTTGGAAATACTGAGCAGAGTTAGATAATATATAGATGCACAGATACACACAAGGAAATTCTGTGGATATTTTTTAAAATTAACATGGGAAACAATGTAAAATATCAAAATTCCAAGTATTTTTTATTATTATCTGGAAATTTTATTCTTACATCTCTCATATGCTCTGCACTCATACATTTTTCCAGTATTAAGAAAAATTATAAATACTACAATTATCTTAGTTCCAATTTTTCTTCCATTACTTATTATTTTTCAGTAAAATAATAAGTAATTTCAATATTCATTCAGTACTCATTTCAGTATAACAAGTAATTCAATTTTTCAGTAAAATAATAAGTAATAGAGTCGGAACAATATATCTTAAGTAATTAAGGGTGTTAAATTTTTCATTCCGCGCAATGTACATTAACAGTATATGAGATTCAAAACCAAAATATACTAGTTTTTAAGTGAACTTTACTAACGTTGCCGTAAAAATATTGTTATAGAAGTTTATATTCATTCCATAGAAAACGATTAAGTCATTGTGCATGTTAGTAGCATTATAGTGTAAGTTATAATACCTGACATAATTTTTGACAAACAGGGATTTTCTCATCCACAGTAGAACTGTAATCCTCTTCCATCTTTAAAATTCGACCAGAATCCGTGAAACCCTCCGCCATGTTGCTAATAATAGATTGATAGATAAAATAACATAATAGAGCACAATATAACAATGGTACAATAACAAATACTCACATTATAGTATAAAAATATAATTTTTTTAACAGAATTCCAAATATTTTTCAAAACACAATGAATCGGCACGTAATAACGACACGGTTACAATTGCATACCTTACTGACAAATGCTCTAGTGCGACGTAAATTAACAACAACAAATTTTTTAAATAATTCAAAAATGATTGAACTATGAGATTTTTGCTTCAAAGCTTTTAATATCTACTCATGTAAAATAAGCGAACAATTTAAATTTTTGAATGAAAAATTTAAAATAAATTTAAATTAGTTTTAGAACTGAAGTGAGTTTATTGTTATGTTGATATTGAAATATAATTGTTATTATTCTGGTTGTATGTTGGTTTATAGAAAAATTTCCATTGAAGAATTATTTCTAAGTATGCCAGGATTTGAATAATATTAGCAAGTACATTATAAGTGTCTATTAGCCATTGTTTTTATCCGAAGGAAGAGGTAGGACCAAAGCGCTTATTAAGACCTCTTACAATTCTGTTCTAATAAATATCTTCATTTCTTTTGATCAGATCCAAGGGAAATATCAAAAGTAATTTAATAATACCCATTAAAAGATTTTTTAATTATGGTGTGTGATTAAAATAAATTCACTCCCTTTTTTTTCCTAATAATTACATAGAATTATTAAATATGGCGTTTTGCATCAATCGCTCAATTCATTTTTTTATTTTATAACCATCATTGAACAGCTGACCCAAATTTGAGTTTACGACTCCGTAGCCTTGCAATTTTGTACCCAATCTAAAATACAAAGTAATTCCTGGATCAGTACCCCCAGTGCTACTGATTTGTTTTGGGAATTTGGAGGACTTGAGGGGATTTAATTATTGACTATGTCAACCTTCATCTACCAAACGGTACCTCATGGTAGAATCAATTTAACATATCTTATATACTAGTGATTTGGTATTTAACATTTGTAGGGGTAGTTTTAGGCCACAGACTTTGTGATCTGACAGATTTACTGTGCACCCGTCACCATGAAAAACTATATTTGATTCTTTTGATGTTGCAATAGATAGTTTTGCAAGTGTGTTAATTTCGTTGTTTTGTTGTGTTGTTAATTTTGTTACCCAAATAACTGAAATTGAGAAAGAAACAAACAGTACACTTGTTTATTTTTAACAAGGTCTGATAAAATAAAAATTTTCAAATATAGGTAATTACAAAGATGTAGCATGGGTTTACATGTCAGATATTATAGCAGTGCTGCCAACTCCAACTTCAGATAACTGAAGACTCACTTTTGACAGTGATGTTTCCCTTTAACTAGTTGTCAAATTTGTAAGACGACCCTCTGTTACATTTCATATCCTCTCTGTTACGACACATTATTTGGTAAAATGTGTTTGTAATTTTAAAATACTTATAATAATTTATATGAATTGTGATAATTTTAAGAAAATTACAGGGTAGTGTCTCGGATAGTCCAAATCACAGAATTTAGCGTAAGTAGCAATGCGTGTTAAAAAATGTGGGATTTTATTTGTCACCACTGTCACAAGTACTTTTCATTAACTTGCAATTTAATGATGAGGCTCTTTTATTATTTTATGACAATTAATTAAAAATTGCACCCTAAAGTTGCCTATTGTAGAATTTTTCTTTTCAGAAATATTTAATCTATTTTTTATAATGAAATATTTGCATGAATGCCTACAGATGTTAACTCTATTATAATCTATCAATTTATAAAAAATAAAAAAAAGCAATTTTACATGTTAATGTCTAAATTGATTAATAATGACACATCATTACATACACATTGCAATAAAATGAATGTAAAAGGACAAAAACTATAGTTGTGAAACGTAGAAAGTTCTCTTTTTATTAATTTTTATTCACATTCAATAGCGCAGCAGTATGCAACCATCTTTTATTTATGGAATTTTATAGTTCGAAATATAGCTTGGCAATCTATCTCCATGGTAATGGGTGGGGATTACAGGGAAAATTGTCCTTGAATCAAGTGACAACATTCTTTACAACGAAAGATTGACTACAGAGAGGGGCTCTCACTACATTAATTATTCCTCTAAGATCTTTTAATTCTGAGGTCTAAATTTAGAGAGAAAAAAATAGTCTTCGCAAATTCATTACATGTTTTTTATATACATAAATGTAACTGTTGTTGAGCAGCCGACGTCTTTTGAGTTTACGTCTACTGATGTTCTTGATAATAATGTGCTTGGAAATATTGTTATATCAAGTCAAACACAGGTGTGCCGAATATGTCGGGTCATGCCAACGTGATTTGGAGGAAGTCAGGCATTCTTGGAAGAAATTTTTGTGTCATAAAAAATTTGCTGTAAACATCTTGTAGCAATTTTTTCCTATCTGTTGTTAAAACTTGTTGCAAAATTTAAAATGTAGTATTTGAGCAAACATAAGAAATATTGGAAAGTAAATAATCATTTAAATACCTTATGTCTGATACGTGGTGGCTCAGGAGATAGAACATTCGTTTTCCAATGAGGTGAATCTGGTTTGAATCCGAGCAATGGATGGTAGGTAGATACAAATTCCGCATCTGGCTCCCATCGGCCACAGTGCTGATGTAAAATATTCTCAGTGGTAGAGGGATTTGGGAATCAAGGTTGTCCTCTTCATGTAACGCTAATACGGATTAGTTCCATCAAAAAGTTTTTCAGAAAGGCAAATTTCTCCCAATGCTTGATTCAGGAGTTCCATTTTCTTCTAGATTGGGTTCAGAATTACAAGGTTACAGAGTTGGACATTAGTAGTAGTGATGCAACGGATCTTAATTTGGGCGGATACCGGCACAATTTAACTAATGGTTCCAAACTCCTCCTTTTATTATACATTATATAAATAAATGACTGAAAAATAATATGTAGTAACAAAAAATGTGTTATCTTTTATTTTTATTGCAAATATTGGCTTGATTACATCTATTTTTCAGTTTATGTCCATCTTATCTTAAATAAAGAACGTTTTACATTTACTGCTCGTCATAGTTTAATTTGTGACACTTATTTGCAGGATTCTTTAACTGAACTGAGAGTATAAACAAGTTGAAATTAGTGCCTTATCATCACAGATTAGTGTCCACCCCTTTGACCATTAATGAATAACTACACATTCCAATGCTCTCTCTCTGATAGGAAAGAAAAATTAACCCCATTGGCCCCTTACAGTTGCAACATCTGCTGGTGTTGGCTTTTGTTTAGGGATGGGAAAGTGAGATAAACGAAGCAAACAAGAAAAATGCTTAATGCTATCTTCCCTGCTATATATGATTTTAAAAATCGGTTTATGTAATTATTTTGAAGTAGAAATTTCAAAATTATTATAAAAAAATGAAGGGAAAAAATTAGTCGAAGACAGAAAGAAGTTCATTATATCCGATTTCCTCTCTTCCTGTGGTTCACTATATCCACAAAAAATGACATTATACGTGTATAGCAAGGCACGTGAACGAACTTTTCGTTCACTATAGCGGTATTTGACTGTATTTATATTTAATTGGACTAGACAAAACTATTATTTTTCTTTTGCTTATATGATTATATTTCTTTTAAATAAACTTTCAATTAAAAGTACTTAACTTTAAATTTCTGAATATCAATAAATAACTATTATATAAATAACACTTAGTTGAAGAATGTTATCTGCACTGAGTATTGTGCTTAGCTTAAATAAAACCACTGATTGAATATTTATTATAAGTAAGTGGCAGAAACAAACATCTGTTAAAGATTCAAACTTATTTATATTAAAAATCAAATTGAAATAATGAATAAATTAATAATTTTAAAAATATTTCTTTCTTTTGTTCTTAATATTGAAGTATATATATACTTTTAATCATCTTTTTCTGAAATAATGTAATTTAGTAGTTGTAAACCCTAAATTGGGTTGGTGGTTCAACGACGGTTAAAAAATAAAAATATCTTTGTCATATTAGCTTACTGTGAAAATATATTATGTAAATATATAAGAAAAAAATATCTGCTATGTCAAAACTGACGCTAATTGAAATATATGTCAGTTTATTTATTTATTGTTTTGAATTCCTTAAGCTTTTGACTGGGGCTTAAAATTTAGTTGTGAAAATTTTTATTCTTTCAATGTATTTTGATTTCTATTATTTTTAACGCATGCTAATTTATTCTCAAAATGTGTAGAATCAAATGAGTTTTTCTTCATTTTGAAAGGAAAAATTTTAACAATTGGTGAACTATACTTTCTAAAATTATTTTGGGAAAGTTATTGTAATTTTAGAAAGCTCTGCAATTTAGGGACTAATTTCAAACCGGGGAAGGAAAAAAAAAAAAAACTGTGGTCTAGGGAAATATTAGGCATTGAAAATTTTTTGCACCCCTTGGTTGAGCATGCATTAAAAATGATACTAATGTAGATAAATATTTCTGCAATCTTTTATAGATTTTCTTAACTAAGGATTAAATTTTTTACAAATTCATTTAAAAAAATTATTCTTATTATTTGCAGTTGTATTATATTAGACGCTTGCTAAAGATGGAAATTTGTGAAGCACCTGATCCTGTTGAAGTTACTGTAAGTTTCTAATGTTATAGTTTTAGATTGTGTTATCTAGAGTAATGTTACAAATTTTGAGTATCAGATTATGATAATTACTTCTGTTTTAGAATTTTCATTTTTGCCAGTTGAGAACATTGAGACTTGCTAAGGGAGATGAAAAAGTACCAAAAGATTGTATTAATATTGTAGCCTCAGCAAGTAAATATGGATTACTCTTCGTTGGAATTGAGCATGGTAAGCTGTAATTTTATCACAAATAGTTAAAATGTGTCAAATTTTTAATTTCTTATTTGAGTAATGAATACTGAATATTTAGCTAAACACAGTTGAACTCTCTTATTACTAGTTTGATAATAATATATTTTTTTTACTTGATTTAAATCACTGATCTATATCAAATTATTCAGATTAGTAACTCAAATTGTGCGGTTCAGATCACTGATTGATATCAGGTGATTAAATTCACAATACAAATCAAGGGATTCTAACCACCTTTTAAAATATGATTTGAATCAAGTGATTCAGAACTTCATTCGAATCAAGTTCTTTGGATCACCAATTCAAATAACCAATCACTATCGAATTACATGATTCAACTTAGATTTCAAGTTCAGTTTCCTTCCTTACCTAGTGCCCTTTATCTCCATGCCAACTGTCAATAGAAGAAAAAAGTATTAAATTGTTAGAACTTGTTTAAATAAATAAATATGCTTATTATATCTTTCATATAATTTTAATATGTATTTTGCTAGAAGATCTAAATACTTTTAATTGTGGCAAGTTAGTGCATTACTATTTTCGCTTTATAAATTTTTTTATTTGCGAATTCTTAGAATGGGAAATCTTGAATACTTTATAATGGTTGCATTAAAAACACCATGATGTAACAAGACATTTTTAACTTTGTGTAATGTGGCATTAGTATGAAATTAAAGGAATTGAAATTTAAGAAACAATAATTCATTGTAATTTAAATCTATTCAGATAAAATCAACTGATTCAAATCACTAAATTGAAAAAAAAAGAAAAAGAAATCAGTTATCTGTTGGCAATTTCTTTAATGTGTTAAACTGTATTTAATTTCCCTTAATTAATTTCCGATTCTTTATTGGATAGAATTTAAATTTTATTTTACATAGTCTCTATTAAATCTTAAACTGCAAATTTGTTTTTAAAATTATTATTTAAATTAGTTTTCTTTTATAAAACCTATTAAATATTTTTCCTTAAAAAGATTATATAGTAAAATTGTGAAAATTTCGTTTAGTATTGTTTAAAATTTTTTAATAGTTTCTTGGTATTAATTTTTATAATTGACCACATTGACTGAATGCAATTTCATGTGAAATCTAATATAACTGTAAACGTAATTAGTAAAGTATATGTAAGTTATTAAAAATAAATACAACTTATTCAGTATTTAATAATTTTAAAATTGTAATTCCATTCTTTTTAACATGGTAAGGTAAAATAATGCAATTACTTAATAAAGTAACAACACTTTCATAACTTTGAATGATAGTCGTTATCAAACGTTATCGACGGACTAAGTCATTATCGACGGACTAAGAAGATAGCCGAGATATAAAAAAGTGATGATAATATTGATAAATATGTTAAAAAAAGGATTAATAGATAATTTACAAGCATTAATTATATTAATTTTATGTGTTTTTAACAGGATTTTTGATTATTCATAATCAAATATATTTGGTTTTTCTGTTCAACATAAATACAAATAGACAATTTCCTTTTTATGATAAATAGGGATATACACTTTTATTTTTCCTTTATTAGGTTTTAAAGTTTTTAAACTGGAAAACATTTTGAATTTAAGTGAAGACAGAGAAAACAAAAGTATTGAAGAAAATTATTACTGCCAAGTAGTATCTTCTGAAACCCCTGTTTTGATGTCCATAAGTGCTGATCAGAAAACTTTAGCTGTTTGTTTTAACAGAAATGGTTCATTGATTTCTGACATGTATGACATTGCTGCTTTTGAAGATCCAGTAAGTGTCATCATTTTGACCTACATTATGTTATTATTACTTCTGTTTGTATATTAATCTATTAAAACTGTTATGTATTTTTGTTATTGTAATGCTTAATATTGTGTTAATCATTATTTAATAATTTTATTTTCAAATTTGTAGCCCAGATATCCTTCAAAATCTAAGTCTTTTGTAAGAACCTGAAAATTTCAGATTTTTTTTTTAAAAAAAGTATATAATGTATGTTTTATGATGCTAAAATATTAATTTTGTATTTTTAGAAAGATTCTTATTTTAAAAAGTACACTTACAATTTTAGAATTTTACTGTCCAGTTTTTATATTAATTTATTTCATAAGGTAATGAAAAGAACATCAATTTGTCGTAAAAACTAATAAACAATACATACATATGGACAATGTACAGTCAAACCTCTATATCATCATGCACTTTGATATCTTGAGAACACCTGAATTCCGTTCATGGTTAATAGAAAAAAAACTTTTTTTAGCTTAAGATATTTCTCAGTGACCCTCAATTTAAAGAAATATTTTCCATCACCAAAATTGTCCCTCTTCCAATGAAGAGTTTAGAAGGTTTTTTTGAATTCTAATACTTTTTCTTGAACAATTTTATAAATCATTTCTTAAAATTTAAAAGAGAAAAAGATGACCCTGTTTGAAAAGAAATTGTATGAATTATCTATTCCTCGAGAAATAGACAAGCAGGAGGTAGGAATATATAAGAATATGAGGGCATAAAATAGAGAATAACTTGCAAGTTTAATGAATCAAAAAAAAAAAAAAAAAACTGATATTTTAAAAAGAAGTAGTTACTGTGGACATAAATGTTTCATCAATTGTTCCTATCTGGAGATCAGGTTAATATAAGAGGCTAGAGTATCTGGAAATATACTAATAGAAATGGAGTATGGCAAAACAATAGAGAAATCAAATAAAGATGCAAAGATATTAACATTGCATAAATTAAGTTTTTTTTAAGTAAAGCATAAATTAATATATATATATATATTTTAAATAAATGCATGTTTTACAACTTTTAAAATTAGAGTCTAGTTATTTTCAATGAAATACTAAAAAATATTTGATTTTCCAAATTTTCAATTTAACAAAATATTTAACGTCCCTTTTCAGGTACATGATATTGAGGTTTGATTGTATATGTACAATTATATGAAGTTTTACAACCCTCTTTTTGTGATAAATATACATTATGGTAGGTTTTCTACGGTGTCTTGCTTTTTTAATGAATCTGATTTTGAATGAAGTTTGTCTTGAGCATGTTTAATCAGCTTGAGTAGAAAGCTATAAAGTTTCTTATGCCTGTAGTAAATGTTGTTTCTTGCAATTAATTTTTACTTGTTACACATTGAACATCTGCAGAACATAAAATTTTTTATTCAAATAATTTTTTAGGAAGATATTCTCATGTGTGAAAATTAAAATAAATAAAAATTAAAAAAATATGTACTATAAATTTTTTATGCAATTTATATCTTTAAGTTGCTCAGCTGCATCATTTAAATTGTTTTATAGCTGAGTTAAACTTGAGAGCCAGTTTTTTCTTCTTCTTTTTAAAATTGTGCAAATTTGTCAGTTTTGATTTTGCTGAAACTTTCAGGATTTGTTCACTATAAGACATATACTTTTTATTTTTCAATTTTTTTTTTTCTTCCTTGAAGTTTTAGAAGCTCAAATTTGAAGATCCTATAGAATTTTAAGAAAGCCACATCTATTTACATGCAGTAATACTTTTTGTGACATGACTGAACCATACTGTGTTCATAGTTTTCCTGATAAAAATTATTTTGTCCTTGTCTTCCTGATATTTGTGTGTGTCCAGAACATCCCATTTTCTTAGAATACAAATGCAGATTTTTATAAAAGGGTTTTGGAAAATCAAAAAATTCAAACTTTTGCCCTAATAGTTTTATTTTATATAATGCTCGTAGAATATGTAAAATTTGATAGTTCCAATTTAGAGACTGTCTAATATTTATATAAGTGGTTCTGGCATGTATCAATAGTCACAGCATTCATGTTCAAACCTTTTTTTGGAAATTTAAACATTCTTTGAAAGAGAAACTCAAGTGACTCTTTTATAATTTCAAATTTTTAGAATTAAGCATTCAGGGGTCATACACTTATTTATTATTTTAAGCAATTTCACTAACAAATCTTGTAGGGTGGACTTTTGTAGTTTCATAATTTTTAATTCTTCTCTTACATGAGATTTTAAAAACGATTGATTTCAATCAACAATAAAGTAATCATATAGAATTTTTAAACAATGATTTGAGGGATCATCCACTAAAATTACTTTCATATAAAAATGCTAATTTTCATATTCAGTGTTTTCATTTTGCTACTATTGAAATTATTACCTGATTATAGAAGTCTTGAACTGAATTACAAATTTTAATAATCTATTGGTGTGAGAGAATATTGATTAATTGATACAGTTTTTTTTAAGGAATGGTATTGTAATAATTTTCTGTGTATTGATTTTAACCTATTATGAATTCTTCAGTATTGGTAAAATTATGATGGAAATTGTTAAAACTATCAAACTAAACAAAGCATTTCTGAATAATATATTTTATTATTCTTTTTCTGTAAAATTTGATGCCCTAATTTTTTTGAAAAATGTCCTGATCTTTTCCTTTACCCACTACGAAGCATGTCTGTGTCATTGACCCTTATTTTGTGTACTACTTCCACACTAACTTTTAAGACATGAATATGTTCAATGAGGTTTAAAATATTAAAAAATCACTGAAATAAGGCTATATTCTTAAATTTTGACCATCAAAATTTACTTGTGCCAACAATAAACTACAAAGGTATATATTTCTGTGAATATTTTGCATATTAATTAGTACCTAAAAAAATCATATGATGTGTACATTTGGCAATACCTTTAAACTGACCATAAAATATCACAAAAATTGAAATTTCTTAGGGGACAACTTACATGTTCATTAACTGCTTTCACCAAAACTAGACAAGTATAAAATTTGCTGTAAAGTAAGCTTTAAATATAGCAGAAACAAAATGAAGTCAAAGATCTATAGTTACTGTCTCAGTTATAATATTAAAATTTGACACTATATAATATGGTTTTATTATAATATAGCCCTATAGTTTGCTGCCCGTGCCTGAGTATACAGAAATAGTTATGTGAAAACTAAATGGTTTTTTTAAAAAAAATTTGATTGAGACCCAATATAAATATCTGAAGTTACCATCTTTGTTTTAATAGTAGTTAAAAACATTTCTCAGGTTAGCGGAAAAATCAGGATTGCCTGTTTTACGAGGTTATCTGCTTTCTCATTTCCCCACAAACCACAGTGGCTTAGAATCAATTATGGAACTCTTATCTTTTCAGCAGATTGTAGAGTTTTCATGATTCTTTTACAAATTAATTGTGGCTTGGCAATCAATGAGGAGGAAATTTTTTTTTCATGTTCTCTAAATTATTTTGGAGCACAAGGTAAATTGCTTTCATTTCTCCATCTAAATTGTCTAAATTACGACTTAGGGGCTCTTTGAGTTGGAAAACCTTGGAGAAAACACCAGCTCCCTCTCTCCCAGTAATTTTTTTCGCTGAGTATAGATCTGTATCCAATTGTTAACGGGGTATTTTTTTCCGTTGATAGTGACAAGAGTCGCCGCTTTGCCCTTTTGAGCAAGAAGGACAAAATGAAATATTGGAATTTCTTATTTCATGGTTCCCGAAAAGACAGAGGGTCTGAAATCAAGGATTTTGTTTCCTGTAATATCCAATGAGCCAGATATTTTCGGGAATTCTGTTAAAAAGGTACTCTGTGTTTTCGATCTCAAAGTACTTGAGAATACCTATAATAAGAACCATCTTTTTCTGAGAGTCAAAGTAACAAAAATTCGACTGTTATGCAAATAGTCAATGCCAGTCTACAGTTGAAAAGCTGGGACAGGTGTTGAAAAAAACAATAATGTTAATATATCAAAAATGTCAAGTACCCAACCTTGCCTAACTTAGAAAAACTGTGTATGTTGTGTACATTTACTCATATTTTTAATATTTTCAGCAAAGTACACCTGTTCCTTTTCAAAATGTTCTACTTTCTGGTAATGGGACTAAGCTGAAAGATTTTGCTTGGAATCCCGTTGCTGTCAATACATATGCATTTTGTACAAGTGATGGCAGTTTGTCTGTTCATGAACTTACTGGAACCGATCTAAAAATTGCTGCAAATATCCAGAATGCATCAGCCTTATCTGGTATGCATTCTTTCCTTATTTACTAAGGTGTTATGAATATTAATAGTTAAGTAATCAAATATTTTTACAAGGTGTTATTAACAATGCTTGCTAAGACATGTTTGAGATATGGGAAGATAAAAGTAATCTTTAATGAAATTTTTACCAGTGTTTCAAAATATTTATTTTAGTGAAAGATATTAGTATCACTTTAAAATGTTATGTTGCTATTTATACTAGTACACACTTAACTAATTAAATTATGTTAAAATTAATTAAATTTTACTAAAATAAAGTTAATAGTTTTTAGTTTGTTAGAAATTATGTGAGTAATGAAATAGGTTATTTTATTCCGTTTGTTTTGCTAAAAAAAAAGTGCTAGCGATATCCATTGCTATTTTAACACATATTTACATGAAATGCTTGCAACTTTAGTTTTAGTTGTTTGTTAAATGACATTCTTTAATTTTCTAAGTATTAGATGCTATACTTGTAGTGAATTGTTAAAATTATTAACATAAGTTATGTATAACTATTTCTTCATCGCAATTAAGTAAATAGTAGAACATTTTTCCCTTTATATTTAGGCCACATTTATTATTTATTTTTAAATTTCATTTTGAATAAACAAAAAAAAGTGGTATTTTAATATAATTTATGTATATTTTAACAAATAAAAAGTCTTTTAAGAGATAATTTTTACACATTTATTTTATACATGGTCTTTATCCTGAGGTATATTAATTATCGGAATGAACTATAGTTCTATATTTACCTAATTTGAGTTTTACTTGTATAATTCAAAAATGTTTGTATGCAAATTTTGTGTCGATTTTAATCAATAAAACCAAACTCTTATTGGATAAAGCTTCTTTGCTTCCTCTTTTTTGGGGAGTGAGGTTGTTATATTCTGTTGTTCAGGATTAAGTTCCATATTTCTTCAAATACCATTTCTACGGTATCAGTGTTATTCAGATTTCTGAAGTAAGGATCCCAGCGTTGGCAAGAATTATGATTTTTTTTTTTTTAAAAAACAAAAAAATTATGAAAAAAAATCTGATTTCCTTTTTATTTAAATCATATAATTTTTTTTTTACTTAAATCTGATTTTTTTTTTTTTTACTTAGACTAAATAAAACTGATAAGTATATTAATAATGCTAAACATTATTTTAAAAACAATATAACTAAATTACCTAATATTTCTAACTAAAATGGTTAAAATTATTATATAATTATTACAAACTAATCACAGAAAAAATAAAATCAATGTTTTTATTCAAACTACTTTCATGGCTTTATGTTTATTATCATTAGTTACTTATCAAATGAATGAAATAATTTCTATCCGTAAACTTTAAAAAAATAAATAAGTAAAAAATACAAATTCACTAGGTAGTGCAAGTTTTTCTTTATGATTTATATACACAAACTACATGTCTAATGAGTTTTAAAAATATATTTATTTAAGTTAACATGAAACTAAATTGGTATAATTGTATTATGTTCATTACATAGCAAATTATTTACATAAGCAGTAATTAGATACTTATAATTTAAAAGCTCCATATCTCTTCAATTCACTATCTGTCTTTTATTTTCTAGCATATTTTGAAGATTTAATAATGATTTTTATACTTTCCCCCCTCATTATTTCTCTGGATTAAACCTTCAATATCAATGAGATCAGACTTTGAAAAAAATTGCAACCAAAATTATCCTAAATAAAAAAAAAATATTCGAAACAATGATTTTTTATTTACTGATCATTGTGATTTAAGTCAATGATTTAAAATAAAAGTGATTTCAATCATGCCAACTCTGTCTAAAACAAGATAAACTGTCAAAGTATAAATCTTAAATCACAACGTTAACTCTTTATTACGTTAACTCTTTATTTAAAAAAAGTTATTGATGTATTTTTTTTAGTTATGTTTTTATACTTCATTTAAACTAAGTGTATAATTCAAATGTGTAATTTAAGTGTATAATTCAATTGAAAAAATAAAATTATTGGAAATATAAAATTAATTTTTTCAATGATTTTTTGCCCTGAATGTATTTTTGATTGATACAGTGTGACAATGATTTCTGGCCACAAAGAGTCAGTCATAATGGCTATTAACTAACATAATCTTTTAGGACTGAAAGAGAATATCATTTTAAATTGCTAAAGAGAAAAATTTAATGAAATTTCAAGATATTTATAACGAAACATAAAATTTTTCTTATAAATTAAGATTAACTTTTTTTCTCCATATTATGTAAATTTTATGATTTTTTTTTACTTACTAAAAAACAAACAATAAATTCTAATTTTAAGAACTTTCTTTGAAAAAAATTGTTTCCATTAAAAGAAGACAATTTAAAAAAAAAAAACCCTAAATGATTGTCCAAACGAATTTATTTCATACATTGAAACTGGCTTACTTTTATCGATTAAATTATTTTAAAAACTTTTTTTTTCTTCATAAAAGCTAAAATTATTTTTATATGCAAATAATAAGTTTATGCATTTTATTCAAAGTTTAAAAGGGGAAAAAAAAAATCTAAAATACAGGAATTTTTCACTCAAGTTATTATGGGAGAAAAAAACTAGCAAAGAAATAAAATGCATTATTTCTACAGCTGTGGCAACCTTCGCAATCTTGAAAATGCCTAATATCTTAGTAAATTGTGCTAACAACTATTTAAAGCTATACAGGAACAAGTATCAATGTTAAAATATTATTCTGCATCTCTAATAGTCAGTGAAAAAAAAAATCTGTTAAGAATCACTGAACTCAGCAATTGGAAAGGCTAGTTATATAAGTAACAGGAAAGGAAAGCTATTGCTTTACTTAATTACGGCTATAAAGTTCATGAAGATAGTGTGAAAATAGCATGTATAATGATGACACTTAATTGGTGAAAACTTGTTTGTGAAAAAAATTATAATCATTTCAGGACTATTTCATTATAAAAGTACTTCAATTATATTTCATTTAACTTAAAAAAAGTATTTGCTAAATATTGAAACATGAAGTAGATCATTAATTTGTTGCATTATACTTTGATTGTTTTTTCTGTGACTTTTATTTAATTTATATGTTTCATATTTTCAGTCTGTTGGAGTCCTAAAGGCAAACAAATTGTTGTTGGTAAAATTGATGGCTCTTTTAGTCAATACAAGCCAACTTTACAAGAGGTTAAAAACATTCCTCCTCCAACACTTGATGAAAAAGTAACAGGTGAGTTGTTAATTTGTAGGTGTATTGATGGAAAGCAATAATTCTGAGCTTCTCAAAAAGTAAAAATTCTTGTTGCATCTTATTTAAAATGGGTAAATTAAGTTATCAAAATACTTTGTATTTTCAGAACACAATAATCAATATCTTATTTAGTAGGAGTCAAATATCTTATTTAGTAGGAGTCAGATGAAAGGTAAAATTAAACTCTAAGGTTATGTTAGATTGTAGGTAAACCCTACTGTTACGTTTATTGAGGGGAAAAAATATTGACAAAGACTTATAAATTTTATGCTCTTTTCTAATTTATTGCGATTGCACAAAGAACAATTAATTTGAATATTTCAAATAATTCTAGTGAAATTTTCGACAAAAAGTAATTCATGTACATTCTGAAAATTGCCTTATTTGAAACAAAAAAAAAAAAAACAAAAAAATCCACTTCTACTGATAATTATTATTATGATAACAATTATGAATGCAAATTAATTTAATACAAATGCAACATTTAGTATAATGGACATAATGTTCTATGATTTCAAATTGAAAATAAACTTTTAGAAGATGTAAGCTAAAATTAAATAAAATATTACAAAATGAAAATGGTATAATTAATAATAAATATTTTTCTTGGTTCTATGTTCATTTTTATTAAAGAAAAATGATACATGCATTTTTTTAAAAATTGTAACAGATTTTTTCAGCTAGAAATGCTTCTTGAGCATGTTTGCCATTAAATAGATTATTAATTTATGAACAATTTCTTGATAAACTGTGAAAATTCATGTTCTTCCAAATTAATGTTCTGGAAGACAAAGGAAAAACAAAATTTCAACAAAATACATATCTTTTAGTGTTAATTATCATTGATAATTTTATTTTTTCAGAAATATTTTTATTTACTTATTGAACCCACTAATGCACTATTCCTCAAAGTAGAGTTAACTCGTGTCAAGCACTTGTGTTTTATAAAAGTTAAATTTTTTTTTATTTTTTGACATTTCTTAAGTAAAATTTTTTTTTTATAGTCGGTAATTGTATATGTGTGAGTGAGAGAGAGAGAGGGAGAGAGTAGATGTTATTTTGCTAATATTTTAATATAGCTTATGTTTTATTCTGTAGATTAGCCATTTTGCTAGGATTTTTTAGAAGCCAGTGAAAACAATGAAATGGTTAAAAATAATTACTGAAATCTTTATTGAAAATTTAAATGATTAATTAATATTAGAATAAATTCATGCAGTAGAAAAAATACTAGTAAATATGTTTATCTTTAAAGTCAATGCATTATTCAGTTAGTTTATATATAAATGCATTTGTGTGAACGTTATTTTAAATAGTTAATTGTTTTATCTTTCTTAAAAATAAACTACCTATTTCCTGTCATTTGGATCCCATTTTGTTGTCAAATACAAACATTTCATATACATCCAATGTTGTCGAAAATTGTTAGTACACCAAATTGTTTTCAAAACATCTGCGCTAGTTGTTTAAATTTCTGCGGATGTTTAATAATAAATGTAACGCGAACAATTTATTTATAAAGAGCAAAATATATTTTGAAAAAATATCAGAGAGTCTGAACTATAAATCTCTCACATATAAATTTATGAGTGTTATTTATTTTCTTTTAAATCCATTTTTTTTCTTGTAGANATGTTAGATGTTATTTTGCTAACATTTTAATATAGCTTATGTTTTATTCTGTAGATTAGCCATTTTGCTAGGGTTTTTTAGAAGCCAGTGAAAACAATGAAATGGTTAAAAATGATTACTGAAATCTTTATTGAAAATTTAAATGATACATTATTATTAGAATAATTTCATTCAGTAGAAAAATTTTAAATATGCTTGTCTTTAAATTCAATGCATTAATCAGTTAGTTTTTTTTTTATATAAATGCCTTTGTGTGAACTTTATTTTAGATACTTAATTGTTTTATCTTTCTTAAAAATAAACTACCTATTTCCTGCCATTTGGAGGCCATTTTGTTACCAAATACAAACATTTCATGTACATCAAATATTATCAAAAATTGTTAGTACACAAAATTGTTTTCAAAACATTATCTGCGCTAGTTGTTTAAATTTCTAGGGATGTTTAATAATATATGTAACAAACAATTTATGTATAAAGAGCAAAATATATTTTGAAAAAATATCAGAGAGTCTGAACTATAAATCTCTCACATATAAATTTATGAGTGTTATTTATTTTCTTTTAAATCCATTTTTTTTCTTGTAGACGCATTAAAAAATATTAAAATCTTGCATTTGTAACACAAAATAATTTGTCTGCAAAACCAATTCCTCCAAAAATAAAGAAGAAGAAAAATATGTTTAGAAATTATTATTTTTTAAATTGTTGGGGGCATTTAATTTGTGACTAACAATGGAGTGATTTTAAAAAAAAGTTTACCTCTGACAAAATATTCATTTTTATGCAATTTTTGCCTTGATTTTAATAATAAATTTGCTGATTAATACATATTTTAAAAATACTGAAATTATATTTTTCGGAGACTTCTGTATAATGTCCCTTATATGAATTAAAAAATTTTTATGTTAAAATTATTTTACAAAATATTGTGTTAGAGTATTTAATTGAAAGCTTATTTTGTCACATTTCTGTAAATAATTAATGGCTCCATTTTTCAACTGAAAATTCATGTTTCCGTTCAATTCTATTAGAAATCAAGTTGCATTATTTATTAGCATTGATAGTATTAGCTTAGGAAAGAATTTAGTTGTCTAGCCATTTTTCTCAAACTCTATCATGAAGCACTCCCCCCCCCCTCCATTTGCAAGATAGTATTCTTTGTGAGGAAAATAAATTTATTTTATACATGAGAGTATTGAGAATTTTTTGTGAAATTTTTTTAAATCAAGGTGATTTTTCTTATTTGACAACTGACTATTGGTGGGTTTCCCAGAAGAACGGGAAAAAAATCCACTATATTGATGTATAAATGAGTTAATATGGCTTTAATAAAAAAAATTATGTTTAGTGTTTTCTTATGTAAATCTTTTTTTCCCCCCCCGTTAGTGGAAAACATCTGTTGGGTCTCTACAACTCAATTTGTTGTCCTTTATGTGCCAATCACAAAAGGTTCTCCACCATATTTATTTGTTGTTTCTACCCCAGTAAGTAGCGCCTTTATTAAACTATATAATGTATATATATATATTTACTTATTGATTTCACTGGAATTTTGTTTAGTTTGCTCAAAGTTTTTAAAATATTTCAGTGGAATATTTTATATTTTTAGAAAGGTTCTCCCATTGTATATCAGAATTTTTATGACGTGTGTTTGGGAAATAGCTCCAGCGATGAACAACGATATTTTTTACATTTTGAACCAACTTGGTTTGTATTTTTTGTATTTGAATTTCATTCTAAAATTACTTAATCATGAGAAATTTTCTACATGTTTATGATGTAATATATTTTATTGTGGGATTTATATCAATTTCTTATTATATATTTTAGCATATATTGTATTAAAAAGTCATTTTAAATATCAGTTTTTTCAACTTCTTTAAGTTTCATTAAATGTGAATATTTTGTTGGTATTGATGTTTTTTGGTATATCTATATAATCCACAATTAGACAAAAGTTATTTTTATTTTGCTTTTAAATCGACTTACAAATATATTTTTTAACTAGATTAATTGTTAAACTAGTTAATAATAAATTGTAGTTGCCCGTATGTTTTGCACAGCTCCTACATTTAACTAAGAAATGAATATTTCTCTTCTTTGTACCCTTTAACTAGTACTTTTGCTTTTTTTTTTAAATTTAAATTTAAATTTAATCGTTATTTCCTATTGCATTTTTTTGCTTATAACTTAGCATTTTATTTTTTTTCAAATATGATTTATTTTCATTGTTCATGTGTTATGAATTAGCACCTTGTTTTAAGCACTGAATATATATTTATACTAATTTTAAAGCTATAAAAAAGTTTTATAGAAAGTTGTTTTTATAATGTCCATTCTCTAAAAATTAATATTCAGTAATATCTATGTATTTGTATTTAGTGTAATCTATCTTATTTGTTCTACAAGTAACAATAAATTGGGTAAAGGGACAGATTTTGCTTTGATCTCTAAAGAAATCAAAAGAATAATAATTTCTGAAGAATAAAGATTTTGTTCAATTTTTGGGATGGGATGTCTTTGGTGTATCTGTAGAATATTTTGTTTGAATAGGGGCGAATTTTGAACTTTAGTAATTGTTCTGTCCTGAACCCACGTTTTCCAATCGTTTTCAGGCAGTTATAAAAGTTATAAATTGTTTTTTCTGCTGTTTTTACTGTTATATATCGTGATATTGACCATTTCTACCTAGTTTTTAAAATTTGATGTTTTGAATGCAATATTATTGTGACATGCTAAAATTTCAAAGTAGGAAAAATCTCTAATTATTTCATATTGTCTTAAATTTGTCGAAACACATTTCGTTATAAAACTGCTGAGAGGGCTTGAAAAGTATTAGAAATTTGCATGGATACTACTGAAAAATCTTACCAGAAGTCTCTGCAATAATACAAAAAATATGTTTAATCCCAATAAAATATAATTTCCTTCATAAATTTCAGTTAATTTTGTTAAATATGTAATATTTTTTTTATATTCTTTAAATTTTTATTATTCTTTTTTGTTATAATCTTATTATAATAATTTATTTTTCTTTGTGGCAGGGGTGTAACTGTGTGTGCTTCAAGAGATTCCATTGAAATTGCTATCATTGGTGATTGTGTAAGTTTTGGTCACGCTTTTCTCTTATGCCTGAGTTTTTTAATGAATGTCTTAAAGAACAATATAAAAATATAATTTAATACTGATATAATACTAAAATATAATTTTACACCAAATCTTAAACTTTAATTTCTCTTACTATTTAAACTTGAAATTTTATTTTAAAAATAAAATGCCAATCAAAATAACTTTAGTTTGAATTAGATTGTTTTATTTTGCACTATCAAAATGAAATTTACTAGATCTTGTTTGTGTAAATTTTCAAAGTATTCCATTTCTTCCTAAAATTATTTTTTCACCAGCTTTGATATATATTGTTAAAATGATCATAAATTAATAAATTTAATGTATTTTGACTTTTAAGTTCTTTACTTTCCTTTTTTGAATTTTTTTTTCCAGTCACATGTTTATTTCGTTGAATAATAATAATAAAAAAAAATAAAAATAGAAGCTATTTAGTTTTTTGAAACACTTAATGAATTATTTATGATTTTTCTATTCTGGCTATTTATGATGCTTCGAATTTGGATATAATTAAATGCAAACTGATTATTGTCTTAAGTAACTGGGACTCAGATCCAATCCAGATAATTGAGATTTTTAGATTATAGTAGTAGTGCCTTTTTATTGTATTTTCATCCAAAACTCCAATGGAGGTGTTTTTTTAATAATAGTGTCATGAAGTAATATGAAAATATTTACCCCGACCTACCCCAATTCAGGGCATACAGGTAAATGTTTATTAAAACCAAGTAAAAACGGAAAAGAACATAAAAAGCAAAAAGTGCGTAAAATACAAGAGTCATATGCCAACAGCTGGGCGGGCCGCCATATAGTGCTTAAAGCCGATGGCCCACCCTTATACTGAGCCAAATTACAATAGTATTGAAGACCCCAACAAAGTTACATAGAATACAGTATGTGTTACAATGCATAATGAGTAACTACAAGATATAAACATCTAAAATAAAACAGGACAATTAAAGATATGAATACAATAAAAATAAAAACCTTTTTTTTCCTTTCCCGTCTATTTTTGTTGATAAAAACGCTAAAAGCGAATATACAAGTGAGTAAAAACATCAAGTTGAATTAAAATTAGTGTTGAGGTGATAGAACAGAAGACCAACGGAGTCCCCCAGGATGCTCAAGTTTGAAGAATATAAAAGGGGGAATGACGTGTTAAAATAGAAGTGGATTGGCAGTTCAGGTATTGAGGGGAGACATCAAGTCAACCTAAGTGTATAGGGTCCATCGGATCGTCCATTGTAATGGTATCTTCTAGTGTGCTTTTAATAATTTCTCTAAAGATTTGTTGCTGTTGTTTTGTTCTGCACCACTTTTCGATTGGTTCCCTGATGTTAATATGATTCCCTCGGAGTGTCGAGAATTTAGAACATTCTGCAATTAGATGTTGAACCGTTTGCCTTTTGCCACAGTATTTGCAGCTAGATGATTTCTGAAAAAGTCTCGATTGGTGTTCTCCGAACACTCCATGGGCGGTATAGAATTGGTTTATGTAAAAGTCATAATTTAAAAGTTTATCGCTGACTTTTGGAAAAAACTTGTTGGTATGTCTCCCGTTTGATGAACGGTCCCACCTTTCTTTTCCACCTTTTTTAAACCTCTGCTGACCTGCCATAGTTTATAATTAAGCTGTGGTCTTGTAATAGAGTAGTAAAAATCTACCCCACTGAGCAGAGTGCCTGCTTTTGCTAGAGCATCCACTCCCTCATTTCCAGCTTCCCCCGAGTGAGCCTTGATCCAGTTGAACCGGTAATTCCTGTGTTGAATAATGCCTTTAATGTTTTCAACTATAATGTTCCTTGGTGTGGGATTCTCTAGGGCCTGTAATGAGGATTTGGAGTCCGAAAAAAGTACTAACTCTTGTATATCTGCCCAGTCATGAAGTAATATGTCATTTTCATAAATATATTTTTGCCACATAGATATAAAGATATTTTAAAATTCGTTTTTACTTATGCAAAAATTACATTATATAGTAAGATGACTCTTTTATGTCTTTTTATCTCATAAGAATAAAAATATTATTTTAATCCAATTATACTGATGGAAACAAAGTTAATACTCCATTACTCATTTTCTGAATGATAAAACTTCCATAGAGCATTGTTTAAATCTAAATCTTTGACTTATTCAATGGATTGTTGATTTCATTGGTTTATATTGTTCCGTATGTAGGATTGACATGATTTAAATCACTTATATTAAATCATGATTAAAATTGCGATTTTAATCATGTGACTTTTTTAAAAAAAATCATTGGTTTAAATGAACTATGATTTTATTTAAATAAATTTTTAGAGGGTGGGATTTTTTTAAAGACTTTATTCAACAAAATAATGAAAGGCTAAATTATTATATTTCAAAATAGACTAATAAAAAAATAAAATTAGAGAAAGTGAATGAGAGTAATATTACAGGATTGCTACACTATCTAGAAAATCCAAAAAAATTGGAAAAGTCTGGGAATTCTAAAATTGTCCAAAAAGTCAGGGAATTTAATAATTTTGAGTGAAAATGTGGAAAAATCAGTGAGTTTTAGTTGCCAGACTCCAAACATGTGATCTTTGTGGCCATATTTTCAAATATAAAAATTTTGTTTTCACCTATTCGGGGCAGTGAGCCAGACTTCATGTAGCTGTAACCACGCTATGACTTAGAAAACTTTCAACTGGTAAAGGGTTATTAGTTGTGAGAATCCAGAACAGATAGAAGGATGGAAAGACTTCATATTGTTTATTCTTATTTTTGATTAAGAAATTTATTGAATTGACTGTTTTATAATTTCTTATAAATTAATGTTTTTCATTGTGTGTGTTTGTTTGCTTAATCCTCCATCACCTAAGCTTGATAAATGAATTTAAATAAACTTGATACGAACTTAATGTTTAATTACACCTAATTAAACTTGTCATTTGTTAAAAATTCTCGGTAAACATTGGGTTTGCTGTTCCACATGAAAATTATGTATAGCAGTACTATAATATACTAGGGTCAATTCAGGTTGTATTTTTTAGGATCCATCTTCTCGAAAAACTGAAATTATTTTTTAAAAAATTACTTCATTAATGAAGTATATTCAGTTTTAGAATTCACTATTTTCTATTCTTTTTTTTTTTTTTTTTTTTTTTTTTTTTTGTAAATTGTAAATCTACTTACTTTTCCAATCATTTTTCGGCTGATGTCGTTATTTTCAATACATTGTTATTATGATGCTCAAATTTGGATATTTGAGTTATCTCTCTTTGATGCATTCGATTTGTGCTGATCCCATTGTACTTTCAATTCCTTTGATGCTAATTTTTTAGGCAGTTATTTATTATTTCTTTGGCACTTTTCACATAGTTTTTCCAATCCATGTAATTTTTTTAAAGTTTTTTTTTAACATGTTTTTTTTACAAATTTTGTTTATTATTTTAATATGATGTTACAATCAAATTTTGGCACTCTTGGTTCATAACGATTCTATCCTAAATTTTTAAAAGTTTTTTGGTAGACTGCTATTGATTTTTAAATTTCCTTTGCTTTTAATACAATGTTTTTACGCCGTTCGATTTGGAGTTATCACTTTCTAAAGCATCCCATTTGTGACTTCTCGTCTCGTCGGTTACATCACAATTTTGCGTCGTTTCATGATAATTTCCTTGAATTATTTTTCAGCCCTTCATGTGTGGTTTTTTAGAATGCTGATATTTTAAATACGATGTTATTAAGACATGAAAATTTTGATTTTGAGGTAATACATCCTGATGCTTTTGATTCACAATGATTCATTCTTAATGTCATGATATTCGATAATAGTTTTTTCGGCAATTCTAATTTTTCTCACTTTGTTCACTTGATTTTTCTCACTTTGTTCACTTGGTTTTTCGAATTCTGATATTCTTAATTTGATGTTGTTACGACTTTCAAATTAAAATTACCACTCTTTGACGTGTTAGACTCGAAACAATTCTATCGTGTTTTCACTTCATCAGATGATAAACATTTCAGCATTTTCCACAAGGTATAAGGTTTTCCGAATTCCAATATATGTCTAACATGCTATTACAACATGCTGATTTTGAATTTGAGTTTTGACTCGCTTGATTCATGACGATGTTATCATGAAAAACATGCCTTTTTTTCCAAGAATCCTCCGAGGAACAATTTTGTGTAATCATTTTTCGATTGTTAAATTGGTTTAAATTTTGTTAAATTTTTTAAAAATTTCGTTAAATTTGTCTTAAATTGGTTTTTACGGAATTAAAATTTTGGAATAGGTTGTTTTTTTAGAATTTGAATTTTCTGAAGAAGTCACATAATGGCTCCAATTTTCACCTGGATATTACATATAGATGATGGAAGATAGTTATATAACTTGTGTCTTTTTCTCTGTATGGTTTTGCTGTCTTGTTTTCACTCTCAATTATGTTTTCGTCCCTTATTTATTTTAACAGTGAGTAAAAAAAATGGCCCTTTTTTTTAATATTCTGTCTAGTTTTCTGTTGTTGTCTAATTTACTGTTTAATATATTCTGTGCCAGCGAGATTTGAAGATGACACTGCTTACTTTATGTATTGATCATTTTACTTTTCATTGGGTTTAATTCCTATTAATTCTAACATTAATTTTATATTTTAATAAAAATTTTCGAAATACTTATAAGTTTGATTCGTGAAGACAGAAAATCGATACATTAAATTCTATTGATACACTACTAGAATTTTGTTTCGTCATGTTTTAATTTTTCCCCCTCAGATATTTCAAAATAAATAAAATTTTCTTTAATAAATTTCTACATATTTCTATAATAGATTTCTAAATAATAAATTTCTACATAGAGTTGTGTTATATTTTTTAACTGAATATATAGTATAAGATACAAATTATAAATTTAAAAATATTGGAAAGTTAATGAGTTTTATTCTTCTATTTGAGTAGTGAGCCTGATGTTTAACTGGTAATTTTCCTTTCGCTGTGTGTAAAATAATTTACCGGTAAAATTAATCAGCATTACCTCCAGGATAGGATTTGCCTTTAAAAGATTTTTCCAGTCCTCTCTTCTGCACATAGAACAAAATTGGTATTTATTGTTTGTTACAAACAAATTTCAATTATACCCATTTAATTTTGTATTTATTTGAATACTTTTAAGTGTTTTTAAAACATATTAAATTTATAGTTAGTGTTTACGAATTGTGAAGAAAGATTTGTTCTGCTCAGAGAAACAATAATTTATTTCATACAATAATTTTTCTTTGTTGTATTCTGTTCTAAACTAAATTACATTTGAAACTATTTTAGCTATATAATTGTTTTTTAAATAATATTAAGTAGTGTTACTACATTTTATAGGATAATTTGGCTGCTCAATAAATATGTAAAAAAATCAAATTTAAATTTTTAAAAAAATTGGATTTAAATCAAATAAATAAAATTTTTTTAAAAAAAATCTTAAATTTTGCCTGATTTGTCTGTATGTTTTGTAAGGCTTTATTCCTATTGTTATTTCTCCTATCACTATTATATTCTTTACTGGTATTAGACTTGTATTAAAAAATGTGGTACTGGTATTAGAAAATGTGGAAGCCATGAAGGTCAAACTAAGCTATACTTTAGAAATTATGGTTTGTAGACTGGTAAATCAAAAAAAATTATATCAGATAGATTTTTAAAGCAAAACCAACTACATCAACTTGCAAAACATTTATAAAAAAATATATAATTTCTATAAAACAGTGCAATACAAAAAGTGTTTTTTTTTTTTAAACCTTATGGATAACTGAATCATGACAGCATATCTTTGAAATAAAAGAATAAGGCTGCATACAAAATAATAATAAATTGTCATAGGCTAGCAGTATTTCAATGAAAGAGGTTCAAATAATTGAGTCTCTACTGTATTTTATGTATATTTTTTTGTGGGTGGAGGAAGGGAATGTAATTTCAAAAGTGAAATGTTTAATTACGTAGAATAACAATTTTAAGTGTAGAATAGGGCACACCTTGGATTTTGCACAGTACCTTGAAGCTTTTACTATGCAAAATTCTTCAATTTTCATATTTTTATTATTTCTTACTTTTAGTAAAGTTCTAAGTACTAATTAGTAGTTCTTCATTACAAAATTATGTTTTCATTACATATATATGAAGAGAGAAAATATTCTAATATCATGTAATTTGGTTGCAGCCAAACTGGGTTCAGTGGGATGTGAAAGAAGATGGGAAAGCTCTGTTGCCTGGCAAAGATGGTGCTTCACATGCTATTGGAATGGGAGTTATGTATTGTGCTCAAAGAAAAATTGTAATAAGTAAGATGCCTCTCCATTTCGTTGACTTCTAAACTAAATATTTATGAATTTATTCTTACTAGTTTAAGTTGTTTAAGCTATTTTAGGAATGTAAAGTTAGAATAAATTGCTGATCATCTGTCGTAATTCTCTTTAAAACTTATTGGTTCAATTTCTAATGTAATTTCTAGAAAGACTTAGAAAGTAAGAAATTTGGGTTACTGAAGTTTATTCATCTCATTTTTAAACTTATTAAAAAATAAAGTTTTGACAGATTTTTTTTTCATTGGAGATAAAAAAGGGTTGCTGTATGTTAAGTATTGTACCTAAAAATATATATAATTTTCCTTTTCAATATGTCATAATTTATGAACAGTTGTTCTATTGATAAATTTTATTTTATTTTATAACCGTAGTTGAACAGCCTACCCAATTTTCGGGTTTACGACTACCAATGTTCGACTGCGTAGCCTTGTAATTTCGAAACCAATCCAGAAGACAAGGGAACTCCTGGATCAAGTATTTGGAGAAATTTGCCTTCGTGGAGGACTTTCTAATGAAACTAACGCTCATTTTCGTTTCATGGAGAGGAAGACCACATGATACTCCCACTGTTAACCGACAACAAAGGTGACTCGAACCAGTGATCCGTCTACCACTGAGGATTTTTCACATCAGCACTGTGGTTTGTGCAAGTCGGATGCGGAATTCGTATCGACCAGCTATCTCCAGGATCGAACCTGTTTCACCTCATTGAAAGGCGAACATTCCCCTGATCCATTGCGGCTCTCTATTGATAAATATTTTTTATTTTATAACTGTCCTTGAACTACCGACCCAGTTTTACGGGTTTACGACTACTAATGTTCAACTCCGTAGCCTTGTCATTTTGAACCCAATCCAGAAGACAAGGGAACTCTTGGATCGAATATCAGGTGAAATTTTGCCTTCGTGGAGGACTTTTTGATGGAGCTAACCCGCATTTGTGTTACATGGAGAGGAAGACCGCAAGAACCTCTCACGGTTAGCCTGACGGCAAGAGAACTCTAACCCTTGATCCGTCTACCACTGAGGATATTTCAAGTCAGCACTGTGGTTGGTGCAAGCCGGATACGGAATTTGTATCGACTGGGATTCGAACCTGGTGCGCCTCATTGAAAGGCGAACTTTCTATCCCCATAGCCATCGCGGCTTATCTAATGATAAATTAGAATAAATTTAATTTAATCTAATTTTTTGTTAAAAATAAAATTTATGATACATTTTATTTTAATTTGACTAATTTATTTATATGGCACAGAAGAAAAAATTAAAATATTATTAGATCCCAAAAAAAATTTTTTTAATATTCTATACCATTATATTCTACAAAAAAAAAAAANTCTCTTTAAAATTTATTAGTTCAATTTCTAATGTAATTTCTAGAAACACTCTTAGAAAGTAAGAAATTTGGATTACTGAAGTTTATTCATCTCATTTTTAAATTTATAAAAAAATAAAGTTTGGACAGATTTTTTTTTCATTGAAGGTAAAAAAGGATTGCTGTATATTAAGTATTGTACTTAAAAAATATCTGTAATTTTCCTTTTCAATATATCATAATTTATGAACAGTTCTATTGATAAATTAGAATAAAATTTATGATACACGGTGTGCCTTAACCAAAGTTAAATAAAATGCTCTTACACCTAGAAAATTAGAAGAGATTCTGAATTTACAATGTTCTTAGATAATAAAAATCGAAAAATTAATATAATCTGTGGAGAGATTTTTAAAAAAATCCACTTTGAACATTTTTGCTCACGAAGTACGAAATTTCTTAAATGTTGGCATCATTTTATACTTATAAATAGAATATATATATATTTGTATTAAATATTTATAATAACCTTTTATAAAATTTTTTTATAATTATTAGAAGTTTATTAATTGTTAATTATAGTCGGTGAACCACAAAATAAAAAACAAGAATAAGAAAAACTTAAATCAACTTTAGCGGCACAAGCACTGTGAAATTAAAACTTACAAAACAAAACACGTTTAACCTTGTGTCACAGAGCGATTGTTTGGTATCTAAAAAACTGTTAAAACGTGTATAATTGTTCAGTGAAAGATGTCTAAAGCTTTGACTCATGATCAAAATCCAGGTAAAGTATGTTTCTAGTGTTTTCGAAAACTAAAACAAATGTATATTATTGAGAATCAGTTCAAAATTGATATGAAAAATAAACATGACAACTATGATGATGAGCGTTAATTGCCATCGGCTGTGTGTTGTACGTGCAGAAGAAAAGTATTTAAAGCGAACACCGGAAAGAAAAAAATCTCCAGATTTGTCTATTTTTAAGCCTGTGCAGGCTACGCGATCAAGATGCGACTGCAAAATTTGTGAAATTGTATGCGAAATACCCGCAAAAATTTGTGGCAAAATTTTAAAAAAAAGTTTCAGGTTAATTTTAGAAGTAAAAAATATTTCTTTTGATTAATTAAAGGAAAACTAAAAGAAGATTCTAAGGGTGATCAGGAGCCTTCAGTTTTGCGGTTGTCGCAAATCCACGGGGAACCACTTCAAATCGCAGTAGGCAATAATAAAAAAAAAGCTTTCCACAACAAACTCTACATTATCTGTGGATGATATGTTGAAAATCAAAAGCGATTTAAATTTAAGTGATCTTGCAACTTTAAAAATGGCAGCTTCCATTCGTGTGTGTACATGAAGTAGAAAAGCAATTGAACCAGGATTAAAAACAGAACTTAATATCACAGCTCATTCTGTCAACAATTATTTTGATTTTAAGGAATTTCCTTTCGTTTGCATAAAAGGCGATGAAATCTTGGAGGCTCTTGGAGTTTACTGCAAAGATGTTCCTGCTTTTGTTCAGTAAATGAAAAATAAACGAGATGTACTGGATGTTCACTTAAAAATGGGTATTGATGGAGTAGGTGGATTTTAAAAAATACGTCTTCCTGTACAATCAAATGAGTTGGACTTCGAGTGCAGTGGTAAGTGCGCTAAGTATGATGAGGGGATAGTTGCAAGGAAATTTAAGGATTCTGGAGTTAAATGACTATTCATTCTAGCAGTCGTCACGAGTGCACAAGAAAATTATAAGAATGTAGATCAACTCATTTCAACGTTGAATATAAGTCCTTTCCACGGCACAATTGCGACCAATTTGAAGTTAGCGAATATCTTGGCAGGTATAATGTTGCACAGCAGCGCATACCCATGCACTTATTGTTATGCCATGAAAGATGAGCTAAGCATCTGTGGTGAATTGTGATCCCCCGATAATGTTTCATCGTATTATACAAGTTGGCTGACTGAAGGAAGAAGTTCAAAAAACAAAGCGAAAAATTATTTCAATTGCATTCATCCACCGCTAATTACAACTGTTGGAGGCAAAACATTCCTAGACATTATTCCACTGCCAGAATTACACCTTATGCTTTGTATTGTTAACACTGTTTTCACACATATGTTGAAAGAGTGTGAAAATGAATCCCTGACATGGGCAAAAGCTTGTCACGTTCAGCGTGAAATTGGACGAGGGTGTTCTGGGTTTAAAGGAAATGCATGCAAAACACTTTTGGATAAAGTAGACCTTCTGCCCCCAGTTTAAAAATCTAGCAATACTGAAGTATTTGACAACTTAAAAAAAAGTGGTTTCTGCATGCTTCAGAAATAATCTTGACCAAAATTACAAAGCATGTGTAGAAGCTTTCAAAAAGAGCTACATAAACTTAGGTGTCACCGTTACACCAAAGGTTCATGCAGTTTTGTTTTTCACATTGAACAGTTCTGTGACAAAAACGGTGAACGATTAGCATTTTTTTAGGAGCAGGCGATGGAGTCCGTACATTTTGATTTTTTAAAGTCTTCCTGGGAAATGAATAAGGTTGCTGCAAATCACCCGGATTATCCTAAACACCTTTTGAGCGCTGTTCGTAGATATACTGCTTCACATTTTTAAATTGATGTAATTATAATTAAATTATGTTACATTTTCATATTTTATCAGCAAAGTGTTGAAATAATAAAAGTTTAATAGAATTACAACTGTAAAATTATTATTCTATCATTTTTTCCTTTCTATTGATGTAAAACAACGCTAGATTTTCCAAAATATCATACTTTGTGTGCAAAAATGTTGAAAGTGGATTGTTTTAAAAGTCTCTTCACAGATTATATTGACTTTTATTTTCTGTTAACATTGTAAATTTAGAATCTCTTCTAATTTTCTAGGTGTAAGAGCATTTTATTTAACTTTGGTTAAGGCACACAGTGGATACATTTTGTTTTTATTTGACTGATTTATTTATATGGCACAGAAGAAAAAATTAAAATATTATTAGATCCCAAAACAATTTTTTTTAAAAATATTTTATACCATTATATTCTACAAAAAAAAGAGACTTAACTGGAAATATTTTGCTTCTTTTTGTTTATTTTGTATGTGTGATTCTCATTGGAGATGCATTAATTTTAAGGTGAATATGAATCCTATCAACCTATGCCAATTATATTTTTTCTGACAAATAATGGATTGTTGGTATCATATCACATGATCAACAACACTCCTGGATTAGAGAGTTTAGTATATCCAACAGAACCATTTGATAAAGCAAGTGAGAGAAAACGACATGGTATTGTTACATTTTTACTATTTTTTAGCTGCTTTTATAAGCTATAATTTTTTATATAGTTGAAAGTCTATTGTGTGTTAAAAAATATTTTTTCAATCTAGTTTTTAGTATAATTTTACATTGTTAACTACTTATGTGCTTTTTATTAATATAGACAGCTTACTAGATTTGATTTAGATTAGAGAAAAGTAATTAAAAATTGAAAGCAACTTTTGTATTAAAAATAAAATTTTATATTAATTATACACTAAAAAGGAAATAATATTTGTAGATGTATGCATAAAAATTTCAAGGCATTCTAAACTTTTTTGGACCTCTCAAGCATATCATATTCCACAAGAGATCATGTCATAGTTAAAACTCTTTTATCTGTTTGGTGGGTTGCCACAGGCTACTAAAATGGCACTATTTGCAATTATTTTCGGCATGAGGTGACTGTGGCAACTTTATTTGACGTAGTATTTTCCATACTATTTTCAGGAGAAGGAGACTTTTCTGTATTACTAGTGATTCTTTTTTTACCATAAATTGGGTTGAAAACCTGTGGCCGGCTGAAGTATTTTTTTCATAAAAAATTGTTTTGAAAATTTTAAATTTCAAATTTGAGTAATCACTTTTTAATGTGTTCAATTTGCGCAGATTCCATTGTAAGCATATTTTGTTTCTTGATAGCCTTATCAATTGTTATTGCTACAAAATTCTGCATCATTTAAAAAAAAAAATAATAATTTTTAATATGATGTTACGATACATGAATTTCGAATTTGAGTAATCACTTTTTACAATATATAAATAACTAATTATAATAATAATAACTATAAAACCTATAAACCTATAACTAATAATCATAATACTGTGAATGGTACAAAATGTCTTTTATTGCCTGAAACAATTTGTAATAATAAGGTTTATTATTAAAGAATTATTTTATGATGTTTATCTGTATTTAATAAAATCCTGGTTAGTCAAATCATGTTTAACAAAAATGTATTCTATTATTATTTACATATTTTATCTTGTATTATTCTATACTTTAGTGTTACAATTCAGAGAAAAGCAAAAAATATGTTCTATCACTTAAAACAATATTTTTGCGATAATATTATTAATTATTTAATTTAATGACACCATGCAATACAAGGTAAAATCCTACTTAGGCAAAAGGGTTTTATGGTTGTATAGGAAAAATATGAAAGATACCCTTACAAAATTAAATATATAAATATAAATGACCTGAACTACCTTTTCTTGTACAAAATAAGATCCATGTCATTCAAACTTGAAGTACTTGAAAAAATGTAATTTTTTGTTTGAATTGTTTCTGTTTTATGGGTTTTACATTACATTCAAAACATATTTTTAAAAAAAGTTAGTAAAGAAACCCCCATAATAATGCACAAATCTTACTTTAACTGGCTATTTGTTAATTATATATTTCATTAGTTAAAACATCAGTGTAGGGAATACTGGCAAATGTATACAAAGTTATTGTTATCCTGATGAATCATTATTAAAAAATTATGTTCTTATTATAATGAAAACAAATTCAAAATTCAACCTACTTGCTTCACCAAGAAATTACTTTAAATTAATATTTAATCATACTAATCAAATGCATGAAATCATATTTCATTCTTTATTGATTTGTCATTTGGTATTGCATACAATGACTAGTCACTGTGAGAAATGTGTTATCATTTCATATTTCTTCTGCCAATCTTGCGTGAAGTCCGACATAGTATTCAATGCCAGACTCCTAACTTTATGATAACATGTATATTTTGAAAAAGTTAATTAATATAAAACCAGGCAGCTTTTTTTAAAAATGTTTTTTTATTCAAGATTTAAAATTGATCATTTATAGGTGGATTGCAAAACCTAAATCAAGGAGGGACTCCACAGCCTTCACTTACTGCCCCAAGTTCCATTATGTGAGTAAAACTGCTTAATTCTAACGATATATAGTCTTGAGTTATTTTTTATAAATTTAACTAAATTCTGCCATTATTTTACATTTTTGTCCTGTATTTCACATGATTTATGTTACTGGTTTGTCATAAAAAACTATTATTGACTTATAAATAGAAAAAATATTTAACTTTATGTGCATGGTACATTTTAATACAATTTCATTAAAGAATAAGATTTTATCACTTAAACATTTAAGGCATCTTCATGAAAATCAATTATAAAAATAATTTACATTAGGGTTGACTCAAGCAACATATATTAATTTTTTAATCAGTAAATATTGTCTTCCAATTTCTAATTTTAAATACTTCAAAAATACCTTTGATATTTAATATTTTTCTCAATCAAAAATATTTACTAATTAAATTGCTGAATAAAATTATAATNGCAATAGATAGTGTTGGTGGATTGAATTACTATAATTCAACAAAAAAATATTTAACTTTAATTATTGACCACCTCACAAGATACATTTGGGCTTTTGCATCAAAATCCATTAGCTCAGAAACCTATACAAATTTTTTACATCAAATTTTTCAAAATCAAATTCCTAAATCCTTGTTGAGTGATAGAAACGCTGCCTTTACTTTTTCTCATTTTAAAAATTTTTTGAAGCATAATAAAATTCAACTATTATTGACAACTGCACATTATCCGCAGTCTAATGGCAAGGTAGAATGCCTTGCTCAAACAATAATTACGCGTTTAAAATGTAAAATCAATGAAAACCCTACTAGAACTCCCTGGCCTACTTTGTTAAAAGATCTAGTTAATACTTGTAACTTAACTCCCCATTCCGTAACAAAATTTCCACCTGCATATCTCATGCATGGAAGACTCCCCTATGAAAATCCCTTAAATGAAAAGAATCTGTCCACCTGTTGAGGAAGCTAAAAAAATACTTCCTTTTAGTGGAACATATGAAATTCTTCAAAAAATTTCAGAAGCTAATTACAAAATAAATAAAAAGAATAATTTAAGTAAACAAAATTTTGAAATAGTACACGTATCAAAGCTTAGGAAATATCACAACCCACAAATGTTGAAATAAATCATGAATAGTGTCCAAAGGAAAAGAAATTTTTTAAAACTTTCTTCAAAGGAAGAAGTAAACCCTATATTTTTGAGAGATCCGAATTGCGTGTGGAAATGTTTACCTCAGCATCATTTGGATGTGAGAGCGATGAAAGTTGAATTTTTTTCCCCCTCAACAATGTAAGAAAAATATAATAAATTCTTTTTGTATATGTCCAATCTGGATCTCTCAAATTCCCTCTGCTTCATGAAATTCTGTTTTCCTCCATTTTAACAGGGAATACAGATTTTCATCCAGTAAATAACCCCTTTAACCACACAGAATCTTAAATTCTGAATAAATGACACATGTTGTCCAGTTCATTTGCACAAAAATTTTACATATTTTTGTGTGAAAAATTTTTGAAAATTTTAGTAGATTAGTTATATAAATATGTTTAATTTTTCTTTCTGTTTAGTTGACTAAACAAATAAATTGTATTATCATGTTTTTTAAAATTTTTGTCTTTGTAAATAATTGTTGTTTTTTTTACATATAATTGAAAAAATATTATTTGTAGTAGGGAAAAGGAACAGTCCTACCAACCTCAATTTTAGAAATTTAAAGTATTCTAATTGTTTTTTTTTGGCCCACCAAAATTTTTTTTTTTGGGGGTGGGCGATGGAATACAAAAATGATAATTACTTTTGTATTAATAAAAGAATTATAACTCTTTCGTTTTCATAAAATGTCTTAGGTAAAGAATAGGTGTAGAAATTCTATTTTGAGACTTCAAGGCTGAAAACATACCATTGAATTATAATGAGATTTATATTTCAAAGGAGGAGTTATTTTTAGAATCTTGTCCCTCTTTCACTTCCAAATTAGGAAGCATTAAATGATTATCGATGATGCGTAGAGTTACAAACTATGCACTGACTGAGCCTTTTCACCTCCAAATCTGTAAGTATTTAATGTAAGAGAAATGGTTTTCGCATGTCTTTTGCTGAATAACGTGTTCCATAAAACATCTGCCGGAACCATCCGGAGTTTTGTCCACACCCCCTCCCTTGTGGAGTGGGGATGTGAACTGTTATAACCACCAGCCTGCCTTTAAATAAACCTTTTTAGAACGTATTATGGNACAGAAGATTGCATAATTATTGTTTGCTCTGTCTATGGGGGTAATTACGAAATTTTTTCGTAGTTGCTTAGTTGGTATATATATATATGTATTATTATTATTACAGGTCATTTCATTCTGGCAAATATTTGAGTTACATGATTTTCTTGAATAAGCATGATTTGCAAATAGCATCCCTATGTTTCGATACATTCCGAAACTGACTTTTGCAAACATGTACTTCCGCTCAACATGTTCTTGCACTAAGCTCTTTGATTGCAAACAGTTACTTATTTGTCACCAACTATGACTTCTAAAGTTTCTTTGTTTTATTTCTTTATTTACAAACTTATTTTACAATTCTCATCCTCACTACTAGCATCTGATATGATACCTCATTTTTTAGTAGAGTTCGTAAGGTCCTTAAGAAATTAAAAATGTGGCAGCAAAACTAAGAAGAAACATTTTATTATGTTTATATTCACCACAACATTCAATATTTAATTTAAAAAACTTGTTAATTTGTGGTCACAAAATGTTGGGTTTCAAAATTTTAATTTTAAATTTAATGATAATTTAATGATAATTTTATAATTAGGATACTGATACCACAGTTTTCTTACTTTATTAAGGAATATAAGTCCTGTTAAAATATTAAAATACTGGTGTTTGCAACTGCAAGCATAAAAACCTCATTTTTCTAAATGGACGTTCAGTTAATAAAAAAGAAGGAGTTTAAAATTTATAAAAAAAATTAAAATTCGTCAAAAGTTGGCGTAAACACCCTGAGGTCTCTAGCCAGTTGCAAAGTCAATTTTACTTGGAATTTTTCATTGTATTTTGGAGTTATAGATTTGTTTAGATATTTGCTAATTTTAGTCAGAGTTTTACTAATTTTAATTGTTAAATTAGAGAAAATAATGTTCCACTGTTACGACATTCTAAAAGGAGAAATAGTGGCACTTTATGAATATGGAAAATCCATTGGTGAAATTAGTCAGGTATTGAATATATCTTATTATACAGCTAATTGAAAGGAAATCGTAATTGAAAGGTATATAATTCGAAATAAATTCCAAATTACTTAAGTTTTTGAAATTGCAATCAGCATCTTATTTTATTTTTAAATCCAAATTTTTTATGTATTGCTGTAAAAAGAAATTAGTTTCTCTAAACTATTTGCATTATTAACTCTTTAAAGAAAAATTTTTTTAGAAATTTTATGTTAAAATAAATGAAATATTCTTTTTATTGTTTGTTTAAAACGACTGATTTTAAAAACCTTTGATGGGTTGTAAAAAATTTTACCTTAAGTAAAGAAATGGTCATTATGTGCTTATAAATAACTGAATTTATAAATTCTATTTGTAACAAGAAATAAACTCAATGAAAAGTGATGAATTGAAAGAGCACTGAATGCACAAGACAAAATATTTCTCCAGTTTTCGCCTCCCTACTTTACTCTCCCCTACCCCTAACTATTTCCAACATTTATGCAAACAAATCCTTTCATTGGTATTTTTTTATTTCATTTTTATTTTCTGAAATTATTAGAAGATGGCTACAGAAATTACAAGTGAAAAAATAAACTTAACAATAATATTTAAAAACTAATGCTGTTGGTAGGAACTGTTCTTCCCACCACCTTTCAATGCCAGACTCCTAACTTTACGATAACATGTTTATTTTAAAAAAGTTAATTAATATAAAGCCAGGCAGCTTTTTTTAAATTTTATTTTTATTCACGATTTAAAATTAATTGATCATTTATAGGTGGATTACAAAACCTAAATCAAGGAGTGACTCCACAGCCTTCACTTGCTGCCCCCAGTTCCATTATGTGAGTAAAACTGCTTAATTCTAACGATATATAGTCTTGAGTTATTTTTTATCAATTTAGCTAAATTCTAACGTTATTTTACATTTTTGTCTTTTATTTCATGTGATTTATGTTACTAGTTTGTCATAAAAAACTATTTTTGGCTTATAAATAGAAAAAAATATTTAACTTTATGTTTATGGTAAATTTTAAGACAATTTCATTAAAGAATAAGATTTTATCGCTTAAACATTTGAGGTATCTTCATGAAAATCAATTATAAAAGTAATTTACATTAGGATTGACTCAACCAACTTATATTAATTTTTTTATCAGTAAATATTGTCCTCTAATTTCTAATTTTAAATACTTCAAAAATACCTTTGATATTTAATATTTTTTACAATGAAAAATTTGTTATAAGTGACTTTAATTTTATTGATGAAGAGATCTATACAGTTGGAAATATACTAAATAGATTAAAACGGAAATAAAAGTGCAATGTAGGTTATTTTTTTAAATTTTTTTTTACAATCCTTCTTTATTGCATTTTGAAATGAAGTAATTTTATGAATGCATTATATTTTTTGATGGTATTATTAGCTGTTTGATTTTTATGATAATGTTTAACAAATTACTAATTATTAAATATTTAACAATTTATTGATGAATAATTTAGTGACACAAAATTCTTCTTTCGTTATAAAATACCCTATAAAATATCCATGGGAAATATTAGGGCTATTAAAAATGTTCTCGTTGTATTAATAAAAACTATTTTTTAATCCAAGGTAGCGAGAAAAAAAAAGGTAATTCGCTTTTTCAAATTCTTCTGTATTGATAAAGCTAAAAACTTTTTAATCTTCTTAAAGTCTTTCAATCTTTCAGATTAAAATCCTTAATATAAATTAAATTTGATGAATAATTGAACTGAAAATTCTTTTGTATTTTCAATAAAATTACCTTTTTTTTTTTCTTTTTGCCTTCACTGTTGTCTCTTTTAGGTTTCAGCCACCATCTGCTTTCCAACCACAACCTGTGCAGGAGAGTAAATCTGCATTGGCTGCTACTTCTCCATTTAATCTGAAACAAGGCTTTAGTCAAAATAGTAAGACACATTTTTACCATCTTAAAATGCATTTATTAGAATTAAACTATTATTACTATTATTATGGATAATCTATCCAGTTCTGAAAAAGTGAATTTTATTAATAATTTAGGGAAAATTCTCCCTATACAATTAAAATACTTATTTCTCTTCAATTTAAGGTTTATTGAACAACACTACATTTTTCATAAAATTTTATTTGATTGATTACATTCGTAACGAAATTTTGTTTTTAAATGTAAAATAATGAATTTTTCTAAGAGTATCTCATAGTATCTTAATTGGTTCTATGATTTTTCCCTTTCTAAAATAAGGATTGAGTAACAAACAAAGGGCTTAGTGCAAGAAATGTCCTAAAGTGATATTTTTTTTTAAATGTGATTTCTCATAGAATGATCTTATTTTAGTCTAAACAATACAGTATTAAATTATCTTGCCAAGTCTCTAAATTTTGAAGATCTCAGCTGATGAGAGTATTAAGTGACAATCTATGAGCATTTCCAGAGTAAAAGAAGAGCTTTTGGCAATAAACTGTCAACATGTAGCGTTACAAAGCGTTGATTTTAGCACCAAATTAATTGGCTAGGACACTATAATGTGATGTAGAACCTTTAACTGTCAAACTTTTATTCAGATTTTAAATATGGGTATATTTTGTTTCATCTATTGCCTTATTAGTCCAAGTAATATATGCTAAATGCTAATCAAAAGAAACAAAATTGTGTATTTTTTAAATGTTTTACAAAATATTAGCAAGATTATTCAAAAAGTTCCCATGGACAGGCGAGAGTGTTTTTTGGAGCTATGTTTATCTATTTACTTATTTAATTTAAGTTTTTTGTTAGCTTTGCAAGAGCTAAATGTTCCTGTAAATAATGTTTAAGATACCATTACTAAAACTGTACTGGATCTTTCTTTTGTAGAGTAAAATTGTTCTGGAAATATAAAAATATGAAAGTAGGATGGAGAAGTATCAAAATATCACTTTTTAGTTTTCTTTTTTGAAATTTATAAATAAAAAACTGGGCTGTTGGGAAAAAGTGCACAAAATTAATAAACAGGTCTAAATTGTTTTATAAAATGTTACGTAAGATTGTTGTTGCATTGATGGATTAGGTAATGAAGAGTAATAGTTTAAGAAAAAAGCTATTTTTTTAGCGGTCTGGGTCTCTAGATTAGCAGAGTCATCAATGAATTAATAAAAAAATTTATTTAGTGCCATTGGGAAATAAAAAAAGCCAGTTAAAAAGCATATTTTTTTAAGGCTGCATTAAATACATCCAAAACAATTTATAATATCTTCCAACAAAAGCCAGTCTGTTCTAAAATAAATTAAAATAAAAATAAAATTTACACACGATAAATTTGAATTTGCATGTTTCATTATTTTATCATTTTTCTTGCTTATGTAAGCCTTTCTAAATTAAAAGTCCCGACATATAGTACCATTTTAGACTCATCCCACTTAAAGCCAAGAGTTTAGAATGTCTTATAAAGCTCATGATTTTAAAAAGATAAACGACCAGAGTTTGCTAACATCTGCATTATTTTTGTATCATGATATTTCATAATTTTAAACTTTTTTATATCTAATAGATTTTATATTTTTTAAATAATGAAAAAAAAGACTTGTTTCCATTCTTTGATTTTGTTAGAAGATAAAGGGGAAACTTAACCATGATAATATCATTCAACGTGTTTAACTAGTGTTCTTCCCCTCAGACTGAACCTGTATTTTCTCGATTTTAAATTCATTATATGTCACATATATAATTTTGTAGCATATTTCATGTAATATCTACCATATTTTTATTGTAAATATGGTAATAACGACCTGAAGTTTATTTTTGGAAGTCAGAGCAAAAATGGTTTTCGGTTGAGCCTGTGATTGATAAAGACCAAGCCCATTTGAATTGGAGAGTTTAAATGTTCTACAATTTTCATGATTTTTAAAAAATATAAGAGCAAAATTTCTTAACATTCTTTAACTTATTTCAGGTTAACAATTTTCGATTCATGGTATTTCATGCTTTTCAAACATTGATACATATAATAATTTTACTAGGGATGTAATGAATAGTGATTTTTCCAAATAGCCGAATACCAAATATTCGGCCGTAAAATTTGGCCGAATAGCAACATTTAAAAAAAAATAATCATTAAATAAAAAATCCTTTTTTATAAATGAATAATATTTAGTCGTTATTGAAAAATAATCAAAACTTAGCTATATATTTGGTATGGGATGAAGGGAAAAAAACTATAACAGAAATTTTTAAGAATTAGAAGGAATGTAGATATTAAGATAATTATAAATATTTCAGATAGATAAAAATAACTGATTAACAGCTATTAAATAAGAAAAAATAAATAAAGTTGTAAAATTAAAAAACAGAAAAGAAAAATAGAAAAAAAAACTATCTCTCTAATTCTTAAAGCAAAACTTTAATGCTAAAAATAATATTTTTCAAAAAATATTCATAAAACATTAAAAGAGATATAGTCTATCATAAACGCTTATAAAAATGTCGCACTATCAGAGAAAGGCCCATAAAAAAGATCATATGCTAAAGCAAAAGAGAAAAAAAAATTGATCTTAATTTTTGAAAGAAAATTTTAAACCTTAACTTCTCAGTTTTTCCAATTACTGTATTTTCAATAAAAAGTGAAGAATAAAGTCGAATAGAAACCCTCTCATTGACCACGTCATAATAAAAAGGTTTGTGAAAACATTCGTTCTTAATTTTTAAATGAAATATTTAACTCTAAAAATCTGAAACTTTTTCACATTGCCATATTTTTAGGAAAATAACGTTTATTTGAAATGCTTTTAAAAAATTGCTATGTCATAATAAAAACGCTGATAAAAATAAAATTTACTAAGTAAAGCAAAAGCAGAACAGAGAAAAAATTGTTTTTAGTTCTGAAATATAACTTTTAACGTTGAGAATCAGTTTTTTATGTTACTGGTCATCTCTCTTAGTGACAATAAAAGAATGAAGTCTATTAGGAACGCTCTGTAAAAATGCTGTGCTATAATTAAAACAGCCAAACCGAAGCAAAAAATGAGTTTTTAATTCTTAAAATAAAAAGTATTCAAAAATGACAAAATTGACTTTTCCTGAATATAATTAAAAAAAATCATCTTTACAGAATTCATGATTCAGTATAAAATAATCTAGTTTCAAGTCTTCAAATTTAACTTTTATATTTGTCTTTGAGAGCATAAATTGACAATTTTTTGTACTTAACAAATATGTGTAAAAACTATTTCCGAACTTGAGTAGTAAAATATATGATTCATTATTCTTTATTAAATCTATTCAAATTCCCAAAAAATGCTTCATCATATATTCGGCAAAAGGGTTGAATAACGAAAAATGTTTGAATATTTATTACACCCTTGACTTTTACATTTTATAATATTTTCTATCTGAAGACATTTTACATAGATCTGCTTAGTTTGAAGGTAGACGATAAATAGTTTTGGTTCAAAAACTTCTTTCAGCTGATGAGCTCAGGGTTGGCTAAGGCTTGCGGTCTCAGGTTGAACCTGTTTGATCCGTACTTTATGCCCATTATCGTATAAAGTAGTAAATTTCGTTACAAAGGCAGCTGGTGTAAAAAAGGTTCCCTTTTATTTTTTAAACTGCCACTTTTTTATTTCAAATGATTTTCTTAATATAGTACTAGTTTTTCAATCTTCAATGAGAGGAAGTTTCAGGTGTCATAAATATTGCATTATTAATCTGAGAAATGTGAATTCATTACTGTCTGTTGAAGATATATGCAATAATTTTATTGCATATTTATTTTAGTATCTATTTTTCTTTCTAGAAAATGAGCAAGTCTCAAGTGGAATAAAACTGATTCCAACTTCAAATAATTCAGCTTCTCCGGCTCAACCTGCATCTATGCCTGTTGCAAAAGTTCCTATATTTTCTGTGCCCGATCAAGCGAGTTTTCGCACCCCTCCTAGTAATACAACTTTTGATGTAACTCCAACTTCTGATGGTCTATCTAAGTCAAGCTTGCGTGAAACCCTTAATTCAACTGTTTTGGTGAGATGATTAATAAAATTTCCCTTAATATATATTTATGTTTATATTAATTATTTTTTGTAATAAAAGGGCATATTATATTATAAAAGATTTACCTCACAATGTAATTGTACAAAAATTCACAGATGAGCTTTGATCTTCATATGAAAGAAAAAATATAAAAAAATTATGTTTTAATGTGTAAGATCATAATATAAATATCACCGTAAAAGAAAAAGAAAAAAAGATTTACCTCATTAGGTAGTTATACAAAAATTTCCAGATCAGCTTTAATCTGCTCCTACACTAAAACTCCTCCACTAAATCACTAGAACTTAGACTTTGTTAGCAGTAGTGTTATTTACTGCAGTTTCAGGGTTACTTTCCTCCTAAAAAAATGTTAATTGAAAAGAATTTAAAGTAAAATTGCTTCTTTTTCAGGACTAAAAGACTATTTGAAACCCTTTAATGCAGGGGTGTCAAACTTGCAACCCACGGGCCACATGCGACTGAGGTGAACATTTTTGTGGCCCAGTCAATATATCTGAAGCAAAGTAAAAATAAAATAGAAATGTGAATTAGAAATGAAACCAGCATATAAAATTATAATATACTTTATTTATAAACTATACGGATCATTTTAAATTGTCCGCTCGAAAATGTAAAATTCTAATTGGCTGAAATGGAGTCCGTTTCACACTAAGCTATCAATTAGATAGTACATAATCAGGTTTATCCTATTATAGCGAGGTAAGTTGGTTATCTTGCTCCAAGGTTCTCAATCAATTCTGGGATTTGAAAGAAAAAATATGTAAGTTTTTACAAACTATAAATCAAGATACAAGCTTGTTCTCCGATCAAATATGGTTGCAAGATTTATCTTTTATGGTTGATATAACCAAACACTTATCCGATTTAAATTTATTGTTACAAGGCAAGGATCAGATCATTACGAACATGTTTGACATAATTAAAAAAGCATTCAAATGTAAACTATTTCTTTGGGAAAGGCAACTGAAAAATGAAGATTTAACGCACTTCCCAACGTGCAACAAGAACAAATCTAGTTTAGATGATACTGCATCGTATCAAAAATACGCAGAAAAAAATTTCAAATCTTAGAACAGAATTTGAAACAAGGTTTAAAGATTTTAATTCTTTGGAAGACAAATTTTGTTTGTTTTCTTCGATTTTCTCAATAAATATTGATCAGTACCCAGTTATATGCAAATGGAAGTGATTGAGATTCAGTGCGACTCAAATTTGAAGGCAAAATTCATTGAAGTGGGTGTGTCTAAATTTCACGAATATTTACCAGCAAGGTTTGAAAATACTCAAAAATTCGCATATGAAGTTTGGAAGTACTTATCAGTGAGAGCAATTATTTTCTGTTGTGAGCAGAAACAAATCTCCTGTCCAAAACCCTATTAATAACGCTCACGTTTAGTCTCGGCCAATGAAATTTCTCCCAAAATAGAAAAGATAATAGCAGAGAAGAGATGTCAAGTATCAGGATGTAAACACTAATTTAACTTTATATATGTTTATTACAATTTAAAATAAAAATATTTGTTTCTGTGAACATTGATTTTTTTTATTTTTATTTATTTATTTTTTTTTTTGCCCACCTGAAGTTAAGCATTGTTTATTTGGCCCAAGTTAGCTTTTGAGTTTGACACCCCTGCTTTAATGCATTTTGATATTTTTGCTTCCCTTCCTGATTTGAATGACTTATTTGTCAATTTTTGAATAAATCTGAAATAATGCATCTATTAGATTTTTGTTATTCATCATAATAATATACTGAAGTTCTTTTAAATTACTAATTAAAATGTTTTATTTTATTACGTTTACTAGTTATTGTACTTTTGTGGATTATTTAAGATTTACTCACATAGTAAATTTTAAAATAACATAAACTGTATTGGGTATACGTCTACAATACTTGATGGCCGGTGTTTGCCTAGTCGTCGTAGCTCAGAGATCCCTGATCTAAAGAATGACCCAGAACGCTTGAATCTCATGGTATTTTGATATAAATACTACTCTTCTTATGCAGTTTTGTTTCTTATGTTCTAGAGTAATTTTCATCTGGATAGTTATTAGAACTGTACTTACAAATGTCTAATTCATTATAAATTTCTTTACAATGCCATTTTTTTATATGATCCATATTTCATGTATGTAGTAGTATTATAATTAATTTCAGTTTATATTAACAGTGCAATTATGGCTTTTATTTTTATTTCAGTCTCACAGAATCAAATAATCTTTTATTGATTTTTAAAAAAAAAAAAAATTTATTTGCGAAGCTAATTTTTCTTAGTATTTATAAGTGATTATAGTATTTATGTTCTTATTATTTATAAATGAAAAAAAAATGATTGTTTAAATTTTAGGCATCAAAGGAAACCAGTAACAAGCAAAATACATACATTGGTGCCATTGTTGATGAAGTCAGTATCACTTTCTATTATGTTATTTTTTTTAAGCAAAATATATGCATTATTTCCTGAATATATAAATCTCCTGTGTGTTTTATTCAAGATAGTTTTCATTGCTTAATTATAAATTTTATATAATTTTAAATGTACTTTAACTAAAACTATGTGAAATTAAATATTACTAAAATTATAGATTATTAGTAAATTGCTTAAATTAGTTCTCTAATGCATTTAGATTTTTAAAACAGTTTCATATTTTTTTTTCTCCATTTTGTTAAAAAATTTTGCTATTAATATATTTTAGTACTATTCAACATTTCTGTTTACAAAAACCTAATTAAAAATATGTTTTGGTATTCATATTTTTTTTCCTGCTTTCCTCAATTCTTAGCTTCTGTTGAATAAATTTAAAATTTTTTGATTGAATTCTTCTTACTTTTTAGTGCTAAAAGTTAATCCAGAGAAGTATATCTTAAACATATTAATTTAAAAAGCCCCATAATTTATGTTTTTTGCTTATTTTTTCCCCGCCCTAATAAGCTTTTGTAACACTTTTCTAGCGTTTCAGTTTAAATGTACTTTCCGTTGCACTATAAAAAGTTTAATTTTTTATTTACTACAAAATGTAACAAAATAAATATTATACATTAGGGAGATAAATCAAATGGTATACATTTGATTTTTTAAAATTGTTTAATCCTCTATAAATAAATTTGTTATTTTTGCAAAAAAATTTAAAATATATTATTTATGCCAAACTGTAACTTATAAATATACAAGTAACGAAATTAATTTTGAAATTTTTTTACTTGAGTATATTTGCTGTATATTATTTCTTGTTATATTTATGTTATATTATTTGTGTTACATTAATGTTATATTATTTATGTTATTTATGCTGCATATTAGTTCTTGTTATTAGTTATATTTGCTGCATATTAGTTTATTTTCTAAAAATAAATTTGTGTCATAAAGAGTTTTGCTGATATATGTTATCTTATTCTATTATTTCTGCTACTTTTCTTTTAAAATTAATATGTAGATAAAAAATTAATTCCTTAATATTATAAATTTGGTTTGATGAAAAAAAGAGAAAAAATATATTAAAGAAGTTGAGGATTGCTACATTTTTACTCAAACTTAGTACTGAACTGGGAAATTTAAAGTTATTAATAGAATCCCTGGAATGTCTCTAAGATTATGCAAAACCCAGATCATATTTCTGATCGAGATAATTGGTTTTAAACCTTTTTGGATCACTTTGCAAGGCGAAAAACTATTAATACATCTATCAAAAAGTTTTTACTTTTAGTTAGTTTAATATTTTGATGTCATAAAATTTTGCTTATACTATTGAATCCTTGAAAATGAAGGGTAATATTAGAAAGTGTTATTTTTATACCGATTTTAGGGAAAATAGTCTAGACCTGAAAGTTATTAAGTATTTGAACAAAATTCAATTCAACCTATCTTTTAATCTCCAGTAGATATAGATATTGTTCTTGAATCTTTAATTAGTTGAAATTTGATCTTAGATTAGTCATATCCTTAAAATTCATTTAAGTCTTTTATTTAACAAGTTTCATCTTCACTTCATAATTCAAAAGAAGGGCTCTAATTTGAATGTGCAAATAGTTGTTATATTTGGACCTAAAACAAAATTAATTTTATAAAATTTTGTTATAAAAAATATACTTAAGTACATTTTATATTAATGGTTAATAAAATGAAGGCACACAATTTAAAAATAACTAGTTAATATTATTATTAAGAAGCAAAAGATATTATAAAGAAACAGAAGGTAAAAAAAAAAGACATGGTGAATTCTCAATTTTAATTTAATTATTTAAAAAATTTTTGTGAAACAGTAAACATCTTTTAAATTGTTTAGTGAAATAAAATGCCATTCTTCATTCAGTGAACTGATATTACTTCACTTTATTATTATAATGTAATGTTTAAAAGTCAAAAAGTTTTTATTACAAATCCAGAAACTCTTAATTTTACAGTTTTTAAGAACTTGATAGTAAATTGACTCTGTTATTTGTTAGGGCATTATGGTTAGAGAGTTATAATCAATGTGTGAGGGAATTTTTAACACTATCAAATCTCACAAAAACGTGATATATCAAGGTATTTTTTGCAGTAGTGCTAAATAATATTAAAAAATAATAAAAATAACTGCTAAACAGATGATCCCTCATATATTGATGAGATTTTTCTTTTATGCTAGCATTTCTGAAGATGAAAGACATGATTTTAACTCAAAACTCTTCTGTCTTAGAATGTTTTTAAAACATTCTAAAAATGTTTAAAAAACTGATCTCCCGCCCTCTGTAATCGAGCCTAAAATCTCGCGACTTTCAGGCGATTGGAGGGATAAACTACTTACTGCCTTTTTTATATTTATTATTATGTATTATGTTCGACTTCTAGAGAATGACTTGCATTGATATTGCCAGATCTCTTTAACAGAGGAGACAACAAACAAATATTTATTCTGTTGATAAGAAAAGCAGTAGTTATAATGAATTTAACCAGAAAGAATATGAAAATAATTGAAATTTATACAAAACTAGAAAAATACATTCTGGTGAAAAGAAAGAACTTTGCTTATTGGCATGTCTTAATTCTTGTTGTTACCCTTTATTATAATTTCTGCTTCTTTTCTTTGCTCTGTCCACATTTATATCTCTTTGTCCAATAAAGATATTGAAGAAATATATATTTGCTTGGGAACTACTGAAAATTTCATTACAGTTTGATACCTCACTCCTAAATATTGGATAAATCAATTTTACGAATCTTAATGCTTTTTTTCCCCACCAATGTCTCTTAGGTGACAATAAACCAATGCTGGTTTGTTGTTGATTAATGTATTGTATATGTTGGTTTAATATGAGAGCGATTGAGAAATAAGTTATAATCTTAATGGCAATATAACTTTCTTTGGTTTTAAACTTTATCATATATATATATATATATACACACACAATATTCAGAACTACTTAATCATATTTCTTTATTTTGATATACTTTTATAATAAATGGTTATGATGCAGATAATAATTATAACTTAATTTCTCTCCTAAGTACATATCTGCTAATATATTCCACATTTATCAATAAAACCTGTAAAAAGTGCCGCTTCAAGTGAATTGGAAAAACTTTTAACTAGTAACTTTCATATATATTTAAACTAAAATTTTGTAAAAATGTTATATTCTAAGTAAGTATATTCAATATATATTAATTTTTTGTTTAAAAAGTCACCAGATTTAACGATAGCAGCGTCAGTTGATGAAACCATCAGAGAATGGTTTAAATAGGCTATCATATTCTTGGAAATGCTTTAAAGAGTATGTTATGCATAGATTTTTCAGTTAAAAATAAAAAGCCGAATTCTATTTAAATTTTATTTCTCTTTAGGTGCAAACTTTTGAAAAAGAACTACATGATTTAAAGCTTTCTTTAAGTTCTTTCGCACCAATTGGCACAAAAGATGAAATGATAGATTTGAAATCTGCTACTTTGAATGCTCAAGACTTTCAGAAAGAAATGTTGGAAACTATGACAGTAAGTTTTTTAACTATTTGCATTGCAATGTATTCTTTTTACTGTTTAGTTTCCTTCAAAATCGAGGTTTTTAAATATTAGCAGCAAATACGATTTTTCCTTTGAAATATATTAGAAAAAAGTAAACTCATCAGATCAAAATAAATAAATAAATAATTTATTAAATAAATTCAAATAAAATCTTTTAACTATTTTTAATTATTAATCTAAAACTAAAAAATTTTAGTTTAATTTAGAAGAATTAATTAATTTCTTTTGTTTGGTTGTTTTAAATAATAATTTAAGTAGTGTTGAATAGTTAGTTATGTGTTAAGCTTTTCTATAGTAAAATTTCTGTTTTTATAGAAATAAAAACTTAGTTACAGAGTAATTATCCAGATTTGTTTCTGATTCTTTCTAAAATGGTTGTATAAATTTAAAAAAAAAAAAATGATGCTATAGTGCTACATATTGTACCAATATGTAGTATTTTAGGTTGGGAAAAAAATCCTTATCAATATAGTTTTTTATTCAACTNACTATTTTTAATTATTAATCTAAAACTAAAAAATTTAGTTTAATTTAGAAAAATTAATTAATTTATTTTGTTTGGTTGTCTTAAATAATAATTTAAGTAGTGTTGAATAGTTAGTTAAGTGTTAAGCTTTTCTATAGTATAATTTCTGTTTTTATAGAAATAAGAATTTAGTTACAAAGTAATTATCTGGATTCGTTTCTGATTCTTTCTAAAATGGTTGTATAAATTTTTTTTTAAAAATGATGCTATAGTGCTACATATTGTACCAATATGTAGTATTTTAGGTTGGGAAAAAAATCCTTATCAATATAGTTTTTTATTCAACTAACAGCTTGTTTGAGTATTTCAATATGTATTACATCTAAATAATAAACTGCATTGATAAGGGGCATTCAAAAGAAAAGCAAATACCTACTACAAAGTGACAATGGAGTTTGTTTTACTGAAAAGTAATTGCTAAAATTCTCAATCCATTTATTCTTCTGAGATGAATAAGGTCAGTCTTGCAGAAAGAGATGTGTTGCATTACTCACTTTCGTATTTCATACTCTTAATGAGAACAGACGTCATCATCATTAAAGTTTTTCTTCTGGTGCAAATAAATGTAGAAATCACAAGGAAAAAAATCTGTGTCATATTGAGGATGTGTTTTGAAAGCCGATATTCATTGGTTTTTCTGGATAAGACCTACAATATACACATCAACATTGAGGACTTGATGTACCGGGTGCAAATAATCTTCCATACTTCTCAGAATTTTTTCTTCCGGTTGTGTTCGAGTAAGCAACGTACAGTCTTTGCCATACGCAACAGAATGAACTTCAAGTGTTCCAGCAGCCATCAAGAAATGAACCACACTTCTTTGCTTGCCTCTGTACCTTCCTGTGTTGAGCGAAGTGTTATTATTTTCACTGTGTGCACCTTTTTGAGAGAAGAAAACTGTCCTCCAGACTCGAAGCATGGGGTTGTCTACTGTTCATCTCTAATGAGTGTACAATGGATCAATGAAGATGTATTGGTGTGAGTAAACCACAACGCCAACATATGCTAAGATTAGCGCAAAACTATTCACCCCTATTTGAAGTGACTTTTCCTCTTAATGGCTACGACATGAGACTGATGTCTTAAAAAGCTCTCCTGAAAGCGGCACAATATATAGATCTGTGCATTTTCAGTTAATTTCTCCCACCCTGCAGGCGGTAGTACCCATATTACACAAGATTATTGCCAACGTTGAGTTTTATGATAGTTCTATTTTTATTTCATTATGCTTTATAAATAAGTATGCTAAATAATAAAGTAGGTCTCACTTACAATAATCATATTGAAGTTTTTCTAAAATTTTTAGAATTTTCTGTTTTTTTAAATTAAAGTATATGTTATAACTATATCACATGAATAAAATATCTATTACAACTCAAGATTTTGAAGTCAGAAATATGTTATAAAAATACCGTATTTTCAAGTTTATGTGAGGTCAATCACAAATGGAAAATACGCCAGTCAATTTTAACTTTTAGTTGAAGGAGTAATATGGTTTTTGTATTTTAGTAATTATAAATATTTCTAAAAGTCATATTGTTATTTATCTTATGCTGTGTTTTTTTAAAAAAAAATTTATACCTGGCAGCTATGCACACATAATTAGGCAAGGTCTTTTCAACATAAGTGTGCAAAACTAATGCTAATCTTAAAATGTAATTCAAATGTGAGAAATATTTTAACAACATCTTGAGATTTTTTTGAAACTTCTATGCAAATGCTTCAAATATACCTCAAATAAATTTTTTTATATTTTACATAATATGACCAGCTATTAGTAAAAAGAATATAATTGACATGAGTGAGTAAAAATAATGTATTAATTATGATTTCAGTCTTTAAATACTGACATTCATGATTTGAAAAATGCACTGTTGGAAAGCTTTGTAATGGTTGAAGATGCCAATACGAGAGAGAGAAGAAAGAATGATCATTTATATTTATCTTTATTGCGGGAAAGAGCTCTTGATCCAGTCACTGCAAAACGACTCAAACAAATTGAACAGCACTATATGTATCTGAGCACACAATTGCAAGAAGTGAGCAATAAAATTGATCAAGATTGGTTTGAGTACTTGGAAAAGAAAAAATCTCATCAAAAGTATGTATTTTATTTTGTAATTTACTTAAACATTCTTAATAAGTTTTATTTTTGTTATCTCAATGAAAAATTTGCAATTTTAACATACCATTTAATACTGATCAAACAATATAAATAAGCTTGCATTGCTAACCCTTACTCTGAATCTTTTATTTAAACAAGAAGTCATACAGCTTTAATATATATTCACGCCTTTTGATACTAATGAGAAATTGAACAAGTGCTTTAATTGACTCCCTTTGCACATGCCAATTCTATAATTTGATTTTTAGATAAATGAAAATGATCGAAAATTTAAATGGCATTAAATATTACTCTAAATTAAATATTTAGAGTAAATTATGCAGATATTTCATTTAGTTCGGAAGAAAGCTATTTTTTCCAGGACACTGCTCGAAACTGAACAAAATGGATTAAATTAAAATTGACTAATGCATTAGTTGAATGATAACCAATAAATGAATCCTTCAAATTTAATACAAATAAAATATAATATAGTACAAAAAATTAAAAAACTTTTTTTTAATTTTTTTTTTATAGTTTCATGTGTTAATCTTTATTTTATGCAGAATTTTAAGGTTTATATTTTTATTTTAAATTTAAATTATCCTTATTTTCCTAGATATTTACACTGGTATCTTATAAATTACTTTCATTAATTTCAGTTTCGTGAATATTCTTTTTAAAGATAGAATTATCTAAAGCATAAAAAAATTTACTTAATAAAATATTAAATTCAAAATTTATAAACTTTTCAATAAAATTTTTTATGTTGATTTTTTAAGGCAAATGAATCTTTTAGTAATATTTAGATACTCATTTTTATTAGTTATTTTTATTTAATTTGCTCTCTTTTGCTGTTTTTTTAGCAATTGAATAAAAAGACTAGAAATTTTGGGAGAAAAACTAATCTTTAGTATATCCAAAGCAAAACTCCCGTTAACTGTAACATTTATGTTTAAAAGCTTTAAGTTATATAATTTAAAATGAAACTTGTAATTTTGAACATGATTTGCAGCTCAATTATTGAAAAAGATTTGAAATTGTTTGCCACTTAATCCTATTTTTTAAAATTTATAAAATTAATCATTGATTTAAAAGTGAAAATTCTGTAATTTATTAATAAAAATTTAATTAATAAATTAGAAATTAACTTATAATTTTATGTCTCGATAAGTAAAAATACTGTTTCATATTAAAAATATATTGAGTTTTAGCCTACTGTCTGAGAATACTTTTCAGTATTCATACTTTATGAGTGGTGATTTGTAGTATTATACAATCTGATTACTATATTTTAAAAGTTTTTTTTATATATATATAAAAATAAAGTTATGCTATAAAGCTATAAATATATATACGCTATAAAGTAACATGTACCTTTATTTAAATCATTTAAAGAAACTACAGTTGCAATATTCTCCCTAAGCATTTTATTAAGGGCAGCCCATCCTGCTTACCCTTTGATCCAAATAAATGTATCCTTTGCCCTTTTTGTAAAAAATAAGCCACCAACCCTTAAAAACACTGAATTTTTATTCATATTCTAGTTTGAAAAAATTAATTCACTGTTTAAATTATAATTACATTCCTATCTATGTTTATAGGTTCAATTCGATTAGTATAACATATTTTTACTTTGTTAGGATTATTGGTTAAATTAAAGTGGTTACTGGTTAAAGCCCTAAAAAATTTCTTTTTTGAAGGGGAAACTTTTTAGCATGCCTTTAATTACTTTTATAAACTACAAACTTCCTCTTGTTTTGATAATTAAAGAAAAGTTCTTATGAAATATACACATAATATAGTATATGAGGGTAATTTAAAATTTTTTGAGAATATAATATTACACATTTTGATAAGTTTTTGCTGTGTTAAGTGAGTCCCTTTTAAAACTCATAGTGCCCTTTTAAGCACCCTGCCCTTTTTTATTCTTTAAGGAGAGCTCTGCAGTTGTTTTAATTTCTTAAGAAATTCATAAAATTTATTTTCATTTCAAATTTTTGCTTTTTTATTTTTCATCTATTTATATTTAATAGCTTGGGAAATGATTTATTAAATAACTTGGAAATAATTCTGTTATTTAAATTTTATTATTGCAGTTATAAAATGTTGAAATTTTAATTTAGTTCTTGATATTTTTTTATTCAAAAAAGAGTTTCTGCCATTTTTTCCACTTAGGTTGAAGGAAACCTTTTTTTTCCTGGGGTGGTTTTTTTAGCATTTTTTTCCCTCTGTAAAAGAAAATTTCTACCCCTGAAATTATCAGACCACACCCTTTTTCATAAGACTACATTAATTTTCTTTTAATCATTCTTAATCCTGTTATAATTAAATTTTATCAATTATTTAATTTTTATCACATTTTATAAAAAGGGAACATAAATACTTTTATAGTTTTCTTAACAATCAATGTAATGGATAAGTTTTTTCTTCAATTCAAAGATGTAACTCATTAATTCAGTGTTTCAACAAATTGATTATCAAAATCTATTTTTCTGTAAGCTACTTTATTTCTCTAACCAAAAAAAATATTTCAGCTTCAGGGTTATACTTAATTCAGACAGTCTTTTAAGCCAGATTATTTAATATTTAGAACTTTTTTTTTTGCTAAATTATATCATGACCAAAATTTTATCTCTTCCCATGCTAAGCGCTTACTGGATATTAGCACTGTCTTTGGATGCTCGATGGCCCTGCAGTCCTACTGTTAATATTTTTATAAAAATTTTTATATAAAAAAAATGGATACATAAATAGAAACTGTCTCTAAAGGAGATGCTTAATATTTTATTAATATAATGTTTTTCAAGTATAGCCATATTTGTTAGGATATTTTTCTATGTTTGATTATATCTCTGCATTATCTCTGTGTTGCGACACGATTTACAAAATAAATTTTCATTATTACCAACTGCCACCTTAAGCAAATATGTAATACCTATAATAGCATCACTGGCTGAATTACCTTCAGTGTGGAAAATTTTATTATATATGTATATTTTAGGGTTTATAAATTACTTGAGTCTTTAATTTTAAAAGTAATATTTTAACTAGATTAGTCTTTCACGTTTTGGCTAAGGGAAATTTTGTTTTAAAAAATCAAAAATGTGATAATATTTTTGACACATTGAATTAGTACCTCTATATTTTAGAATATTATTGTTTCAATATTGGTGTGTCTTAAAAGTTTATTGTTATTTGTTTAGAAAATGATTTATAATCAAATATTAAATATAGAATTACTTATTGAACATTAATGGCAGAATATTTGTTCACAAACATGTATTTGTTATACTGGATCTTTCTATAGGTGCCTTTTCTGCTCTGGTATGTTCAGTGTCTTTTGAGTAAGAGCTTATAGGTTTTAAAAAATTTTCTGAGATTGATATTATTTTAATATTTCAATTTTTAAGCAAGTCTTTGTGTGTAATATTATTGTGACAGGCATGCCACCAAGCGATACAGTGTATTAAAACAAAAAAATTCTCATTACAATTTATATCGATATATTCTGCCTTAAGTATCTGTTAACCACTCTTTTTGGACATTTCCCAAAGGATATGACTGCATGATAACTTTAGTTGCCTTCTACATAGAACAGATACCTTCAAAAATTGATGCAGTATTCTAAATGCAAAAAAAAAAAAAAAACTTTTTGACATTGAAAACAATAATATTTACAATTGAATGGCAATAGTGTTATATTATAGATTTTCTTCTTTCGCATTCTTGGGGTGCACAAAATTTAAATTTAGCTTCATTTTGAGAAATAGAATTTTTATTTCATTAATCAGAATGTATAAAATTAAGTTAGCCTATATCAATAAAAATTGATGAAATTTGCTAAAGAAATAATTAATTCATTGTTTCATTATGATTGCCTTATTATTAAAGTTCTAAGTGATTTTTAAAATGTGCATATTGAATTGAATTTTCTTTTGTTAAAATTTAGGTCCACTTCTCATTTGTCATCTGCTGAAGCAATTTACAAAACACTTGTAAATAATCAGAACATCATCCACAATTTAAAAAAAAATATTGACCTTGTTTTTGATAAGGCTACTGAAAAAAGATTGGAAAATATTTCTAGAAGAAAAAACAGAAGTCCTTTTACTAAAAGGTAAATGCTCATAAATATTGAGGTAGTCATTGTTTTTTTCATGAAGTTCTACATTCTTTTACAATGTATGTTTTAAAGAATTTTTTTCCTTCTGCATGAAAATAATGTGATATAATTTGGTAAAATATTTATGCATCACTGAAGTAACCAGAAATTAATATTCGAGGTTAAAGGTAAAGCTCAAAGAAAAGTTTATTTTAGATATATTTTTCTACCTTTTGTGAAGTTAATTTCTTTTTTACTTAAACTATTTAATTTGCTTTTAGTTTTTTAACTTTAGCTCTTCTTCTTCATAACACTTTTCTAAGATTTAATTTATTTCTTTTTGCAATTAAATTTGCTTTCATCCTCATACATGCATTTTTTCCTCTGAGTTACAACTCTTTTCAATTTATTCTAGCATGAGATTTATTTTTCTATTCTAAAATTGCAAAATTTTTATATGTTACTGAGAAACCACCCTTCATTCTGCAAAATTTATGGAGGTATCTTATTTTTTCATTTCAATATGTTTTTTTAGAATTGTTAAGACTGTTGAATAATATTATTAATAAAAGAACTTGATTACTTAAATTTTCTTATCAGGAAATTTCATAAGAAGGAATTGAATGTCAAATTCTTATTTACTATCTTTACAAGACGAAATCAAATCTTATATGATAGTGATTTCAAAACAAAACAAAATATGTATTTATCTTTTTGTTTATTTTATTTAAAATCATTTTAATCCTAGCTAGGATTCAGTAATCACTACATTTTCCAAAATTATATGCTGAGGAGTACATAAGTTAGTATTTTTTAAAATTTTAGTTATTGATTTTTGGTCCAGAACCTTAATGATCTCCCTTCTTTTAGCAAAACTCTAACTTTATAAGTAAAGTTCATTAGTATTTGTGAATATTTTAATCAAATATACTACATATTATTTTTAAAAAATTTAATAGGCAGAAAGAAATTTTTTCCTTTTATTTACCAGCGATAGTTTTAAAATTGGATTTGGTATTTAAGTAACTAAATATTTAGCCAAATGTTGCCTTTTTTAAAACATTTCTGATAGAATATTTCTNCGGAGACAATGATACATTACAAACATTAAACAATTTATGTCACTACCTTCGGGGGCCACTTTTTTTTAAATAAATAAAATCTTAATGGAAAACAGATATTTTTAATTTAAACCTAGGAATTTAAATTCAGTTTCAACGAAATGGGCGGCCCGGTACCATTTGATTCGCGGACCGGGGGTTGGGGAACACCGCTGAGGAGTACATAAGTTAGTATTTTTAAAAATTTTATTTATTGATTATTTGTCCAGAACCTTAATGATCTCCCTTCTTTTAGCAAAACTCTAACTTTATAAATAAAGTTCATTAGTAATTGTGAATATTTTAATCAAATATACTACATATTATTTTTAAAAATTTAATCGGCAGAAAGAAATTTTTTCCTTTTATTTACCAATGATAGTTTTAAAATTGGATTTGGTATTTAAGTAACTAAATATGTAGCCAAATATTTGGCATAGTATTTTTTTAAAAAAGTATTTTACCAATAATTTTTTTTTTTTTTTTTTTTAAGAATTGGAATTAGATTTAATGACGAATAATCTGAACTCTAATTTTTAACTATAGGTTGTTCAAAATAGTTCTAACATACATTTGTTAAGTTCTAAAACTTGCACATGACTTTCAAATTTATGTACTGGAAGACAAATGGAAAAGTGAAATTTGAAGAATTGATACTATATTACTTTATACTGAATTACGAGTTTTTTTATTGCTGATTTTTTTAAAATTCAGACAAGTCAATTTTGTTGTTTTTTCAACACTTTTTTTTTAATTTTTTTTATTTTTGTTTTTATTATGACGTGGCAATTAAATAAGTTTCTATTAGATTTATTTCTCTTTTTTTTCCTTCACTTTTTCTTGAAAGTATGGTAATTGGAAAATAGAGATGTCCAGCTTTAAAATTTTCTTTTGAGAATTAATATTGATTTTTATTCTTTCTGTTTAAGAGTGTTGCCTTTTTTAAAACGTTTCTGATAGAATATTTCTTTTAAAGTTATTTTTATGGATACTTTTTTTCTGAAAATACTATTTTTATCATTAAAGTTTTGTTTTAAGAATTAAAAGTATTTTTTTCTATTTCTCTTTTTCTTTATCTCAATATTATGTATACGTAAATTGTTGTTAGTCAATTTTTTATTAATCTCGAGTATTTTTATGAGCAGCTATTACAGTTTTTTTCCCCTTTACCTCATACTAATAATATAGCTACATTTTGATTATTTTCCAATAAAAACTCATTAATAGATAAAAAATAATATTTAATAATGATTTCTTAAAGAAATTTTGCTCTTATCCTTGCTTTTGCCACCGAATATTCGGTATTGAGCCAATCTTTGGGGCATATATTCGGTGTTTGGCTATTCGGCCAAATCACTATTCGTTATACTCATACGTACTACTCAGACCCATAGAATGGAACAATATAAAACAATATTTTACATAGAATGGAAAACAGTATAAAAATCTTAATCTTAGCCCAGTCATATGTGATATTTTTTAAATAATAACTACCTCTTGTTTGATTGTCTGAATTGCCTTGCTTTTTAAATGTTAAGTATTTTGTTCATAGGTTTCAAAATAATTCATTAATATAAAAATGAAATTGAATAGTTCACTATTTTTTCTGTTGAATATGAAATTTTAAAATTTTGCAAAAATGTCAATGTGTTTAAACAAAATGTCAATGTGTTTGTCAATGTATTTAAACAAAATATTGAATGATTTTAAACACACATTAAAAAGACTAGTTTATTTTTTTAAAAAATATATATTTTTTGGTAATTTAAAAAAAAAAAAAATTTGGATATGAAATTTATAGTTTTAGTTCTATCACTTATATATTTTTTTAATCAAATTAATTATAGAATTTATAAAATTAATAGAAATGGACAAATTTCTTAAATTTTTAACTCATTCCTTTTGTTTATTCATTTTTTCTATTTCATCAAGTTTATACCATTGTCTGGGAAAAAAAATTATTTCTTCTCGAAAAGCGCTCAATCTTTATTTAAATCACTTAACACATAATGTCTTCTTCGTGGTATTGCACAATTCAAAACTTTTTAATGCAAGGAATTAGCTCCTCTACTGTGTATTTATAATTTTTTTAAAATATTTTTTCTGGAATTGATATATTTTAAGTTTTAAAGTTTATTTTTGAAAATTATATTATTGTTTTTATATTATTGTGTTATATTTTTGTGTTACATTATTTCCAGAACTATAAGTAAGACAAATCATAGTTACATGCTTTAAGAAGGACAAAAAATTAAAAATACCCTGATTTTGAGTATTTATGAGACCCATATCCATATGTGTGGAACACCTTTTGAGAACTGCTTCTCTAATAAATCTTATTAAAAGTATATGTGTGTAAGAAAAAAAAGTAATAAGATTATCATAAAATTTATTTTTGTATGTCTGTGACTTAAATTTTGTTGACAAACTAATTACATATTTTGTAAATGTTGAATATTAAGTTTTTATTCTTGCAGCTTATATATTTTTGCGTATTTTTTTATCTGAGTTCTTTTTTTGTTTTGTTTACATAACGTGACTTCATTTACTCTTTGTTTTTTTATAGGACTACACAAGAAGAACTTTCTAAATTAGCAGATACTTTTCTTCAGACTAAAATATCCAATGATGATGATAAAGCTCCCAAATTTAAAAAGATATCACCTGAAGCACAGAAAGTCTTAAAGAGCTATTTTTCCTCTGCTAAAGTAAACACCGTCAGACCTACAGTTGTTTGTATGTATCTGTTTTGATTTGATTTTAAACTACTGTCTTAAAAAGTATTTTTTTACTTTGTATTTTGCTTTTAAAAAACGTAAGCCATTTATTACTAAAGCTACATTTATCGAATTCTAATTAAAATTATCACTCAAATTTAAAATATGAATTTTATTTATGATTATAAAAAATTATGTTATGATTCATTATTCACATTTCATAATGATATAATTTTTAAGATTTTAAAATTCATGTGTAAATCATAGTAATAACTGCCAAAAATTAATGCAAATATGATGTAGATTAAGAATGAAATTACTAATGTGTGGAGCGAAATTTATTTGTATTGATAATGTAATAAAACTGCGTGGAAATCTGTAGCAATAACTGCCAGAAAAGTTAGACAGGACTATGCGGGTGTGTAGATCAAGTAATGATTGCTAAAATATTTAATTCACAATTTCTCTGTTGAATATCATAGTGAAAATAACGAGATTTTTAAAACCATATGGAAAACCATAGTAATAGATTTTTTAAAAAAATCTGAAAGTATTAATATTTCTTCAAAGAAAATTATTTCATCTTTGTATAAACATCATATCCTGATGTCCTAAAATTACCAGATTTAAAAATCCACTTGGAATTTCAATGTAATTTTTATGTTCAATTTAATTACATGGCAGCCAAATAATAAATAAAAGGGAAAACAAGTATATCATACTTATTTAGTGATTGTTTTGTTACAAATCAGAGAATTTTTCTCCACATACTGATGAAGTCATATTGTATATCCTCAAAACAATTAGGCTTATTATATTGTATTTTATTGGAAATTGAGAAGACGAGTGTTTTTAGAACAAATGATTCACAATTTCAGAATCATTTTTTCAGTTTTATCAGTTGCTTATCTACAAGAAATTACGATGATTTTTATTTGCTCTATTTATATATGTTTTATAAAAGATGAAGGGCAATCAGGGTAAGATAATGTGTTCCTTTTTTAATGTTAAAATGTAATTCATTGCCTGTTATAATATTTTGTTGTTGATTCTTTGAACACCTTAAGTGCCAATTTATATAATGGTACTGTTTCATGCAATTTTACTGCATTTGGATTAAAATATTCGTGATTTTTAAAAGTATTTTTATTGCTGTATAAAAAAATTTATGATTTGTAAGAGTTTGTTTGATTGTTGACAAATACCAAAAACAACAGGAAAATTAAGGCTAGCTAAAGAAAATTTTTTTTTACAACATACTATACATTATTGGAATTACTGTTAATATGAGAAATTTATTATGCCTCAAATGTATGTTACATATTTATTCCTTTTTTTTATTGTTAATATTTTAATTTCATCTTTGAATTCTAAGTGACAATAAAATATAAGTTTTAAAGTTAAATAGCCTTGATTGTAAGACAATAGAATTTGATTTTATATCATTTCACCATCATGTTTATTAGTATAATTTTTTTTTCAGGTTCTCCTTCTCAATCCAGACTTATATCTAAATCAGCACTTTATAGTGAAAACATGAAAAAGAAAAATATGCAGGCAGATAATAAAGTTTGTGGGGAAAAAGCAACCCCGGTAATTCCTTTTGTATGTGTCTATTTGAATCCCTTACATTTAACAAAATTATATTTGCTAGGAAAAAACTACTGGTTGTTTAAATAATATTTATGTCTTTCTCATTTTTTTTAAGCACATAAATTTTTTTCTTCTTTATATTCATAACACTTTACACCATAATATTTCAATTTAAAGGAGCCATTATCATCTACTGTAGCTGAAATAATTAAAAAGAAATATGCATTGAATTTAGCTCAAAATAACAATCTTTAAAACATGATTTGTGAGCCAAAGCACAAAGTGATTGGTTGATGATTTTAAGTGTTGTTAATAAAACTGATTGTTGATGGAATGATTGTAATTGAAATAATTTATATCTCATAGGTTTTTATGACTACTTTTACTAGTGTTAGTAAGAATGGTCATAAAAACATTTCTGGTGTCTGATTTGTTTGGCTTAATTCCTTGAATTAGAACTTATTAAAACAATTTCATTTTGTTAAAGAGCTCCTGAAACATTTTGTTGGTTGTTTTTTTAATCAATGCACATTTTGTTATGTTTTTTATGGGAAGATAGTAGAAAAAAGTAATTTTTTTATCAAATATTTTTAATAAAAAAAGTATCTAATGAAAATTGCAAATTTTTTTAGCCCATTATCACATGATAAATTTTTGTCTTTTTGGAATGATTATTTACTCCCTTTTTTTTTACGACTAGAATTCAATGATTCTAAAATTGCAAAAATTCAAAATATTGATTATTTGGAACCACTCACTAATTATCCATAAATGTTTCAGATATCTAATCTTATTAGTTATTTCAAAAATTTTAACTTAATCCTTTTATGATAAAGGAACTTGATTAGCTATAAGAACTAAATTTTAAAATAATGAAGTAAGGAATTATTTGTTTAATTCACATTATTTTTTTTAGTAATCTTGCTCAGTGCAGCTTGTTTCAAAACTTTTGAGCCTCATCTATTTAAATTAATAAAATAATTTATTCAGTTTAGCTCCTTTTGTATTGTTAATAAATATTTTAGTTACTACTGTTCATTCATAATAAATAACTTCATAACAAAATATTCAGTCAATGCATATCAAATATTTAATATTTTCAAGCTTTTAAATTCATATTAGTCACTGTACTTTTTACATATTTAAGTGCATACGCTTCATTGTGTTTTACTACTTTCTGTCTTAAATAACTGTGCTCTCATAAAACTGCATAAGTTATAATGCTTTGTTTAGAGTCATATAAAAAATTAAAGAAATATTTTAAATGACTTTATTTATGCATATTTAATAGACATTTCTCTCTCAAACCTCATTAATCAGTAATTTATTTTCAAAAAATCATTTGATTAAATTTGTCATTTAAAATTGATTCTTAAGTAATTTTAATAATTTCATTTAAATCATACTCAGCCAGTTTGGAATATATGCTGTATTAGAATTTAAACCTCAGGTATAGCTACTTTGTTAAAAATTCTGAGCTCTTAATTTAAAATAATCTCTTATCTCAAAATTTGATTTTAATATCACTGTATAATTCATTACTGATGAAAATAATATTGTAAAAAATTTTAAGTAAAGGAATAAATTTGTAAATATTTTGTGTTTTTTTTCCCAGGTTGCTCCTTTAATTAGCAAAGAAAAATTAAATTCGTTAAATAACACCTTTGCAACTGACAAAATGCAAATGTTACATCCTAAGGGGATTGCGCAAACCCTACCTTCTATTCAAAGTCTATCTCCACAGCGTTCCCCATCCGTATCATCTTCAGGTGAGAAATTTCAATTTGTGTATGCAAACTTTTTCCTGAGTAGAAATTATTCTAGGAAAAAAATCACATAATGAGGACATTTTACACATTCATTGGTAGCAGATTTGTTGATACTAGTCATGTGTAACTTCGAAATCACAATGTCGTTTTTTTTCCAGCAAAATCTTAGCTAATGGCAACTAATATTTTTGTTGCCAAAAATTTAAATTAATCTTTATTTTATGTTTTAGTGTTTTAATAATTTTTTATCTTTTGCTTTTCATAATAAGTCTTAATATTACGATTTAGGTAAGATCATGCAAAATGATAATTGACAGCAATGCTCATTACCATTAAATATTTGGGCATCTTAATATAGTAATGCTTTTATTTTAAATGTAACTTTTTTTAATTAAAAACACCCTGCTGAAAGATATAAAAGAAAAATATATAAATTAAGACTATTCAAATTTTATATTGTTTAAAGAAAATATCTTTGTTATAAATGTAAATTTTTATATTTCAGCTCTTATATAGTTAAACAAACAAATCCATCCTAACTCGCTTATATCAAGAAAGTAGATCCAATGGAATTCAAAAAAGGAAAGGGAAAAAATGATCAAAAAAGAAATGAACAAAAATCTTTAAAAACTGGTTACCTTTTATTATTATTTTTTCATTTTGAAAAAGAAACTGCATTAGAATATATTAACCGTAATTACTGCAGTATATAATACTTTATCACGAACACTACTGATAGTGGTAAACAGCACTTCATTGATAAAATAAATTATATTATTAGATTCTTTCTTGCTAAGAAATTAGATTTTTTCTTTGAAGTAACGTAATCCCATTATCGAAGTTGTATGTCGATAAAACAAAAAGCATATCAGACATGTGATTCACTAACATTTTTATAGAAATAAAACTAGCACTTACATGAGGATAGAATCCATTTTAAAGTATTGCAATGATCACACACAGTCATCCATTGCCATGTTATAACATCGTATTAAATAAATATGTAGATTAACGGCTTCACATTTTAACTCTTTGGAAATATTAAGAAGCTTGGAATCTCTCTATATGGTCTAGAAAATTTTTTAACCTTTAAACTTTTTCCAAATAAGTCTTTCTAATTTTGTTTCATATTTAAATGCTACAAAGAAAAAAGTTAGAAGTGTTTGTTTTTAATACATTAAAACTCATTGAAGCTTATTTCGAAAGTTTCATAATTTAAGTGAAATCACATTAAAATATTGAAATTTATTTTACTAGTTATACAATAATTTAAGTGGTATCTCAATAAAACTCTTTATATTTATTAAGCTTTTTTTTCCTTTAATTTTTAGGCTTCTAAACTCATTTGAGTTTAATTTAACAGTTGCTTGACTATAATAAAAGGAATTTCAAAAAAATATTATATATAATGTTATTATTTATTTATATAATTAATATTAATTTTTTATTTCATAGACTACTTATAGTTTGTAATTTACAGTTAATAAGCTGAAAATTTTATTCTGTTGTTCATTGATGAGCATTGTTAAAGATTGACTTGTCTTAGAATGACACGTATCTTGTTTTTAACTATCTATTGTTTAATAAAGTCAATACTAAAAAATTTATAAATAACATTAAAATACTTTCTTAGCTAATTACAGGGGTGATTGTGTTCCGGAAAAAATCCGGATTTCCGTTTTTTTTTGTGGCCGAAAGTTTCCGGAAATCCAAGGTCCAGAAGTTTCAAGAAATCATCTATCGCATTTATATATAAAAATTCTTGTATATTTTAAAAAATATTAGAACTAGAAATTATACTTGGCATCTCTTCCATTTGTAAATATTTTTTCTGGTAGAATAATAAATGTGATTAGAGANCATCCATTGCCATGTTATAACATTTTATTAAATAAATATGTAGATTAACGACTTCATATTTTAACTCCTTGGAAATAGTAAGAAACTTGGAAACTCACTATATTTTCTAGCTTACCGAAATTTTTTTAACTTGTGAACTTTTTCCAAATAAGTCTTTCTAATTTTGTTTCATATTTAAGTGACACAAAAAAAAAGTCGGAAGTTTCATGTTTGTTTTAAATACGTTTAAATTCATTGAAGCTTATTTCAAGAGTTTTATAATTTAAGTGAAGCCACCTTAGAATCTTGAAATTTATTTTACTAGTTATACAATAATTTAAGTGATATCTCAATGAAACTCTTTATATTTATTATGTTTTTTTTCCTTCATTTTTAGGCTTCTAAACTCAGTTGAGTTTAATTTAACAGTTGCTTAACTTTAATTTAAAAGAAATTTAAATGAAATATTATATATAATGTTATTATTTATTTATTGAATTAATATAGATTTTTTATTTCATAGACTACTTATTTTATTATGTACTTTACAGTTACTAAGCTGAAAATTTTATTCTGTTGTTCATTGAAGAGCATTGTTAAAGATTGACTTGTCTTAGAATGTCACATATTATGTTTTTGACTATCTGTTGTTTAATAAAGTCAATGCTAAAAAATTTATAAATAACATTAAAATTCTTTATTAGTTAATTATGTAAGGCATTTCTAGAAGCTCTTATTAAAAATATTTCTTATAAAATATATAAAGAAATGCTTAATATTGTGCGCTTTAATGATTTTGTAAATTTTTCATTCATTTATGAGTTTTTCTTTACCCATCTTATGTAGGGGAACCATATTATGAAGATATAACACCACCTGGATCACCAGGATCGCCCGATCCAAATAGTAAGCTGTAGTTTCTTTTAAAAAGTTTTATATTTCTTTAGACAGCATTAGAGATTTTAGAACCCTTACTATTTTTATACAAATATTTATTTGAAAAAAATAAATAAATATGATTTGTCTTATTTTGATTTATTAATCTATAAGTTGTCATTAAAAAAAAAAAGAATTCTGTCTTTGTTGTTTCACTTAAAAAAATTAAGTTCTTCCTGACAAATTTCTATATACTACCTTTTTAAAATTAATTATGCTGATCCAAAATCTTTTATAGGAAATATTATGTTACAAATCTTAAGTAATTCAGTGAAAGATTTTCAGATGCATCAAAATTATATTAAATAGTTTTTTACTAATTGTAGTAATTAAAATTAATGCTCTGTTCTATTGGTTTGAATGTTTAAAAACTACAATGGAAAAATTTTGATTATATTTGAAGTAAAAACTCATCGCATCTCATAATACTAATATAAAATATGTGAATTGTATGAAAATCGATTGATTAAACAACTAAAATTTATCTAAGTAAGTTTTAAGATTCAATAAATAAATAAATGACCTTACTTTACTCGAAATTGCTCCTATTGAACCAACTTATTAAACAGCTACATACCTTTAAGATAAATTTAAAATAATAAGCAAAGAAAAATTCTTGTTAGACACAAATTTCTATCATACAGAACATTCCTAAATGCATATCTCTTAATACTGGGTTCGTAGTAGTTTGGATAATCTTTATTTGTCCGAAGTTTTAGTGTTTTGTCCTGATATTCTTGATTTTTTTATTTTTAGAATGTACAATTTTACTCATGTGTGATTTTGAAATAATAATTTGGAAGGAATTTTTAATTTCTTTCATTTTAACCGAAATAAGAAAAATCAAACCTATCAATATCAAAACAAGTATAATTTTATTTAAAATGTGAAAAATTGAAACCGTTTATTTTCCTCAAAACAAATTATTACTGTATCAATATTGGACCAAAAGTTTTCTTATTAACCCCCATCCTTCATTTCAAATCAGTTTCTACTTTTGTCATGCTACACCTCTTTTCATCATTAGCGAGTCACAATATGCTTATCAGATATATTTTTTGCAAAGGCTACTGAAGATTGAAGAAGAGCAAATTTTTAAGAAAAATTAAACTTTTTTCCATATTAAAATTTTGTTTATATTAATTAAATAATGTAACTATGCTGAACTCCAAAATATGCTTGATTAAAAAATTAAATACTGGAGTTTAGATTGGGTTGCAGCTCCTATTCTGGAAAACATTGTATTTTTATTTTAATTCTTATTACTCTCATTTTCATGCGTTATTGTAACAGAGATGAACTTAAGTTTCGTTACTTATTTACTCCTCGAGCTCTACAGCCCATGAGGGACCTTGACCCCCTTTAACACACATCTCCACTTTTTTCTGTCCTTGGTCTTTATCTTCAAATTATTGATTTTCATTTTTTCCAGATCTCTTTTTACCTTACCTAGCCATCTATTTCTTGGGCGCCCGACCTTTCTCTTTCCCTTTAGTTTTTCTTCATAGATTTTTTTTTGGTGCTCTTTCCTTGCTCATCCGCGCCGTATGTCCGAGCCATCATATTATTTTTAGACTCTAAATGACTCCTAATCTCCCAAAATCTCCATCATTGATGAGTCTATATATTTTCTTAAGAATCTTTCTGTCAAAAGAAATAAGTATTTTTTCTTCATTCTGAGTAGTAGTCCAAGTTTCTGCTGCATATATGACAATGGGTCTTATTATTGTTTTATATAATTATAGTTTAAATTTTCTTGAAAGCAGAGAAAATTTAAACAACTTAAGCATTGAAAAGTAGCATCTGTTTCCAACTGCCAGTCTAGCCTTTATCTCTGCGTTTAATTCACTTTTTTCAGTGATAATTTAGCCAAGATATTTGAATTCTGTCACACTTTCAAAACCAAGTTCAGTATTTACTGCACTCGTGATTGATCTATTTTCTCTGTCCATAACAATGCATTTAGTAATAAATCAAACAATAAAACATCTAAAAACTTTTAAGAGAATATTTAAAAAAAAATAGTAAATGAATAAAAAATCTAATTTTGCACAAAATTATATCATGCAGAATAATTATGAACGCATTACCCATCAATTAAAAATATCTCAACTATAACTAAATAAAAATGATTTTAAATCAGGACTCAAATAAAATATAATCACGAGAACAAACTAAGTTATTCAAAAATATAGAACCAGTTCGTATGTTCTACCTTTCCCCCATTAATCTTGTGGAAATTGTGTTGCAGCACTACTAGTCTTCAAATTCTGTAATTGTACATTTCCTAATGTAAAATAACTAAGTTGACTTTCATTTCAAAGCGGGAATAATTTTCCTCCCCACTCATTACTTTTAGATAATAACATACATTTTCCAGCTACGTTCTTTCTTTGGACACCTCTACAAGAGAAAGTGTTGTATTTCCAGAAGTCCTGATACTCAGGAAGATTGGCGCAGAATATGTTTGATTGTGTCTACAAGGTTCGAGAGAAATTTAAGTTGCCCCAGGGAAATTTTTGATTTGCCTAAACTAATTTACAGTCTAAAAACAAAAGGAATGTTTTCTATTATGCTAAATGTACCGTAAATAACTTTATAAGTCAATTTGTTTATTTATTATTTGGAATTCCTTATGAGTGGGACCTTTATGTCAGAAAAATTAGCATTTACTGTTTTTACTTTCTAGGAATATGATGAAAAATTTATTGTAGCAAAAAAGCTGTATAATTTTAGGGGAAATTCCTATATATATATATATATATATAAAAATCTGTTCTGGGGACATTTTCTGCATCTCTGGATTATGGAAAGGGCATTCTTCAATGCCTTTTGATAAGGAGGGGGGAATCCACTCTGCTAAAACATCCTACATATTTTTTACATGCATAATTAATAAAATCGAGTGATTTTTAAACTTTTAATTCCTTAATAATTGATCCTAAAATATGTAAATTTATTGCCTTAAAAAACAGAAGTAGTAATGAATTATTGGAAAACCAATTCAACAAATTAAAATACTCAACTTAAGAAAAAAGACAAAAAAATTTTTTTTTTAACCGGATAAGCTGCCTATGCCAGTATTTAATGTTTAAAATCATTTGTAACACAGTGTGCTTTCACAAAATTTTTGAAGCGCTTTCTTAAAAATGTTAATTTTAAAAACAAAAATTTCTTATTTTGAAAATTTTTAGCTATTGTATTACCTACCTGTGTCTGTAGTTAATTTATTTTAAAGCATTAATTTTCTTTATTTTCTTTAGCTCTTGCATTGATACAAGAATTAATGAGCCGACACAATATTGATGAGGAAAATCTTCAGATGTTGTTAAATATTGCTGTGAGGTACAAAAGTGATAACTTGAAGGTGATATACACATCTATTCATAAATATCTAAATTGTTATACAGTGAAATCTCTCAGGAGCAACCACTCTCTGAATGAAACATCATTTCTAGAGTGAATTATCTTTTAAATTTATGTTTTAAATTTCAAAATTATTTTATTTGTTTATTATTTTTATTTTATCAATTTAAAATTCTAGTTTAGGCTTTTTATATTACACTTTTCAGAAGAAATGAAACAACGTGATATAACTACATATATCTGACTGTATTTAATTATTTGCTTTAGTACTTTTTTCAATTAATTGCTTCAACTCTTTTTTTTTACTCTGTTTTTTTAAGTTTAAAATCAATAAATATGAAGATGCAGAGTATAACAGTTTTGGTTACATCTACCATTTCAATTAATGTTATTATTATGCTTTTTTAAATTTATTATTGTGTTTTTGTCGGATAATATATAGTAACTTTGGTGAGTCATGAGAAATTCTTGGAATTATGCATGGAAAGTCATGGATTTGAAAATCTAAATTTTAGCAGATAACTTTCATCTACTTATTTGTTTTGTTAATACTTTTTGTTTTGATATTTTTTAATGTTTTATTATTTGATCTTTATTCGCATTTGCCCAGTTGCTAGGAAAGATTTTGATATTCTCTCCTAATGGTTTTCTTCTACACAAAGTCTTAGGACATGTAACATTAGCAGTGAAGTGCCAAATGTTTTGAGCTGATTAATAAATATTGTTGTAATAGAACATTCAGGCCACTGAATAATTTATTTTTAGTAACATTAGTTTCAAAATAATAATTATTCCTTTCAAACGTAATAACTAGAATGAAGTTTAAATAATCTTGAGCTTTTTAAGAAAATACTTCTTATTGAATAAAACCATGCCCGAATGGTTATTTAAATGTGTATATAAGAAAAACATCTCAAAACATATGAATGCAATTTCTGCATAGTGCTTCACTTTAAATTTTGAAGTAGTTTTCTAAATAATGGCATGATGCAAATGTTTAGTTTGACATTTTAAACTTATGTGTTATGGAAATGAAAATAAAATATTTTTGTGGTTGATCAAATTTTAAAATATGTTATTTTTACTTTACCTCAGTCATGTATAAAAAGTTTGTTAGTTAATAATAATGGAGTGACTTTTTGTCAAATATTTTTAACTCATATTGTTGTATTACTAACTTTATTATTTTGTTATCAGATCAAGCTGTTAAATAAGATAAAAAATTAAAAACGTCTAACTTACATGCAACAAAATTTTGTCTGTGAAAAGTTTGTAAACAGTAAAAACTTAATTTGTAGTATTCAATCTGTATTTTAATTTTAAAGAAACACACTGTAAAAAATTATTGCTCAATTGATATTATTTTCTTGTTACTCATTTAAATTGTTTAGTTGTCACAATTGGTTGTTCATGTTATTTAAAGTTGCATTAATTGCTGTTTACTAATTTTATACTAGTGACATCTTTTATGCACATTTTATTAATGATTTTCAATTCAAGACCTTCACTGAATACCTTTACTGTAATTTTCTCAGTAAAAACAAACAAATTTTGTTAATCTATAATATCAATTAATTTAATGTGTCTAAAAATATGATAAATTAATAAATATAAGCATTTTTTTAAAATTGAAATTTATACCATCAACATAAAATTTTACTTTATGATATTATTTGTATTCTTTTATATATTAGTATACCTTAAACCAATTATAAAGCTTCCCTGTTTTTCAATTTTTGTTTAAATGTTTATGTAGGTTGTATCCCCTTCCAATTCAAATGCTGGTGAATTTACTGATCCTGAAAACAACTCCCTTGAGGAACAATATTCTGGTTCAAAGTTCTCTCAGTCAAATGTGTCTGTTCAATCACCTTCAGTTATTTCAGCCTTGAATGTGAGCTATGGTGGAAATAAATCTTTTATCTCAACAGTTGGTGCTCCAAAATCATCTCCCATCCTACAAAAAAATAATTTTCCTTCTTTTAAAGCAAATGAGAATCAGCCTAGCTCATCATTTTCCTTTTCACAACCAATGAGTGTAAAAACTAGTGATAACTTGGTAACTTCTAACCAGTTAACTGTTAATCAGCCGCAAGTAACTAGCAATACTGTATCGACTGCTTCCAATTTCAGTCCATGGACACGTAATGAGTTGAGGCAAAATATTGTGTCTACAGATGTTCCTCCCAATCAAACTATTACAACTTCTACTCCATTTATACCTGCACCAAATAAAACTGTTTTATTTTCCCCCCAGTCTAATAATAATGTTTTAAATTTAGCAGGCAGTAAAAAATTAGAGTCAAAATCTTCAGATACTGAAAATAAATCACTTCTTAAAGATGGAAACTCCTTAATTTCATCAACCCTTTCAAATGTGCCAGTATCAGCAACAGATGGCATTGGTTTCAGTAAATCAAATTTGACGCTTGCAAAATCCCAAGGGGGGAATTTTTTTGGCGGGAATATACAAAACTCTTTCTCAGCTCCCCAAGCTTCCAGCAACACAACTAGTACTACTTTATCTTCACCTGTATTTGGTATTGTTAATGCTGCACCATCAGAACATAAAACTTCTGAAAGTCCTTTCTCCTTCAGCTTAAAATCACCTGATACATCAAGTTCTTCATTTACGTTTGGAAAGTCCTTATTTGGCTCTAAAATTTCCACTGTTTCAACTCCTCCATCACTGACTTTTACTCAAGTTGCAACGTCAGATTCAGTTGTTCCCAACGCTCCATCTGAGAAGCAAGCCAAATCTATAGATTCTAAATCTGCATTTTCTGCTGCAGGAGATTCCTTATTCGGGCAAGTTTTGGCATCTGAATCTAGTTCGAAAAAAGATTCATCATCTTTCCAATTTGTTCCAACTCCCACCTCTGAACCTGAATCTAAAATTATTGAGCTTTCTTTGTCTGACATTGGTAAGAATACAACTGTTGTTAGTTCTCCAGCAGAAGCAAATCAGTTAATTGTTGCATCAACTGCAAGTGCAGCTGTGACAAGTGCTAATCAACTGACTTCTGCAGCAAGTGAAAATTCCACTTCAAAAGTTCGTTCAGCAACTACTTCAAATATTCCTGGCTTGCAATCAAGTGAAAACAAAGATACTGCCAATATAAATGTGCCAACCACTCCACCTGATGTTGCATCAGCAATTACTTCTGTCTCATCTCCTGTTAGTAGTGAAAGCTCTGCAAGTGCTCCTACTACCAATACCCCATCTTTATTCGCGCAAAATACAAATGGCACTTCATTGTTTGCCGCCCCTGCAACTACTCAGTCTTTATTTGGTGGTGCTAATGGTTCTCAAACATCCTTCTTTAGTAAACCTGCACTAGAAACAACTGCAGCTAAAACATCTCTCTTTGGAACCGCACCAGTGGATGCTTCAACGCCATCCTTTTTCGGTAAAACAAGTGAGGCACCAGCTTTTGGACAGAATACTTTTACACAGGGGTCAGCATTTGGTTCTACTCCAACTACTACCCAAGGGTCAGTATTTGGTTCTGCTGCAACATCTTTTTTCTCTCAAGCACCTGGTGGAGCTGGTTCTGTGTTCGGTACTAAAACTACTAATACATCAGAAAACACTGGTTTTGGAAATCAAACTGGTGGATCATTCACCTTTGGAAAATCACCTTTTGGACAGACACAAGGGTAAGAGAGCTTTTAAATTTTTATCAACTATTATAGATAACTTGTCTACTTCAGAGGTGCACAACCTACGACACACCTGTTCTGGATATGTAGTCTGTGACAGTTCCTGAACATAATAAAAAAAAATTTAAATTTTAAATTGTATGAAGATTTTATTTCATCTTAAATCAGTGTAGTTTCTTTATAGTTTTATCGGAAGTTATCTCAATGGATTTTCACATATTTTGAATAATTCCATTTTTTTAATTTAATTAATATTAAAATACTCAAATTTCAGTTATAAATTTTTATGTTCTTTTTGTGTCGAACTTTTCACGAAACTAAGTGACTTTTTGATATTTTTTTTTCCGTAGTTATTGCTATAAATATCCATATGGTTTTTAAAATCATGATATTTTTAATGCATTTTTACATCTTTCAAGTTTGAAATCGTGTGTTTAAACGCTCTTTTTTAACCTGCTTTATTTCTGTCAACTTCAGCACAAATTCAAAAGATTTATGATAATTTTACAAGCAGTAATTGCTACAAATATCCACTTGGTTTTTAAGATTTTGATTTTTTAGTGCGATAATTTTACGATGTACAGTTTCAAACCACTCATTTAAGTAACCACATTTTGACATGTATTATTTGCATTGATTTTATGGCCAATCCAAATTTTTTTTCCTATGGGTTTTTGGACAGCTTTTGTTACGCATTTCCACATTGTTGGGAAAGTCCTGATTTTTTAATATGCTATTATTGAGGCATTTTAATCGCATGCTTATATAAATAAAACACGTAAAATCATTTTTTACGTGTTTTATTTGTGCCAATTCATTTGTAAATACAAGTGATTTCTTATTTGTTTTTCAGCAATTATTGCTTTGCTTCCTACGTGGTTTCAAAAATCATGATATTTTTAAAAGTATATTATGACATGAATGCTTTGAATTACACATATAAATGTTTACTTATTTGTACCAACTTTATAGTAAATCTTAGAAGTTTTGCAATTGTTTTTCGAAGAAGTCAAATGCTTAAAAGTATTTAATTTTATTAAATATATTGCTGAGTTGACTGATAAAAAGAATTGAGTGCCTAGAACAATGATATTTATATGAATATTACTAAAATTGCCACTAACATGTATGTCTAAATTACAGATGTAACTACTAGTTATTTGTTACGTAGTAGTTAATAGTTATTTGTTAAAAGCTATTGTTAATAATGTACAGTAAAAAACTCCCATTCGTTACATTTATGCATGTGCCCCTTCGTTTATCAGCCTGCAATGCAATTGGGCATTCAGCAAAAAGGTTGCACACCCCTACTACAAGACAATTTTGCCCTTATTATTTCGAATATTACGTTGGATTTTGTGCATTTTTTATTAAATTCATAGAAAATCATAGCATTCTAACCACCATTTATATACAATAGACCTCTGGTCGATGTGCCCTGCTCTTTGGAGCTGCCCAACCTCCAAGTCTAAGTTTAACCTCCATTTATAAAAAGTATTTTAAGAAAAAACTTTGTTAATATTTAATAATTATATAAAAAAAAAAAATTTTGCTCTTTATTTTATGTGTAGTACCTTTGGACTTGCAAAATCTGTATTTGGACAAAACAGTTCATNATTTTTTTCAGCTATTTTATTGTTTCAACTCTTTCTTTACTCTGTTTTTTAAATTTAAAATCTAAATATGAAAATGCAGAGTATAGCAGTTTTGGTTATACCTATAATTTCAATTAATGTTATTATAATGCTTTTTTTAATTTATTGTTGCATTTTTGTCCGAGAAAATAGTAACTTTGTTAAGTCATGAAAAACTCTTGGAAATAGTCATGGAAAATCATGAAAAGTCATGAATTTGAAAATCTAAAATGTAGCAGATACCCTGTATTTGTCAAAAGCTATTGTTAATAATGTACAGTGAAAAACTCCCATTCGTTACATTTATGCATGTGCCCCTTCATTGATCAGCCTGCAATGCAAGTGGGCATTCAGCAAAAAGGTTGCACACCTCTACTACAAAAAAATTTTGCCCTTATTATTTCGAATATTACGGAGGATTTTGTGTATTTTTTATTAAATTTATAGAAAATCATAGCATTCTAACCACCATTTATATACAATAGGCCTCTGGTCAATGTGCCCTGCTCTTTGGAGCTGCCCAACCTCCAAGTTTAAATCTAACCACCATTTATAAAAAGTATTTTAAGAAAGTGTTTGTTAATATTTAATCATTATAAAAAAAAATTTTGTGCTTTATTTTATGTGTAGTACCTTTGGACTTGCAAAATCTGTATTTGGACAAAACAGTTCATTTAATCAGCCTGCAGCATCTCAACCGAAGTAAGTCTTTAAACTACTAATGCTTTATTTTTTTTTTAAATTATTATTATTTAAAAATTTTCCTTTCATCATATTTTCTTTCATAATATTTAAAAGAAAAGCGACATTAAGGGATAGAAAATTTTTATCTCATGTCCTAGAACATGTGTTCCCAAATTGGGGGAAGATGAAGTTTGTTCTAATTTTAAACAAAAACTGGAGAACTCTATAAATGTTAGTAGAATTTATCCTTTTTGAATCACTGTCTTGTGTATTTCGAAGAGGTTAAATTGGTTTTGGCTGCTTTATTTCAAATACAGTGAAATCATTTTATTTTGAAAACAAATTATTTCTGTTAAAAAAAAAATTTTGTTCCTAGAATGGTGCTAAAAGCCATTAAAGGCAATAGAACATTTGCAACCATAACTAGTAAAACAGAAGCAGTTTTATTTCAGAGATGATACAGCTGCAATGCAAAAATATTACTTCACATATATTACATTTATTACATACTAATTAGTGAGTATATTAAATTTATTCAGCTTTCATTAAAAGAAGAATAATTCATATTAATTTGCATATTCATATTATTATGCATGTGACATCACAGATAAGTAGTTTTTTGTAACTGTAAAAAAGGATTTACTTTTTCCCAATTTAAATTAATATACATGTGAAATAATCAAATATTAGTAAATGAAGAAAATGCCCATAGTTCTTCAATATTAATTAAATGCAGAATATCAATTATAAAGCATTGATATTCCAAATCTTAAAGAAAGAGAATTATACTAAGTGTTGCTCATTAGAATTTAGTAAAAATGAAGAAATAGTAGTGTTGCATAAAAAATATAGAAATAAGTAAAAGGTATAACAAAATGATCAATATAAGTAAAAAAAAAAAGAAAGAATTTGTTAAGCCGTGGGAAATGCAAGAGAGATATTAAAAGTGTTTTTAATTCAAAATTTTACCTCAATTTCCATCTTGTTTCAATTCTTTGAAAAAACATTGTTTGAAAATCATGCTGAGCAATTTTTTTCCTTATTGTCTGATATTCATAAATAATCCATTTGGCAAAAAATAAGCTCAAAATAGATACATAATTCAGCAAAAGATTTTGCCTAATTGACATCCACTCTTACAAATACTAAAGTATTCTTTTAAGATGAACAATAAATAAAAAAATGAAATTGAAACATGCAAACTTTTGGAGACCATAATCAGGTATAAGAGAATATCATATGATATGGTGGAAAGGCAAAAAACTGCACTTCAAATTCATTGCCAGTGATGAGGAATTAAGTCTGATGATAAACATCAAGTTAAAAGACTTCAGTAAACAAGGAGACTGGGTATTTGCTTGACTTTCATTGTCCCAATTCATGAGCAGGGCAAAACTCCTGATGAATTCTATGAATGTAGACCGATAGCCCTTACGACTATTCTGGCAAAAGTTATGGAGCGGATGATCGCTGGAAGATTGACCTGGTTCCTTGAGCACCAAAGTCTTATTTGTAACTCCCAGGCGGGCTTCAGACGTTTTCATTCCACTGCCCATCAGGTGGCCTATTTTAGCCAGAATATTAAAGATGATCTTGACAGCCGCAGGTCTGCTTTGGTGACCTTTGTTGACTTCATCAGCATATGACAGGGTCTGGTGCCCTAAATTAATTTATAAACTGATTTCCAGGATAATTAGTGGTAATATGTTGCGATGGTTACATGATTTCTTTGGCCAGAGGTTTTGTTCAGTGTAATTTGGAAACTCTGTATCAATATTCGAGCAAATGGAATCTGGACTTCCCCAGGGTGCTATTTTGAGCCCTTTACTGTTTAATATTTATATCAATGATCTGACCAACTCACTAGAAAGCATTTCTGAGATAAGAACTGTAACGAAGTCCTTGTCTCTGCTGCTGCTAGCACTATTCAAAAACTCGAAATAGTTCAAAACCAAGCTCTCCGTATCATTATGGGCACTGTAAGATCCACTCCTATTCTGGCAATGCAGTGTTTGACTCAAAACCCTCCAGTATGAAACATAATTGAAAGAGACGCAGTCCTTCTTTATGAAAAGCTGATTCGCCTGCTCAACAATACTTTTTGGAGGGATTATGACACCAATGCAGACAGACATCTTAAAACACAAAAGTGGTTTATATAATATGCCTATTCAGCAGCTAATGACATACATGTCCACCTCAGTCCTAAACTTCTCTGTAAGCCTGTTTGCCCTTTGAGTAATTGAGGGATCTTGGCATGTCTGAAGCTGGACATGCAGGCTAATAAGAGTCATATGAGCGATCAACAACTTCGTGCCATTGCTCTATTTACTATTGAAAACAAATACCCTAGAGATGCGTGTCTATACAGATGGATCAATGTTTAACAATGAAGGCGGAGTGTATTGTAATATTTTTTCATGCTATTCACCTATTGGTGCTCATTCCACCCATTACGATGGTGAGAATGAGGCTATTTGTATCGCTTTAAAGCAACTGGCAATCCGTCGTTCATCTTTCTGTAGAGCGGTTATTTTGTCAGACTCCACATCTGCGCTGCACTCTCTTGCAATTAGACAGTATACAGATAATACCCGTGGACTGGAGTGCACAGAGCTAGTAATGTTGATCCCTGTTTCCTTCTAGTGGATCCCACCCCACTGTGGGATTCCCGGAAACGAGGCTGATAACTTTTTAGCCCAAAGGGGGGCAGGGGTCCTTCAGAGACCTTTGAAAAGACTCACTTTTTATTCAAACTCCTGATATAAGGAAGATATAATACCAGGATCATGGGTGCAAGTCTTCCGTCCCCAGGACGGATTTCCGTCTTTCGAAAATGTCCGCGGACGGAAATGAGACTGACTCGTAGACGGAAATCGGAAAAAAAAAATTTCTGTCCTTAAAAATATTTTTTAGGTCTACATTATTGGTCTACTTTCTTATGTCCTGTTGTTATTTTATCAAAAGACAGATGAATAAATATTTTTTGTACAGTATTTAAACTTGATGTATTATGGTAAAGCTTTCTTAGATAGTTTGCATATGTCCATGTTAGGTATTGTGTATGTTAGGTATTTCAGTCTTGGCCTTTTTTCCAACTTGCACCCATGACCAGGATAAGGTGGAAAGCATTGTGAATCTGCCAGTAAGCCATGGGCCTCACTGCTTGAGGATAAACAATTGATTCCTGATTTTCCTAAAAGCAGGTGTGGCACTTTTCTGCCTTACTACAGGCCATGACTGTTTAACCGGGTATTTGTATCGGTTTGGGCTTAGTAATTCTCCATTTTGTACTCGTGCTTTGCACTTGTGTTTTTAAATTGTAATGTAAATTGTGTTGTATTGGAAGACCAGAGAACTAATGGTGTCATAGCAAATCTTCTGGGCATTTGTAATAAACAAATACACTTTCAATGAAAAAAAATATATTGTTTAAATAATTTCTTTGAATTGGCTGAATTCATAGATTTATTTCAAAAATTATATTTACACAATTTTAGCCCTGTCCCGCATGTGAGACTTCGTTGACTTGTTTTAATTAATGTATTTTTGACTTTAGAAAAGGTTATTAGTCTCAAATAATAGAGTACTCTATGCACTTCATAAAAACTATATAAAAATTTCGTTTATTAAAGTTACTAAACATATTATGATACAATTGATTAAAAAAAGGCCCAAGAAATTGTCCCACATGTGACAGTGGAATGATCTATTAACTATTTTGCCTGTGATATTTACTATTTTTTTGCTGTATCATTCCTGTTATTTCCATACATTTTATGAGCTGATATGTGTAATTATTATCATTTTTTTTTAATTTCAATGACTTTTAATAGCAATTTTGGTCAATCAACTGCTGGCTCCATTTTTGGTCAAGGGTCATTCTCTTTTAGTGGCCTTGGAGGCAAACCATCTGAAGAAAATGCCTCTAAAAATATATTTGCTATGGGAAATCTTGGCAAGCCAGCTTCTGACTCTAGTAGTATGTTCCTTTTTTGTTTTAATATATTGTAACTTAACGTGTTTTTCTGAAACTTATTTAATATATATTTATACTTTATTTAATATATATTTATTCTTCCCATGAATGTTAGAACATAAGCTAATATAATGGACTGTTCAAGCATAAATATTTCTATTTATATTCACTCTATTACTTCTTTTTTTTTTCATTTGTAAATATTTGTTAAAAAGAAATTTCTTGAATGAAATTATTTTTATTACGTAAATAAACTTAAAATATAGACCACTATATGAAAACAAAACATCTAATGGAAGCTTTATAGCTGTAAAACTGCTTTAAAAATAACTTTCCATTTATTGAATTAAAAAAAAAAAAACTTTAAACATTCTGATAATTTTTGTCATCATTCCCTTATGTGTAAAACTAGATAATATGATACCATAATTTTTTTTCATTTTATTTACTTATTTATTTATTTTTTTACTATTTTATTTGTGTTAGTTTACTAAAAATACAGATTACTCAGAAACCTTTGTTATTTTATTGTATTAAAATGTATGCTTTTATTATTTTTCTTTTGTCAATTCTGTTTATAAATAAATCTAAAATTTTTTTTCTTCCTTTTTTAAAAAAAAAAAAATGAAGAAAATTTGCTTATCATAATAATAAAAGAAATATTTCCAATTTTAGTTCTAAAATAATAATTACAACTATAACAACTTTTTATCAAAATTCCCTGAGGAAACAAGAGATCTCAATAAGAAAAATATAAATTTAAAGTTAAAATTTGTTTCTTCTGCTTAAATTAATTATTGTTAATTATTTATAATTAACATTTATATAATGGTATATACTTAGATATTGTTAGATATCCGTATTTCAAGTTATTTTAAATATACTAAAAAAATTCAACTGTTATAACTATAACCCTTAGTTTTTGACAGTTTTATCTGAATAATTAGCAAATAATGTCTGTAATTTTTTATTCAATATGATGTTATTTATCAATCCCTTTTACGTTTTTGTCCTCAAAAACTATAAATGCCCTGAAACCTACAATGATAATCAAAAAATCACAATGTTTATAAAGATTTTTATTTTCTGTTTAAAATAATAATTAAATTGGAAAGTGTAGTTTTAAGCAGAAAAAAAAAGATTTCTCTTTATGCCATTTTTGATATTTTATTTTATCTGAGAGCTCCTATCTACTCAAGGAATTTTTAAACCGACTAAATGAAATTTTAAAAAAAGTACAATTAATATTTTAGTTTTCCTGTTATTCCTGTTCCATGGGTATTATTTGTTTTATTGCTATTGTGTATTCTATTTTGTAAATTTTAAAGTCTTACAGTTGCATAAGGTCTAAATTATACTAAATTATTAATTTATTTATAAAATTGTCTGAAATAAATCAGTTTAATAAAGGCATGAATTTTATATTAATAAAATAGAAAATTATTCTGAAGAATCTGCATTTTTAGCACTGAAACTTTCAAACTTAAAATTTGATATTATTTTGTCTTTTTATTTTAGGAAAATGGTGACACAAATTTGAAGGTTGTTTTTTTCTTCATATTAAAATATCTTTGAAGCCACTTTACAATTATAAAGCTTACACCAGATCATTTGTTAGCATATAGTGGTTTATATTTAAAGTATATTTAAATTTTATTATTAAGAAATTTTTTGTTTATTTTAAATTTTTATTTCTTAGGATTTTGAAATGGGTTAGGATTTATGGTTATAGACTTAGGTTTTATGGCTAAAACCATCAAAAACTGACATTTGTCAAAAGCTTGCCAACCCTTCCAAAAATATAAATATATCAGTTTTACCCTGACTATATTATAAGCTTAATTAAAACAGCAGAAAGTTGGATACCTTAATAAGTTGATGCATTAAAATAAAATAAAAGAAACTTAATTTAAACCTATGTTGTATGTTCTTCTGACTGTCTTTTTATAAGATATCTTACTTTTTTTTTAGATGTGTTTGGAAGTCCTGGTGCCTCAGCATTTGGTGCGAAAACTAATGCTTTTTCCCCTGGTAGTTTCAGTAGTGGGGGTGGATCTGTTGCCCAATCTGGGTTTGGAGCATTTCAACAGAATTCACAAAAACCAAGTACAGTTTTTATGAATTTGTTTCATACTGACCTAGATTAATTTTTATTTGTAGTTGAATTTTTTCACAGATGCATTGTCATTCTGAAATTACTTAAATTGGAAATATTTTGTTATGGGAACACGAATATAAATTATATAATGTTTTATATTGGTGGTTTTCTTGGGGAAAGATAGTTAAAGTATTTATTTAATTTACTTTTTACTATTTAATTGTTTATTTTTAAAATGTTCAAGCTTATCATTGCTGTAACATGCATCATAGAGGATTGTGTTCCAGTACAACACTGGAATTTGGCAATCAGGAGAATACCAATCACAATCCTTGATTTTTAAATCACTTGAGGACAAATCATGATATGAGATGTAATTTATGAATTGGGTGAATCTATGTGAAATTTTTAAACCTTAAGAACTCAAATCTCTATGTTTGATTTTAAAATTGTGTTATTACGAATTGCAATAATTGGTTTTTAGATCTCTTGAAAATGAATCACGAAATGAGATTTTTAAAGCAAATAAATATGAGTCACAATGTTTACTTTTTAAATGGTGAGAATACATGTTGCGATGCTCGATATTTAAAAGAAAATGGATGTTAATGGCAATTCTTAATTTTGAATTATTGTGAAAAGGAGTCATTATGTGACAGTTTTAAATGGCATGAATATGAATCACAATGTGTAATTTATAAATGGTGTCAATAAGCACTATGATGTGAAATTTTTAGATTGCATAAATACAAAGTGTGATATTTGATTTTTAAACCATGATAATACAAATTGCAATTAATATTTTATTTCTGTGCTCTTAACTCATGTGTATGTGCACTTTATGATCAGCATTAGTCATATATTTGATTAAATATCAAAATTACTTCAAAAAAATCAACACTTATTCATATTTTGTATGTCAAGTGTTAAAAGTGCTAATGGGAGCTTATTAATGACAATGCACTGAGACATAAAAATGGACAGCAATTTTTAGACCTGGACATTCAAAATGAGGGCCAAGATTATTGATATTGGAAACAGTGCTAAACAGCTCTTAAGAAACCTTAGTCAACTTATGAAAGCAAATTCTTTAGCCAACGCAAAACAATTTTATACTTAATTTATTTTCTTTTAGAGAAATTGCCTTTAAAATTTAAGATGTTGCAAAATTTACTGACTAACAGAATCTGTAATATCTAAACTGTCCATCATAATACAACTTGCAAATATGTTGCCTCAAGTAATAATTGAAAATTCTGTTGATGAAGTTGCAGATGTGTAGAATTTCTATTAAAATGGCACACTAGAACAATGGAGCTACTCTGGTGGAGATTGCTGGAAACCCAGTGATTCTTTTCTGTGCTAAGTTTTTTAATTAAAAGATAATCAGACACAACCATCTATCTATTCTTATCAACGTCTGTCTTACATTTTCCAAAAGATAGGCCTCAATGAAAAAAAAAATTTTTGTTGTTAATGATAATAAAAGAATTGTTATGTCTGAAAGATCAAGAATAAGTCTGGACATCATAAATGCCATGAAAATTATCAACAATGCTGTAAAAAGAAATGATGTGAATGTTCAGATCCTTCAAGAAATGATTAAATATTTCAGTGGTACATATGCTAAATACAGAACCAACGAAAAGACATCTGAACAAAAAGAAAAAATAGATAGCTAGAAATAAAAGAAAATGTAAACTTGATAGACTTTGTGACCTGAAAAAAAGAAAATCAATCACATGAAATTAATACTTTATGAAGGCAACCAAGGTCTCATAACTGAACTTAGTATGAATAGAAGCAGCTCAAGCACACATAGATGCAGGCCAGAAGAAGTTGAAATTTTACAAAGAAAATGTTTCTTAAAAAATTTAATTAAAAGATTAGTAGTATTACTGTAGATATGTCATATTAACGGTGTAGGAAAAATCTCTGAGCATGTTCACACAGCTTTTTACGTTAGAGCAGTTTAACGAGGACTGATACTGTGCCCCCTTAATACCTTTGAATGCTGATAAAAGTAGTGACCCAACCATTAACAGCTGATAGTGAAGCTTGACTTCAGTGTACTACCATGTCTTACAATAAGTAAACTGGAGGACTTTAAAGATAGATTTAATTTTATTATTTGCAAGCACATTTTTAATACTAGTCCAGTAAATGAAAGAAAAAAAAAATTACGGTTTTCTGACCTATAACCTATTTTGATAACCTATTATTAGAATCTTCATAATTTTATTGATAAAATTATTGCATGTTTGAATTATTAATTTAGATAAGTTTTTAATTAGTAGATGATTCTACAAAAAAGTGAATTCCAATTTCATGAAAAGCCAACTTTTGCTATCTTTAGCTCTACAGACTCCACCATTCAATATTCATATGTAGATTTATACAGTGCCAGGGATAAAAGAAACACAATTGCCAATCAATCTTTTTAGTTGCCCTATATATTTTTTTAAGGAGTGCTTTCTATCCCTATTTAAGAATTTTATCTGTTGATCAAAATATGTTCATGCTATCTTCTTTGAAAGTAGACTCATTAGCACTGCAGTCACATGAAATAACTATTTGTTGTGTAAAAATCTAGATTTTTTTTTTTTAGAACTCCAACTTTTTTTTGAATGCAGTAAAAATGATCAAAATAATTGTCCCACTAAAAAGGTTTCTAAAAATATGCATGCCTAAAAATATATAAAATAAAAGAAAAAAGAGGAATTAGTTCAACCAATCCACTGGTTATAAATGTTCTACTCTTATTATGTTAATTTTAAGTTGAAAAATTTGCTGAAAAAAAATTATTCCCACTTAAAAAATATTATTCCTTAAAAAAAAAATTGCATTTTTAAATTTATTTCACCATTTGAAGAGATTCTTATTCCTCTCAAACTAATCCACTAGCCATTAGTTGTAAATGTATTTATCTTATTTGTTATTTTATGTTATTGTAAAGTTGTGCGTTGATGACATATTAAGTTTGGCTAGATATATATAACCCAACTAAAGAAGATTATGAGAATTATCTTCCAAAATATTAAAAATGTCTCTTAAATTGTCAAATATATTCCTTAAATCTAATTGACAGTTTTTAAACTAGGGCAATTTTGCATTAGGGAATGCAAAATTGTATGCTTCCTAAATAATACCTATGGTGACTTTCCCTCCTTGGTTCTGTGGGCACCCATGTAAAGTGCTACTGAAAATGTACCCCTGTTCTACAAAAAAAAAAGCTGTAAATGTGGAAAATTATTGCTGCAGTTTAAAATCCTTGAAAAATAATCTTTACAAACTTGCTTTTTATTGTAAATCTCTTGTGTTCTTGTTTTTATTTCTGAAAATATTAAGTATCAACCCTTTTTCCTAAATTTGTCTAAAAGGAAAAAAGGTAAGAAATCTCAATTCTTCCTTTTCTCAATTCTTCCAAAATGCTGATACTGTTCTTTTTTAAACTATTTTTTTTTCTTCATAACTGTTGTTTTAAAATTGTTTTTAAGCCATTTTCTGCATGGTTTATCCCAGTTGACTTACATTTTTTGATGTTTCAAAATTTAATTTTCTTTACTAAATAGAAAAAAACATTTAAATTAACTAATGTAGAAATAAGAAAATGGTAATGAATGCAATTAAATGATGTTCAAGTATAATTGTTACATTTTAATAGAAAATTTTACTATTATTGGTAGGGAAGTTCTTTATTCTTGATAATGTCTACAATTCAATTCAAAGTCTTGTTGCTTGAGAAATAATTCTTCTCAATAGTTTTTATTTCTTAGTCTTACGCATGAAATATTTTACTTTTAAATAATAAATATAATGGAGAAGTTTTATTTTAATAACTGTTTTATAATCAATAACTGTTTTATAATCAATAACTATTTTATAATCAAGGTTCTATAAGACAATTTTAAATCGCATAAGAATGTCACAACTTCAAAAAGCACTGTTGGAATAGCTGCTCATATCGTTCCAAAATGCTTTGATGCGAAGTTTGTTCTCCAAAATGCCACTTTTTTTCTCCAAAATTGCTTCAAGCTGCTCTAATATATTATTAATAGAGCGAAAGGCGCTATTTTGGCCCCATTTGATGCTAAATTTGTACTCAAAAATAAGTTTTGTTGCTCTAAAACAGCAAGCTATTTTCATTTTTATGCTAAATTTCAACCTACATGCTTATTTAGGTAGGTTTTTCTTTCAACAAAATTAGCACATTAAAAAGTTAATGTTAGTAAATTAAAGATAGAACACACACACTTGTAATAAAAAGAACGCATTTAAGATTGGAATTGGAAATGTCATTTTAAAAGGGTTGACATACTATAGAAGGGTCGAGGGTTGCTATACGTTCAAAAATATAACTTTAAAATTTGACATATGCTTGTTGTAATGATTCTTACTTAATTATTGATGTAAGTGATGTTTAATTAATTTTGTTGGTAGGTAATAATTGAAAAAAAATCTTTGTATTGAACTCAAAATTAATGGAGAAAAAATACTAATTTGTTTTGGAAGAAGCATAAAAAGTAGCCAGTATATTTTGGTAATGCACCATTATTGGTATTATGGTAATTGTTGCAGTTGTAGCATATCCATTAATACAGATAAAGTATAATGTTAGTATGTTTGGTAAAACTGCATCAATACTTTACAGCTATAATATTGGGAGAATTAATTTTTTTTAGTCTCTCTAAAAGGATAAATACTGCCAAAAAATGTCTTGATTGTTAAATTTTGACTATTTTAAGTTTGGCCTCTAGTAACAACAATATGTCAAATTCTGAATTAGTTAATCTTTATTTTGATGTGATGAACTTCGTAAAACATGTTCTGCTTATTCTAATAACGAAAAGCCACAAGGGCAACAAATAATAATAACTAAGCGTTATTAATTATGTTAGTATATAAATTTCAGATTTGTGCATGATTTTAGTAAAATATTGATTCTTTATTGATCTTTTCCTCGCCATTACGAAAAATGGGTATTCAGCTAGCATGTGCTCAAATATTTAATTTTAAAACTCTATGCTGCTCTGAATATAAAGAATATAAAGACTGTTCATTTCAAAAACAAAATTTTATTTGTGCAAAAACAAATTTTTTCTGCTCCAAAATGACTTTAGTGCTGTTCCATCCTACCTGAAAAAGTTTTAAGAAAAACCTGATCTATGGAGAGGAATTTGAAAGCTTTTGTATTCCTTTATTTTAAGAACCTTTTTTTAAACTATTTCTTGTAGTACATTTTTTATAAGGGTCATCTTTGATCAAAAGCTTGTGCCATTTATAGGTGGTTTCGGATCGAGTGCTGCATTTGGTAGTAGTCCAAGCTTTGGTAGCTCTCCTGCATTTGGAAGTCCTCCATCCTTTGGTTCTGGAAATGCTTTAGCATCTGTATTTGGATCATCACAACAACAGTCACCATCTTTTTCAGGGTAAGAATTTTTTGAGTGATATTAGATACAGTGAGTAAAATAAAAGAGAAATATTTAATAACTTTCGTCAAATGATCGTATTGTCATGTACTGAGTTCTACAGGTTAAGGCATTAAATTTACTAGGTAATTTGTGCAGATGATACCTAATGTTACTAAATCAGACATAAAAAATCGAATTTCTCTGTACAAACATACCTTTTACTTTAATGATTTTGGATTTGAATTTGATTCCTGTAATATTATAAAGTCACAATCTGGAAAGTATGGTCCCAATAATTTAATCAGGGTAAGTCTAAAGTTAAGCCTTAATGTTAATTTCACTTTTTGTGTTTTCTCTTTATCTCTGGAATTATTAAGCAAGTAAAAAAGAAGTTTTGCATGAGTTTATAAAACTAATTTATCCAAATAAAAAATAGTTTTCTATATTTAGTATTTTTATTTCAGCGAAAACCTGACTAGAACTCTACCAATCGAAAAGCTAAATAACCAAAACATTTTTAGTTAAAAAAAGAAAATAATTGTATTTCTTTTTTTTTCTTTTGCAAAAGATAGCTTAGGACATTTTAAAAAAATACTCTAAAATACCCATAAATTGCTGAAAAATGCTCTCTTTCATCTTATTTTACTATAATATAAATAAACCTTCGATATGGGTATATTAAAATCTTGTCTGCCAAATCAATTAACTTACTAAGTCTTATAAAAAAAAAACTAATATGTTGATAGGAAAATTAATAAGGATGAACCATAATATCAACATTAGCCACCACAAAATTGAATTCAGGAAAATGTGAAAATTAGCATAACTGCAAGATACAGTAGGACGTGTTTTGCATATGCAAGTCTTGTATTTTAAAACTGGTTTGTCACGTGACAATGCTGATTAGAGATTTAAAGGATTTATTGAGCATTGTTGTTCAAAATCAGAGTTTAACGGGAAACAATCAATTGACAAACTTGCAATTTTCAATATATCTCCCAGACCTCATTTAGATTTTACGTGTGGTCATATTATCCGCAATATTGAAGAAGTTGAAAAAATAACAGATGCTTCCATAGAGTTCATGTAGGAACTGGAATGTGTAGCAGACATCACGGATGAGGCCGTTTTCTGTGTATGACACCTGCAGAAAGCAGGTACATAGTGCTATTGACTAAAAGTAACCGGTGCAATGGAGCCAGTCAGGTAGCAAATCAGTTTCATGCTGCTACTGGCAAACAAACTTCAGAAAAACCATAGCCAGACGCTTGCCCGTCAGACTATACACCGCCGAATTGTTGTGTGCTTACCATTGTCTAGACATCACTGTAGCGCCCGTTTGTAATCATGTCTTCAGCATTGCAGTTGGAGTGAAGAGGAAAGGGCTTGCATACTATTCCTAGATAAGAGTAGATATATTCTCTCATCTGAATGTGAGCACCAAATGATCTGGTCTGATATTGATACTGTGTATAGTTTGAGCAAACATACAGGCATGGGACTGATATCCTACATGTAGTGTCTTGGTATGTGCTGGCATTATGATTAATAGCCGTATGCCCCGCTGTGTGCTTCCAAGCGAGACTATGACTAGCCAACGCTGCATTAATGGGTGCTGTCAGTGATAAATTAATTTTTATACATGACAACGCACCCAGTCATCAAACATTTGCTGTCGAGGAGTATGTACAGAGGGAGGATACTCAATGCCTTTTATGGCCAGTACGTTCTCTATATTTGAATCTAATTAAAAATGTATTGGATGATTTGGGGTTACGTGTTGCTGGCGACAAATTGCCCCAACAGCTGTTAAATACTGCTGTGCAAAGCATGCAACGACATCTGGTAACTTGCATCACCCTCTATGGTGCTCCAATTCCTTTTGGCATCTTATTCCAGGATCCCTACAAATTGTATTTGCACTTGTTTCGTTTTCTTGTTTTCAATACAAAACAACTATTTTGTTTCTTGAACACATTTCAAACCTTCTGGGTTTCAGAGCAAAATAAATTATCTTTTTTTACATATATTCTGCCATTCTGTTATTTTACTTATCACTTTTTTATGAGCTATGCAGCCATTTGTTGTGGTGTGTCCTTAGCAATTGTCCAGCAGTGAATAAGTTTTTGAACATCCCATCACTAAATCAAATGCTATTAAGGTGTCCTGTTTTTTTATTAGCTTATTTATATACTTAATTTAATTGTTGCCCTTGGGCATATTATAATTCACAAATCTATTTTTAGGAATATATAGAGCTTTGATGAAGGGAAAAAACCTATGAAAACATTTATCATCTAAAAGCGTGATAATTTTAAAATTTGTAAAATAATTTTGTAATGTGATAATTTGTTGAATTATGGTGTAAAAATATATATTTTTATAAAGGAAAAAAATATAGTAATTACTATTATTTTGTATAGATTGAAATAATTTCAATTATTATCAATATTAATTTACAGTTTTCAAGAATAAGTGAAGTGTAATATGCTTTTGAATCTGTATATTTTATTAAAAATATGGAATTTAAAATACATAGTTGGGTAAAATGTTAATTTGAAATTTATTGTATCTATTAAATTATAAGAAAGCTCATAATATTATCTGATAATAATTAGAAATAATGATAAATAGGTTAAAAATAAGAATTTGTTGCATAATTATTACCATAAAAAATATAAGCAGATATAACAATCTATCGGTTGGTTTTAAAATACTTGGTTCAAAAATGATTAGTGGTCGAAGAAAATGTTTGACTTTTTCTTATGGGTGTAATCCCAAATTGTGTTTATGATTGAGATGAAATTAGGATAATTAAATTTAGATTTCTTGATTTCTATGAGGTTTTAAAAGTATGTAATTTTTTTAGTTTTGCATCAGCGGATTCACCAACATTTGGAGCTTTAGCCTCTCAAACACCATCTTTTGGCAGTCCTCAACAACAACAGCAGCAACAACAAGGTTTTGGAAGTGCCCCAGTATTTGGTGGTGGTTCATCATTTGGAGGTAGTTTATTTATTTTTAATGAAATTATTATTGTTAAGGTGAATATTGAAATGTGTTTTTAAGTAGCATATTATTTTACATACAATTAATAAAAAGTTATAATTTAAAAGTTTTGCATCACTTTAAACCGTATTTAGTTTTCTTTTTTTTCTTATCTGTTATGAAATTATATTAAAAATTTACACACATTACTCTGTGTAATTTTTATTTTTTTATTTGGATAAAGCCTTTGTTATCAGTGAAATCAGACTTATAATAAAATCGTAATCTTAAAAACAAATTTATAAATTCTTCTAATTAAAACTGTTTTAATTAAATAACATTTTTATTACAAAAAAGTAAGTTGATTTAAATCCAAGATTTAAGAAAAGAATTTAAGTCATTTAAATGGCAATCCAATCAATTCCAGTCCAACCATGAATATCATATTTACTTTTCCCACTATTTTTGGCAAGAAATCTTTAGTTTCAAAAATAGATGTGGTGTTCAGTCTGTTAGTCAGATATGCTGTTGATACTCACCTAAATATACCTTATTAAGAACCTAAATATAAATTATTTCTCTGCAAATATACTTATTTCTGGTTGATCTAAAATGTATTTGATTCAAATCTATTTAACAGTAATTTATTTAAGTTACATTATTTAATGTAATTTTTTAAAATTTTCTTTCATGTAGGGCAAGCTCCTAGTTTCGGAAGTCCGAGGTATGTGTCGCTTTTTTATTATTGTTTCATTACAATAATTTTGTAACAATTTTTTTTGTTGTTGAAATTATTAGAAGCAATTTGGTTATGATTAATTTCTTTTCTAAACTTCAAGAATTCTGTGTATTATAAAAATGGTAAACAATATTTTTAGAATATAATACAAACAATATTGTTAACAATGGTGTTTTGTAAACATTACACTATGTAGAATTACAATAAATTTTTAAAGCTTTCAGAATATTTTAAAACTCCCAGAAAACATTTTATTATTTTACTAAGAGTGCTAATTATAAAGCTATTTTTAAGCAAAAAACACTTGCTTTTGTTTTCATCAAACTGGGAGTCATGTGATTATTCTTGAACTGACATCACATCCATGTACATCTGTTGTTCGTTTACATCGCTGTGCTCTGAAAGCCATTACACTCTTACTTTGGTTTGAACTATCAGAATTATATCCAACTATTTTATATGGTAAATAACTACATGAGAACAAAGATATGTATAAATTGTGCCCTAATGAAAATTTGGGCTAATATGACGTATTCTTGATATATTGTTACATTTCAATGGTACCCACTGAAACACTGTTAATAGTTGGCGAAATTTTCCATTTCTGAATATTTAAGTCTTTTTAGTTCAGTAAAGAAGCTGTTGGGAAGAGTTATATATGTCTGCTATTACTTATTAAAATAAGCTGCTATAAATGAAAATAATGTGCTCTAATTTTGCTCTTTCATTTTTTTTTTTTTTAATCGTGTTAATCTTAAGTTGAGAGTATATTTCCAATTCATTTCTAAGATTTATTTAACGTTAAGTGAAAGAAATGTTGAATAAATTTTGAACAATATCAGATCGGAAAAACTTTTTAGCTGGTTCTTTTTTTGTTTTGTTTTTTACCACAATAAAGGACACACGACTTGCTCTTCCTCCATCTTTTTTATTTTAATTTCACTTAATACACATGACTCTACCCAGCGCCATCTCTTGGTCTTTTTTTTTAATTAATTTGGCGCGGGAACAAATTTTTTATTAAGAGTAGTTTAAAAAAAAATGGAAAGGATAGAAAAGTATGGTTTGCTGTATTCTGATGAGGAATTTTCAAAAAATTTAGTTTTGCTATGTTTCAAAATTAGTAACTCAGTTTATCTACAGATTGTGCTCTAACTGAAAAAGGAACAATCAAATTCTTCAAACTAACCTCCTTTTATAGCCAGGTCAGAGCCTGAAGACTAAATTATTAATCACTCCTGGAATTATTTCATGATGAACAGTTTGACATACTACCGAAACTATGATTGATAATTTTTTAGATCTATTAAGGAACTTTGTAATTAACTATTTGGCAATAAATTTTCTAGTTTTCTTACCAGAAGGCAGTAAATCATACACGTGTATGTCCTGTTTTTCTTTTATAAGTTTTCAGTATTGTCTACCATTTATTGTTCAGTAATTGTAAAAATTGAAATTTTGTTTGTTTTTGAAATTTAAAAGTCCCATAACATGTATCTTTTTTTTTTCCAGTGGTGGCCAAAGTAATTCTTCAGCGTTTACTCAGTGGAGGAACTGAAAATGCTTTATAAAATAAATCTGCCCAATTTTCTCTTATAAATAAGCAATTATTTTCTGAGATTGTAAATTACTATGTATATGTATAATCAAAATAAACTTGACTTTTAAAGTATTGATTTTGCATTGTGAAATAAATTATTTTTTATTTTAAGACTTCATGAAATAAAATTTTGCACATTTGTGTGGTATTATATTTGGGTACATGCAATAATGTCGTATTTACTTAAATTTTTGAAAAGAGCTTTTTCTAAAATGAAAAAATATCTAGGTTGAATCATACATGCCCACGACATTGAGTAATATACACTGAATATTGGTTATAAAATATCGGATGAACTCTTTTATTGATGAAAATCTATGTATCATCTTTCAATATGTAAAATTGTTTTATAAAATATAGTTATAAATTTAAAGTAATTAAAAGGTTACCATACTTATTGGGTTGTGGTAACTAAAAGAGAGACTAAAACTACTATTTTGAAGAAAAGGTAACCAATTTCACCAAAGTAGGCAAAAATGACTATTGCACTCAAATGCGAAAAATCAGTGATTTTTTTAAAAAAAATTTTTTACCAATTCTCTTCTAAACAAAATAAACTTTATTCCCCTTGCATTTATAATTCTATTCTGTTTTTGTAATTTGGATTAACCGTTCATTCACATAACTCGTGCTTAATTTAGAAAACGTCATATATGATCCATCTAATCAAAGAATAAAACTGATTTAAACAAATTAGAAAAAAAAGACAAAATAAGTAAATAACATTTAAAATAATAAATCAAAATGCAAAAGTGCTAAGAGCAGCTAAAACCAAATTTGTTTTAATTTAATTTAGAAAGTCAAAAATACTATTCTAGCAGAAAATGAAAAAAAAAAATTTTTTTTTAACACATATCTTAAAATTTTTTTGTTTTCTGCTAGAAATGTATTTTGGACTTTCTAAAACATCTGATCCATGTAGCAGTCTAGTTTTTATTTTATTTTTAGGTTTACAATTACTAATGTTCAACTCTATAGCCTTGTAATTTTGAACCAATCCAGAAGACACGGAAAATCCTAGATCAGTACCCCCAGAAGTATTGATTTGTTATGGGAACATGGAGGACATTGTGACTTGACAGATTTAACGTGCATCAGTCACCATTTACTACACGGGGAGTCTTCAGTCGGCGGGGACCGAACCCACGAACTCTTGGGAAGGGTGATCAGGGCTGATTGTGCTCCGGAAAAAATCCGGATTTCCGGATTTTTCGCTAACAGGGATCCGGAAGTTTCCGGAGATTGAAGGTCCAGACGTTTAAAAAAAATCATTGGTCACAGAAATTTCCGGAAATCAAATTTTCANGGTTACCATACTTATTGGGTTGTGGTAACTAAAAGAGAGACTAAAACTACTATTTTGAAGAAAAGGTAACCAATTTCACCAAAGTAGGCAAAAATGACTATTGCACTCAAATGCGAAAAATCAGTGATTTTTTTTTTACCCAATTCTCTTCTAAACAAAATAAACTTTATTCCCTTTGCATTTATAATTCTACTCTGTTTTTGTAATTTGGATTAACGGTTTATTCACATAACTCGTGTTTAATTTAGAAAACGTCATATATGATCCATCTAATCAAAGAATGAAACTGATTTAAACAAATTAGAAAAAAGACAAAATAAGTAAATAACATTTAAAATAATAAATCAAAATGCAAAAGTGCTTAGAGCAGCTAGAACCAAATTTGTTTTATTTTAATTTAGAAAGTCAAAAATACTATTCTAGCAGAAAATGAAAAAAAAAAAAATGTTTTTAACACATATCTTAAAATTTTTTCGTTTTCTGCTAGAAATGTATTTTGGACTTTCTAAAACATCTGATCCATGTAGCAGTCTAGTTTTTATTTTATGTTTAGGTTTACAATTACTAATGTTCAACTCCATAGCCTTGTAATTTTGAACCAATCCAGAAGACATGGAAAATCCTAGATCAGTACCCCCAGAAGTATTGATTTGTTATGGGAACATGGAGGGCTTTGTGACTTGACAGATTTAACGTGCATCAGTCACCATTTACTACACGGGGAGTTCAGTCGGCGGGGACCGAACCCACGAACTCTTGGGAAGGGTGATGGCAAAGTCTATCAGCTCTTGCTATCTTGGGAAGTGATGTAATATTTTACGCTTAAGCAAGTGAAATCACACTTAAGTTGATTTATCTAATAGTTAGTCCCGCAATGGACTGATCGTTAAGACAAGGTTCCCAGCAGATCACCGAAGTCAAGCATCACTGACTGTGATCAGTGTGTGGGTGGGTGACCACGTGGATCAGTCTGTGTAGGGACCGAGGGTGTGCGTTATTGGTCCTCATTAAACTGTTCTATCGTAAAGTGCGGGTCATCGGGCTACCGAAGCGGGGAGTGCCATCCCCTCTGCAGAGGATTGAAATTGTGATGGTATGTCTTCGGATCATCCTCAGGGATGTTTCCCATACCGTCGCCAATAGAAAGTTGTGCGACGTAAATGAACTACTACTACTACTTATCTAATAGTTAAGAAACTATTGAACATAGAAACAGTGCAATAAATCCGCATTTATATGTATTTAAGCGTCTGATAATGCTATTTGGGCAAGTAAGATATTGATATCAATTTATTTTTAAGCAATTAGGTGGGAACACTCCTGTTCACTAACAGTTTCAAGTAGGTAAGTGCAAAAAATTACAAAAGTACATAAATCTTAAACTGTTAGCGAGTTGAAATGTTATCATCGATTGCTTCAATATGTTGGAATTAATACCACATTTGCCGGGATAAAAATTTCAGATTTATAACTATGTATAAGTCAGAATTTGTTAGATTTATATGCGTAAAAAATGTCTTAATTATTTTACATATCTACTTTGGGGAGATTTCATTCGATTTAGCGAAACAAATTACACCAGAAACATATCACTTGTTAACGAGTTTGCTTCCTCTCTCTCAATAAATTACGGATAGTGACTAAGGCTCACTTCGGGAGAAGGTGCTAACTTTAGATATTTAAATTGGGCTTAAATCACATTTTAAAATCAATTTGCAGCTTTTCCATAGTTATTTCTGTATTCAGTTACTCAGCTACGTACCTCAAAGTTTAAGGCCTTATTGTATAAAAGCCGAATCCATTGATCGTTTTTGTTTCTGCTACATTAAGGCTTCTTTTCTAGCAAATTTCATACTTATCTAGTTTGATCGATTTGCGTAAAATATCTGTTTCTTGCTACTATTAAGGTCAATTTTAAGATAACACGCCAAAAAGTTCGCCACACAACCCACATATGTTTATTTTTTAGGTCATGAGTATGTATTCACAATACTTTTGTGATCAACGGTTAACAAAAGTAGATTTTAACTGTCAAATATGTAAGAAATCTAGTTTATTTCGAAGATTTTTGAATGACCTCCGATGCACTGAAAGTATTTTCGCCTTAATTGTTAGTGCGGAAGTAGTAGAACACAAAACAATGATCAGTGTCGTGGTTCACTCATTTCAGAAAATTTTGTACCACATGTAAATAAATTGATATATATTTCTCACAATTCTAGAGGATCTTCAGATTCAACCCACTAGAACCTTCCGAAAAAAATATTTTATCTTAAAAATTAGAAAACACGTGTCTAATAGTTTTACATAAAGAACTTATCCTGATAATTTTTAACAAAATCAAAAATGTTAAGATGTCTTAAAAAACCGATCCCATCTCAATAATACCTAATTCTACTTTGCTAAAATAGTACTTTTTTACGATTTATATTTAAAATAAATGTATTGATGTAAACATAAAGTGTTAGTGTCACTTTTTTGTTCGTCAGGTTAATAGTATGTACTTATATGTTTTCATTAATACGCAATAAGACAAGCGTTCAGGTATTTGAAAAAATTTCATTTGGAAATGTATTTCATAGACTAAAACCACCCCGTTACGACTTGTAAAATGTTTGCGATTTTTTGAATCCTGGTCTCCAAGCCTTCAGACAATAGTCGAGTCTGTGCCATGTTATGTAGTGTAACACTTTTAAATAATACAATACTTCCCCCTTTGCGATATCGTGCAACTTTTCCCCTCTGACTTAAAAGATGTTGTTGTTGACGTACGCCTGTTTAAGCAGAGGTGGTGCCATCTATGGCCAAGAATTCAACTTCTGCCACACCATATGTCGCACCCGTTTATAGGGCGGACCCATTCATTCATCCACAGATCGTAATTTTGACCTGAATCGGAGAACGATCGATCTCCAATCCAGTAACCCCAGAGGTATTGATTCGTTATGAGAACATGAAGGACTTTTGCGACTCGACAGATTTAACGTGCATCAGTCACTTTACTACACGAGGAGTCTTCGGCCGGCGGGGTTCGAACTCTCGGACATGGGCCCAGTGCCCTACCGACCAGGCTGATCCCGGCCGACTAAAAGGATGGGACCAGGGGCGGATCTACTTAAGGGCTTTATGGGCTGCAGCCCAGGGCCCCGTGGATACAAAGGGCCCCAGTCCCCACTGAAAACAATAGGTGATATTTTGAATTTTAAAAAGTATCTAATATTAAAAAAAAAACTATTATAAGGTTGGCTACCCTTTGATCAATCAACCCATGCATGCGCGTGTCCATCGAACAGAACGGGGAATTCCCCGTCGCTAGTTTTTCCGCACTTCTGTTCTCGTCATCGAAGTGACAAACTTGTTTAGTTTACTAATAAATGATAACTTAAAAGTTATAAAGATCGGACCTTTCTCTAAAAAGAATTATAAATCATGTCTTTTTTGTTTTTAATGTATTTTTTCAATAATAAATGAACTTTTTAATCGATTTTTAATGATAATTTGTGAATTACTACACTCATTACAAAGTATTAAAATATGACGTGAGGAACAATATTACATCGATTATCTCGTTTCCTGTTAATTACCAGAAAATTATCAAGTTCATTGTTTATTTTCAAAAAAACATCAAAATCTTATTTTACAATATGTTGGGTAGAAAATATAAAAGTGGAGCTGAGAAACGGAAATTACAGCTAGATCGAGAAAAGAAAGAAAGAAATGTGCAAAAATTGAAACTTTTTTCAGATTAGAACATAAAAACGAGAAT